TTCATCACTTCACTCTGGTGTGAATTTCATTGATTCAGAATTGATTTTTAGTGAGCAATCGTTAATGATGTGGAGATTTGATAATAAAGCAGACGGGTTTACAAACACAGCGTTGGAGATTTAGATTCTATCTTTCTATAATTTCCGGTGGCATTTTTTTGTTCAATTCAAAGCAAGCAAATTCTAAACGTTGATTTCCCCATATTGTGGATGTGAGATTCATTTATTCATTGATCTTGGGCGGTCCATTATAAACTGTAGGGTGATGAGGGTAGAGACAACATTCATTACTGACATGCACCTTATGCTTGCTGATACACAGACTGACAATATACTAAAGGTATAATTGTAATAATTGTGTAAGAATTCAGATCTACTGTTTATAATCTGAAAGTACATCCTGTACATATTTGTCCATAAATTAAGGCTCTGATTCAATGTATATTATGTTGTCGCTCAGAAAATGTTTAATGTAAAACAATAAAATAAAACACCAAGTCTTCTTCTCAGGAATAATTTCACAGTCATGTGTAACTGATGTTATAATACAAGTGTCTTGTAACATTGACATAGACACAACTGGAGACAGACAAGTACAATTCCCATCATTATTGTGGAGAAATCTTAGCTTTACCAGTTATATAGAATTGAACTCATAGCTCATCATGAATCCCTTATTAAACTTACAGTTCTGGAAAGTAAACGTAGGAATTTGTAATAAAGTTGAATGGACTTTGGATCATGTCAAAATAAAACACAATAGGTTGTATAAATATTGACTAATTTTCTCACCAAATATTTAATTTCACATGGTTTCTTTACTAAGATGGACGCTATATATTTGCAAACTCCTGCAGACATTTAAGACACGGACAGTGATCATGAAATTTTAAACAAGACATTTGATACAGGAGTAATATGTCTTTAGAACAAACCCAGTACAACAGTGGAGCTATTATCATGGTGTCTCTTTACATTGGTACCAAGAAAGCCTTGGAAACAGGATACCATTGTTTTCATTGAGGGTGAAAGTGTTGATATTTTATGAATCTCCTGCTGAATAAGTAAAGTTAAGTGTTTACTCTACTGTTGTGGAGTAATTGTTTAAGTGTGGTTGTGTGATGTTATCTATTCATCAGTCAGATATTAGTTTACACACAAACGGAGCAATTGTTAGAACAGCGACGACTGAATATTTCATTAAACAAGTTGAGTGACCTGTTGGTCCCTGGTACCATCCCTGTCACATTTACACATTGACTAAGAAACTTTCTCCCAATAGCCTTTATTCAAAGAAGTTCACAGTGAACATCAAAATGATCAAGTTCACCTTTGTATGAATTGTTTGAGAATCAAAAAAAGCAAAGGAATTAAAAACATAGCTTTCAAATGAATATGCTAGTTTACTGTAGAATATTCAGCATTTAGTGCTAGGTGGTTTATGTATAAGAACAGGCCCCACTTGTATAAAACATCTCAACTTGAGATTTCCTCAAGTCGAGATTTCCCTCAGCTGATATCTCCTCAAAAACGACTTGTATAAAATTTTCTCAAGGAACAGGAGGAAGGCATCGACTAGGATGTCCTGAAATTCCTTGAGGAATTTTCATACAAGATATTTTCAAGGAGATATCAGCTGCGGAAAATCTCGACTTGAGGAAATCTCAAGTTGAAATGTTTTATACAAGTGGGGCCAGGTCGTAAAGCCCACTATTATGGAAATCATTTTTTAATGTGAATGCTCTGACATCCAGATTTCATGACATTTTTTTTATTAGGAAGGCCAGGTATGCTGTACCTAATCACAGCTTTTTGTTCTTCTGTGTCTTTATGCGTTTACAGGTCTGCATCGATTTTACATAAAAGTTAACTGCCTGTTATGAAACACTGATGTTCATTTGGTTAAATGATCATTGATCTTGGCAATTAAATGCTATAGATGTGTTTATCAAAGACTGTTTGTATCACTTATTAAGCCACACTACATGTATGTGTTATTATACTGCCATATTGTCTTTGCTACCGGTATTTTTCTCTATCATTGCCTCATTGTTTGAGTTGGAGATCTGTTCTGAAGGCAAGTGATTTCTGATATGTCCCGGCTACCCGGAAAGTAATTTCCATTTACACCAACAAATCTGATTTTAACAAAACAAACAAAAAGAACATGTTTGTGACGTTATAGTTATGGAAGTTATGTTGCATGACGTTTGAATTAAAGCCAATACCATGTTATTTATAAAGTAGTAGTTTGAATGGTGGAGCATATAACTGAGATTCTCTCTGTGGTATGAAATAATATCATGTACCTTTACAAAACAAATAAAGGAATTGTCTGATAGGGTCCCTACCAGTTATATACAAGTTACACGATATAGACATATAGTGACATACTTGATAGCCATCTGTTGTGTTGAAAACTAGATCTTCCCATCTTTATATCTGTTTGCCAAGTGGTAATTACAGGTGTGGTGTAAAGGTTGTGGCCAGGGTGTTGACTGTGAATTAACTCCCGGACTAATTGTCTGACTGTTTAATGGGGGTATATATATTACAGTAGGGTTAGGAAGGGAACATACAGGTAGAGTGTTGCCAAGAGCCTCTCAGTCAAATCTACAGTGCACTATTGTTCAATTATATTTGCTGAATATCAAAACAAGGCAACATAGAATCCAACTATTTACTTGTATTTGAAGTTCTATATTTGGTTAGGGGGTTGAATAGATACAAAGGCAACGCTCTGCCAACTGTTTGACACATTTTCAATCAATATTCACCTGAAATGTGTATTTAGAGCAAAGTTCTGAATATATCTGAATACAAACATGATATATTAATTTGGAGTTCCACAATAGATTTATATTAAAACTAAGATTAATTATTTCTTAATTAAATGTTTACTGCTGTAGGTATGGTGGTGATATACATGACAAAGATTCTGTTTGATACGATGTGTAAGAGCAGTTAACGGATTGATTTTTCAAATCGGTGACACAAGGGTGAAAATGTTTATCAATGATTTCATAAATATCTATTTTGTTTTGTAGATAATGGAGGGTACAGAGAGGAGTTTACTTACATCAAAGGTTGAGGTTTTTTTACCTTAGTTACAAACATTAGTGGTACACAAAGCTAGAATCAGTGTTCCAGAGGCTCTTTAGCAGTCACATCATTCACTGTTTGTATTGTTGGTTGTGGAACAAAACAGAAGTTGTTTTCATCACATTACAGAATGGGATTATTTCTAATCTCCAAAGTTACACAACTGCTACATATTACAAATTACAAAATTTGGGAAAATCTTTTTATTTCAGAAAATGAAAAAATAAAAATAATGATGTCATGAAAGAAAATATGACAAGTGGAATCTTCAGTAGGAAAAACCAGTTGTTGTTTCATACAATTTGTTGTAGGGTAAGGAAAGACCAGTATGTTTAGATACCCCAGGAGTTTATCAAGCTCTAACTTATTCAGTGGTACAAACTTCAGATGACTTCAAATTATATCCAACATCAACATCATACAAATCAGTAGGTCAGAAGGTTGGAACAGATATTGTATTTATTTGTGTACAATTCAAGCCTGTATGTTGGATATAAAGAAAAGGACAGAATAACATTAAATGGGTTGACGACGACGACGACCTTGGTATTGGCAGTTGAAGATGAGTTGCCAGTTGTTATAGATGCTAGCAATATTGATGTGATCCATGCTCAGTGTTAAATCCATATACTGATAAGTATGTTATATTACTCATGTTGTGCTCAGTCTGGACTGAATTCACTTTGACTAAATGATTCGTTCAGAACATTCTGTTACCTAGGTTTGACCAATTTGTCCTGAATTCACTTTGACTAAATGATTCGTTCAGAACATTCTGTTACCTAGGTTTGACCAATTTGTCCTGAATTCACTTTGACTAAATGATTGGTTCAGAACATTCTGTTACCTAGGTTTGACCAATTTGTCCTGAATTCACTTTGACTAAATGATTGGTTCAGAACATTCTGTTACCTAGGTGTGACCAATTTGTCCTGAATTCACTTTAACTAAATGATTGGTTCACTGTATTTGTCTTTTTATCAAAGTGACAACAAGAACATTCAATATAAAGCCAATTATTCTGTGACAATTTGGTTACATGATCAATTTGATAGAACAATGAATGATCTTTGTTTAAATAGGAAAAAAAACTGTAAAAACATTGTATATAGCAGTATAATGGTTTCACTCGCACCAATACTGTATCATCTTACTAATGTAGATATTCATTCAATATCCAGTACAAGTAGGAGATCAATATTCACTCGCTTTTTTCCTGATGTCTATAAAAAGGTGAGATGCCTATGTATTTATAGCTTTGTAGATTTTGTCTTGTGATTTAACACACAATTAGGACTTTCCACTGATTGTCACTGATATTGATTGTCAGCTGTTTCTGTGTATATCGATAAAGTGGCTTTGATCTGAGAAAACCCCTATATAGTAAAGGTAAGGTTCACCAGGACAACAAGTAAATATATACAGGAGTAGTGCCTAAGCTGAAGCTGTATTCAGCAGTTGCAGCACTTCAAATAAGCAATCAGGGATTAGTGAAAATTTCATTTTTTTCTGGAGTTAGAGGATGGTTTTTAGTGAAGATAGATATGATTTACAGCAAGGGTGACCTGGTTGGTCCGGTGTATTTTATAACTGATTCTCTGATTGTTGTGCAGTGATTTTGTATGCTATGTTTCATTATGGTTGATACAGCTAGTTATTCTGCTGAGGAATTTTCAGGTAACACTGCAGACTTTTTTTTAACCTGTATACGTGATTCTTGCAACACATCTAGTCATAATTTTTCTCCATGAATTAATTTTTTTTCCTTAACAGGAACAATTTAGCAAATTATGATCACCATAAATGTGTTGATCTTTGAATAAATTATGTGTCTTTATCTAATAGATTCTTGGATTCTTGACATTTCCTTATATGGCTGATTGTTTTATGTGTTGTAGACAACAAGTTACAGGAAGAACTTCTACGAACCACACAACTTGTCTATAGCTATCAGGATGGCCGTGGAATGGTGAGTATACACAAGGAAGTTAACTTAAGCTCTGTTGTAGAGGCTATTGTTGGTTCATCCATCAATTTTATGCTATTTTCAGTTTATCGGGATTAAGGGGGTGGGTGTATGGTGTTACTCATTTCTGACACATCCAGGTATTTCTAGTTATATACATTGAAACAGGAACATAATCCTTGTATGTCTTGTATTTCTAGTTACCAGGTATATACATCGAAGTAGGAACATAATCCTTGTATGTCTTGTGTTTCTAGTTACCAGGTATATACATCGAAGTAGGAACATAATCCTTGTATGTCTTGTGTTTCTAGTTACCCTTGTATGTCTTGTGTTTCTAGTATATATATACATCGAAGTAGGAACATAATCCTTGTATGTCTTGTGTTTCTAGTTACCAGGTATATACATCGAAGTAGGAACATAATCCTTGTATGTCTTGTATTTCTAGTTACCAGGTATATACATCGAAGTAGGAACATAATCCTTGTATGTCTTGTGTTTCTAGTTACCAGGTATATACATCGAAGCAGGAATATAATCCTTGTATGTCTTGTGTTTCTTGTCATCAAATGACTATGATAAGGAAGTCTAAAATCATTTAATGTTGATACTACAAACACAGTCTATCTAATTTATTTACATGAATATCATTACTTCTAGTGTCACTGGTGAAGGATTAATAAACTCAAAATCAGTTTTACTGTTAAGTTGGTCAGCCTGGAAACTTCATACCACTGTTATTTAAGTGACTAGAGGAAGAATTTGTAGATTGTTCAACAGAGATCCTCTCATTTGTTAAATGATATGGGCCATCCATGTAAAATGATATCTAGCTGGTTTTTATGTCTATTATGATATAAACAACATAGAACTTAAATAAGATTCAAATTTTTATTGCTGATCAAATTTTCATGTTTGTAATATTGATGTCATATCAGGTTTTCCTAAATGAAATCTTCAAAGTCCCTGTAAAGTCAAACACTAATATTACTTCAGATACATATAGATATCGTATATATATATAGATATCTTATATATATATATATAGATATCTTTGATTTCAATAAACAATTATTACAATGATTTAAATTCTTATTTGATAAAGTGTCTGACCAGATACTGGAAACCTCTTTATTCCTGTCTGATTGGTAAGATATTATACACTGTGCAATATTGATGGTTCACATGCTGATACATTCCTGACAGGATCAGCATCACATGTATTGTCTTCTCAGATGAGATGTTCCTGTACAGTCTGGTGTGAATTATTCCTTCCAATGAAATAGAGTCTAATATCGGTATAAATAGGGCTGATAGTTTTGGTTCAAGGTCACATGTCTTCAATCTCTTATGATTTATTGACAGGTACCAAAGTTACGGGAGCCCAGGAATCTGTACGCCCTGGCAAAGGAATTTGGTCCACAGCAATCTGCTAGATGGTAAATAAATAGAGAACATACAGAAATAGAATTGATTAATAATGCATGTTCTTTAAATTTATTAATACCTGCATGGAAAATAAATTTAATTTCATCATTAAAATTGATGATACACAATATATCAAATATCAGTGTGTTTTTTTAATGATTGATTAAAAGATAAATAAAGGATTCCCAGTTATGGATGATGATGTAGATCTGAAACAGTTCATCTTTTCTCTTATATAAATGTAAATCATACACAGTTATTATTTACTAGAAATAATAACATAAATCACATACAATTTATCATAATTGTAAATAGGAATAGTTTTTACTTTAGAATCTAAGATATCAGGATGTGATATCAGGCAGAGAGTTTTAGATTTGTTATCTCCCTTTGTCAGGCCTTCCGAGATCCAGGTCCTTGAAGAGAAGGTACGACATATTCGGTATATCCCTCCTGCTCCGGAACCGTTTTATAAACAGCATGGACAGGAACGCATGCCTATGGTGCGGGGAGAGGAACGTGGTGCCAATCTAGTCTATATGTATCAGCCCAGGTCTACCTTTGTAAGTATCCATGTTGATCTGTACACAACTCCAAATCAGATGCTGGGTACAGATCTTAATGACCTAAACAAGTTTTTGATGTGGTCAGATGACTCCACAGGCAGAGATCATTGATTAATCTTTGGGTATAGAGATACAAATTAGGGAACTGTGTTGCCCTGTTTGCAGGGTTTCACACAGAGACAATCTTGTTTGTACCCTTGGGAAGGGTTACACATGGAGAGAACATTGTTTGTACCCTTGGGAAGGGTAACACATGGAGACATCCTTGTTTGTACCCTTGGGAAGGGTTACACATGGAGAAAACCTTGTTTGTACCCTTGGGAAGGGTTACACATGGAGACAACCTTGTTTGTACCCTTGGGAAGGGTTACACATGGAGAGAACCTTGTTTGTACCCTTGGGAAGGGTTACACATGGAGAAAACCTTGTTTGTACCCTTGGGAAGGGTAACACATGGAGACATCCTTGTTTGTACCCTTGGGAAGGGTTACACATGGAGAGAACCTTGTTTGTACCCTTGGGAAGGGTTACACATGGAGACAACCTTGTTTGTACCCTTGGGAAGGGTTACACATGGAGAGAACCTTGTTTGTACCCTTGGGAAGGGTTACACATGGAGAAAACCTTATTTGTACCCTTGGGAAGGGTTACACATGGAGACATCCTTGTTTGTACCCTTGGGAAGGGTTACACATGGAGAGAACCTTGTCTGTACCCTTGGTAAGGGTTACACATGGAGAGAACCTTGTTTGTACCCTTGGGAAGGGTTACACATGGAGAAAACCTTGTTTGTACCCTTGGGAAGGGTTACACATGGAGAGAACATTGTTTGTACCCTTGGTAAGGGTTACACATGGAGACAACCTTATCATGTTTTTGGATATTTTGGTGATGGATGTCTTAAATTTTGAATGTGTGTGGGTTTTTTTAAAATTGTTTATGAAGGTTTTATTGAAATATGAATATATTCTGTTGATGTTGATATTCAGAAGAAGAAGAGGATTACGGTAAGTCCTAGAAGGAAAGGGTTTTGTAGATATTCAGCTTCAACTAAATATACCAGGCTTAATTCTTAGGTGGCCATCCTGAGACTGTTTATCACATTAAATACATCACTTACATGTTCTGTCTGGTCTTCAGTTTATTGAACAGATGGGTTATAATGAAATGCAGATTGCTTTATCTTTAGAAGATTTTCTAGAAATGTTGGTTTTGGACATTTAAAAATTGTGTATTAATTGTCATGTTTCAGAATTTGATGAGAACTATTAAAAATTTTAGTCATACATAGAAAGTGAATATTTTAAAATGTATGTTGTAATTTTTGAAGGATAAATTACTTTGAACTTAACTAAAGTACACAAAATTCTGTTCAGCTGACACTGGCTAAAGGATATATTGGGTGTTTTTTTTTTTAGAAAATAACTGTTATTTGGAACATAATACAATATTTTTCTCTGATGAAGCAAAAACTTTCAAACAAAAGTTTTGTAATTTCTTTCAGATTGTTGTATCATGGCTGTGGAACAGTGACACATAGATACCAAATATTTGTTTTTTAGTTTCTTTTTTTTTGTTTTTATTTTTTCACGTGTGTGACTTTTTTATCACAGTAGAAATGTCTTACATTAGAATGGGTAGTGGACTAATTGTCACCATATGGTTCTTAAAACTACTTACAGGGCTGATATTGGAACATAGACATTCGAAAAGTCTACAAATATTTGGTGTATAGTGTGAAGACGTGACCTCAGTATGACAATACCACAACATCCTAAACAATTCAACTTTCCACATTATATGTTACATATCTGGTTTCATTTGTAAAGAATTCAGTTACAAAATAGAAGATGTGGCTTAAACACTGTATCTGTGACATTAGAAAAACAGCAGCAGAACTACTGAAAAATCAACTTGTTTTTATAATTTGGGTGACGCCTTTCTGATTTTCTGATTCAGAAAGTTCTTACTTATATCGTTTGATGTACCAGTTTTCTCTAGTTTTACACAGATAATACCTGATAATGATACTTGTCCGTGTTATTTCTAGCGTAACAAGCTGGTGATTGGGATGTCAGTTCATATGATCAATATTTTGTGACATAACAAGTTTGTTTCTGTATGATTCCAGTTTGTGAGGTCAAGGGTAAGAGGTTGTAGGTCAGGACCCTCGCAATGTGCTCATAAGATCAATACAGAAGAGGACACAACATTACTGTTTGAGTCAAGATTTGAGAGTGGGAACTTAGCCAAGGCTTGCCAGGTGTAAGTAACTTGTCAGGTGTAAGTAACTTGTCAGTGTAAGTAACTTGTCAGGTGTAATTAACTTGCCAGTGTAAGTAACTTGTCAGGTGTAAGTAACTTATCAGGTGTAATTAACTTGCCAGTGTAAGTAACTGTTATTAAGAATAACTTGGTGTACAATTATAGATATTTCTAGGTATTACACAGTTTGCCTTTAAGGCAGTAACTGCTCCTTTCTTTGTATTTAAAATAAAACTTTGACATACTATCGTTTCAAATTCCTCTCAGACCATACTGCTTTTGTGTTTTTTTTAGAAAATTTGTTCTTTACAATGTTTCATTCATAGTCAAGATAAAGTTTTACCAAAAAAATTGGTAGATACATGAGAATTTGGGATTTGATAGTGACCAATAGTAAGTAATAAATACCGACCTCTTTAGAACTAGAGAAGTAACTAGTGTTAGGAGGACTGGTAAACACTACACTGTTGTTGATCAAAGTTTCTGTTTCAAATCTCAATAATCTCATTTCAGAAGTTGTGTAACATTTCAGAATGAATTTAGAAATTACTGGGTGAAGAAGTCAGTACCTGGCAAATGAAACAAAACCATATATTTATTTGTAATATCATATCCTACCCTTAAATTCAGTCATGTCAAGTAAAAATAAAGTCTGTTATCACTGTAATATATATACAGATTCTACTTCACTGTTAAGTCAGTTCTAATATTATAGCTCTGGTTGACCTGTAGAGGAAAATTCTTTAGCCTCTTAACAAATATGATTCTGTTTTAATTTATGAACATGTAACTTTAATGCTGTGTATTTTTCTATATTCTTACAGAGAGGGCACCAACGATTACGAAATGTGGCTACGCTATGATCTTTATACCAACAAGCATACACAGTGGTACTACTTCAGGGTATCAAATACTAGGGCTAATGTTAAATACCGCTTCACCATCGTCAATTTCATCAAGTCAGATAGCCTTTACAACTATGGTATGAAACCCTTAATGTACAGTGAGAAAGAGGCTCAGACAAAGAAGGTGGGCTGGATACGTTCCGGTGGTGACATCAAGTACTACAGAAACAATATCAAGTAAGTATGCAGTAAAATAAGACAGATGATAAAAACTTTTTAGACTCGTTTGTCGCTAAAAATATTTCTGAAATTAAAGTTTGTTTTTACTTCATTTCAAATAGATGTTGGTATTGACAATGTACAAATCACCTAAGTTATGTTTTGTTAAATACCTTTTTGTAAATGTGAATGGGCCCTCTCATCTCCATTCAGAAATGACTGGCTAATATTGAAGCTGATGGAAAGTTGAAACAGAATCATCACATATAAATTTCATATTGGCTTTGTATTATGAAACATGTTCATGGTACCAACCAGAAGAAAATGTTGCCCAATAAATACTGGATGTAATATTAGATACCATCAAGGACTTCTATCCTTCACAAGGGATGATACTGTATATAATCTTGCTGTTTTGTAGATATGAAACTACCAAAGGAGAGAAGCCATTTTATTCCCTGACATGGACTGTGGAGTTTCCACATGATCACGACACAGTTTACTTTGCTCATTGCTTTCCATACACATACACAGACCTACAAGTAAGTCAGAATCCTTCAAAGTATCAGATAGAGTGTTAGCTTGATTACAGAAAGATTGCACAAAAGACACACAACTGAATAACATCTTTGATACATACAGCAATATCAGTCATTGAATTAAACTGCATCACACAACTGTTTTGTCCCTCAAGGACTCATCAGTGATACTGTGGGCTTAAATTTTGAACCCAAGTTGAGGTGACTGAAGAAAATCCAAAACAATCAGAAAAAATGTCAAAATCTAGGTGGGAAGTGCAGTGGCCCATAATTCAATAATTTTTAAAAATTTTCATATATCTGTTTATATCAGAAGAATGTTAAGTACAGGTATGTGAATTGAAATGACACAGGTTATAGCACACCATGAGGCTTAAAGTCACTAGCAGTGTTTACCACCTTCAATCTCAAGATTTATGTGATACAGCATGAAGAATTTACTATCATAGTTTGACACAAACTGATCTATATAAAGATTTTTTTTCTTCTTATTTTTAAGGATTACCTACTAGATATATCTAATGACCCAGTAAAGTCCAAAATCTGTAAACAGAGAGTGCTATGTCGGACGCTTGCTGGGAACCTTGTCTATGTGCTCACCATTACCTCTCCATCACAAAACCCTGAAGACATCAAGGTAAGTCGCTGGGAACCTAGTCTATATACTTACCATTACCTCTCCATCACAAAACCCTGAAGACATCAAGGTAAGTCGCTAGGAACCTAGTCTATATACTTACCATTACCTCTCCATCACAAAACCCTGAAGACAGCAAGGTACGTCACTGGGAACCTAGTCTATATACGTACCATTACCTCTCCATCACAAAACCCTGAAGACATCAAGGTAAGTCGCTGGGAACCTAGTCGATATACTTACCATTACCTCTCCATCACAAAACCCTGAAGACATCAAGGTTAGTCGCTGGGAACCTAGTCTATATACTTACCATTACCTCTCCATCACAAAACCCTGAAGACATCAAGGTAAGTCGCTGGGAACCTAGTCTGTATACTTACCATTACCTCTCCATCACAAAACCCTGAAGACATCAAGGTAAGTCGCTGGGAACCTAGTCTATATACTTACCATTACCTCTCCATCACAAAACCCTGAAGACATCAAAGTAAGTCTATCTAGGTTTATTTGATAATTACAAGACCAGGTTTACATCTCATCTAAGTTTATTCATTATGTACCTGGATAGATCCCAGGTACCATACAATAGTTATACCTTAGTATCTACGTACTTTTCAGGTCAAATCAGAACTGTCGTTTCCCAGAAAATTTCTATGCTGTTTGTCCTATGTTAAAACATTTACTGTCATTATACAAGAGCCCTTATAAGTAACATTTTGTGGTGATTTGGATTTACAGTTTTTACTGAGTACAAAGGGATTTGTTTTAAGTTAAAGCTTGATACTTGTTTCAGCATAAGAAAGCAGTGGTGATCACATCTCGAGTACATCCTGGGGAGTGTAATGCCAGCTGGATGATGAAAGGTTTCCTTGATTATCTCACTGGTAACTCAGCAGATGCTAAGGTATGTCATTCTATTATCTACGTAGAAGTTCTCAGCCAACATTGCTTATGTCATTCTACATCACTGTTTTACCTAAACTTTAGGGTGACAACATTTAAACATCAAACTTTTACAGAAATTCTGAAAAATTTCAATTATGCATAATCACATATATGACTGTAACTTTCCCTTAAACTGTAGTATCTCAGAACTGGTATGTTATGATTCATGGATTTTACACATGGAAGCTAGTAGAGCATTTTTGGTCCTTGTTATATATATTTCTGAGATGCTAAAAATTGATTACTTGTGTGATGTGTTTGGTTTTGGCAATCCTTTGCTTTATTTCAGCTTCTGCGAGATACATTCATCTTCAAAATTGTGCCAATGTTGAACCCAGATGGTGTGATAGTGGGGAACTATCGGTGTTCCCTGGCTGGCCGAGATCTGAACAGGAACTACAAAACTGTGCTCAAGGACTCGTACCCGTCTGTGTGGCATACAAAAAACATGATCAGGAAGTATGTAATCTTGAGTTCACCTATCTAGGTAAATTATCAAGAAGTAGGTCCCCTGACTAATCAAAGAGTGCATAGTAAAGGGAGATAATCATTTTTGTGTGGCCTAGAAAGGCAAGGGAGGTAACCTCTACCTGCATTGTACTGAAACCCTGCAACCCTGCAACAGTTGTTGAATGTATGCAAAGCTCAGTCAGTGAATATATTTTTGTACAATCAGTCACCACTAAAGTATGTGTTCAGGAATTTTGTTGCTGAAATAGTGACATAAATATGACATTTATTTATGTTTGGATTTTGTTTTGCTAACTGATTGCAGTAGTCATGTTATATATTTCAAGCTGTTAAAAGATATCTATGAAAAAATGCCACATTTCAGAAATTGCATGCATATATACCTGTTTTGTATTCTGCTGACAGACTCCTTCAAGAGAGAGAGATCATTGTATATTGTGATCTTCACGGACATAGCAGAAAACAAAATGTGTTCATCTACGGCTGTGAAAACCGCCACAACCCGGAGAAACGCCTCCGAGAACGGATCTTCCCTGTCATGCTCAACAAGAATGCTCCAGACAAGGTATTACACAACCACTGAATACTGACTCTGAAAACATGTATCAAAAAGTGTAACCGTCATATTGTTATGTCTCATAGATAAAGTTCTTAATTTAGGTAACTACGCTGTTGATATTTTTTATAATGTGTTGATAATGTAACATGAACAACAAGTTTAAACATGAAGCATTTACCATCAACTTTTTTGATAAAAGATGCCTTTTGTTTGTTTCAGTTCAAGTTTGAATCATGTAAGTTCAAAGTTCAAAAGAGCAAGGAAGGGACAGGTCGAATTGTTATGTGGCACATGGGCATCATGAACAGCTACACAATGGAGGTATGTGTGATGTTGGAATTTTTTTTATATATATAACTACCAGTATATGTAATATAGCTCTACCTGATCACTCCTTAACTAGCATTCTACCAGGACAATAAACTACACAGATACATGTTCCTATTGATTTGTCACAGTGTGTAGAGCTTTAGAAACTTGTAGGGGCTCTTAAGATTTCTTTGACAGAGACAAGCCAATACTGTAGTCATATTTTCTATTTTACAAATATAACTCCATGTTGTTTGTTCATGTAGAGGTAAGAAAGTTCTGTATACATGTCACTAAGACATGACTTGGTGTGTCATGTTTTGTTTCACAGTCTGCTTAGAATGATATAAATCTATTTTTTGTAGGCAACTTTCTGTGGCTCCACCATGGGGAAGAAGAAAGGCTTCCATTTTAGCTTGTTAGACTTTGAGGCGATGGGCTACCACTTCTGTGACACTTTGCTGGACTACTGTGATCCTGATAATACAAAGGTAGCAGACCTCAAATGTATCAATCTACTTCTTAGTTCAGTTAGTTTCTAATTTGAGCATTAGGTAAACTTGAATGCCTGGTTTGATAGATTTAGAAATATACTATTTTAGAGCCTTGGCTAAAAGATTAAATGAAAAATGTTTGGCTGTTTTCTATCAAATGTAATAAAAATTTGTTTGTTTCGATAACGGTAGAAATTGATCGTGTTTGTCATTTAAATAACTGGCAGATTGTGTCATTGCCACTCCATCGGTACTAACATCAGCTCCTTACACTTTCTCTGTGAATGAGTTTTAAACACTATGCCCAACCTGCTCTCATGCACTTTTAATCTAGAAGTGAAGCTTCCTATCATATATATGTATAGATGTGTCAGATTGACAGGATGGAGGTTGTTCAATTGTATGAGGATGATGAAGTAATAGAAAGCTGCCTTATACATTATAAATAATGTAATGACTTTTGTTGCTTTCGCTTGCCATTCATGATGCTCGGTAATCCCACTATTTGCTGAAATAACTACGGTAATTATTTGTTGCTTTTCACATCAAGAGGAGACACATATCCATGACGCCTCCCCTCCCCAATATATAGCCTCACTGTCACCCCCATACGTTGTGTAATGGTGTTTTGATACTCAACATTGATCGCGGTCTACATCACGCTTTTGTCTGCATGATCACCTGCTTAGAATGGAATTTTAAGAACAGTTACAAGACTTACCAATTATAGACTTTCATTGTGGACATCAATTTTTCTTGTTTCACGTTTCAATACTAGCAAATATTTTTTCACAGAAAAAGTTTATCTTCATTTCTTATGAATCCTTCATTCTGTTGGATGTACTCCATGTCTGATTGATCACTAATTATTATATGATGTAGCACCTTGTTCCTCACTGTTGAGTCAGCACCACTGCATTTATGTGCACCATCATGCTTTGCTTGATTGGCACCAATATTTAAATATTCTAACATCATTAGAAATATAATACAAATTATTATAGTTATGTGTATATAAAGACTTGAAAAACCTTAAAACTTACTGTTTTTCTCCAAACAGTACCTCATAAACTATCATCATGATTACTTCCGTATTGACTGAAGTCTGAAATTACAATTGTCCTTGGAACTGTTCCTTCTTGATCATAGTCAGGAGTCATGATTGCCCTCAGAACAGTTTCTTCTAGGCCATAATTATGACTTATGATTGTCCTCAGCACTGTTCTTTCTTGACCGAAGGAAATAGGATTGTCCTCAGGACAGATTTTCAAGCAGAGTTATCAGATGCTAACAATTATCAGGTTCATGGATTTAGGTTTGTATGTCATGGTGAGCAGACAAATTTTCTAGAATGTTGTTATGTGTTTAAATGGTTTGCCCCTGATTTGGATGGCCTCAGATTTTTTTGCCCCTAATGTGACTGGTCCCTGGTTTTTGCTGGTCCTTGTTTTGGCTGGCCCCTGATTTGCCTGGCCCCTGATTTGCCTGGCCACTGATTTGTCTGGTCCCTAATTTGACTGATCCCTGATTTGTCTTGCCCCTGATTTGGCTGGCCACAGATTTGTCTGGTCCCTAATTTGTCTGGCCACTGATTTGTCTGGTCCCTGATTTGTATGGCCCCTGATTTGTATGGTCCTTGTTTTGGCTGGCCCCTGATTTGTCTGGCCACTGATTTGTCTGGTCCCTGATTTGTATGGCCCCTGATTTGGCTGGTCCCTGATTTGTCTGGCCCCTGATTTGTCTGGCCCCTGATTTGACTTGCCCCAGAGTAAGGAGAGTTTTGTATCCATTGCTATATTGTATCATTATCTGTAAAGCTATAGTGACATACATCTTGATATTGAGTTTGATATAACTACATGTATTTTACCCACTTTTAGTCCATGTTACACTGCTGATTGTGATGGAACAGTTAATAACTCAAGTTTGCTTACTTATCACTCTAGACTAGCATAGCCATTTCTTTTATTTTTTTCAGCACAGATTTTTCTATTTTTTTTTTTTTTTTTGGTTTAAACTCTGGTGTCAAGATTGCAGTTATCTGAAGAATTGTTATTGATAACACATTCTACTTTTTTACAAAGTGAAATGTATTATAGCAGAAAAGCTGTCCGTTAACACAATATCCTAGTTTTATTTTATATATATTTTGCTGTATCATAATGCATGTTTGGCTGGTATTAACATGACTTTAATTCTAATCAATCCTGTATAAGACCTGCAGCATTGAATTAAATGCCTGTATATCTCAATTCTAAATATAGTTTTAACACTCATTGTTGTGCCTTTCAATAGAGAGAAACTGCAAGTATAAGAATTTCTAAGAAGCATGTATATTAAGACCATTTGAGGAAGAATATAAAAAAATGCCAGTATTTATTGATAAAAAAGCAAGGTTTAGATAATATTCTTAAAAATTGATTTAATTAAAAAGTCAGAAATGTGAGTAGCAATAAAGGAAGACATATTTAGTATTTGTTTGTAATGGAATGGTAAGATTATGTTATTTTTTGAGAAGTCAGTCTGTTTTTCTGTCATTTCATTCCTTCATGGACTTCGGTTTAATTGTCTAAAAAGTGTATGTCAGTTTTGTATACCTTATCTGATAAATGTGTATATCATATTTTTTTCTATATTTACCATCATGGCTAATAGCTATTAAGCTGGGTACAATTGATCAGTATTTTACTTTGTGTTGTTGTGATTAATTTTCTATTTCAAATTTCTAATTTTATGTTTAAGTGAGTTATTGCCCTTGTCTGATTTTGAAGGATGAAAATTGATATCATAACCCGTAATTATTGGAAGATTAACGCTGTGAAGTTTTATCATCACCCAATGACACCAAACCAATAAGCTGTTCTACCTTGTCCATACTAAGATTTTCAGAACCTGTAGTTTATGTGGTTTGAAAGTCAATAATGTATCAAACATGTTACTATTGTAATTACAGTGTGCTAATGTTCTGCTGGAACTGGAGGACAAAATGAAGAGAGACATCCTTGCCAAACTCCAGAGAGCTGGAATCACTCCGAGTTCACCGGACGACATTGACCTCAGCGACGACTTCAGCTCTTTAGAGTCCAGGTAAATTTCTGTGTTAACAGATTGAGAATGTCATTTCTCTGTTTTAAAACATTATACCAATGTCAATTGAATTAAGATTGTGGGATGATAATAGTTTCAGTTTATTTGTCTGTCCACTGGAACTAGTTTAAGCAAGTCCTCTTAGAGAGTTTTCCCCTTCGTTGAAAATAATAGCATAAATTTTTGATTTAACAGTCAAAATTCTGCAGTCAGTATAAAGATATGGCATGTAAAAATTAGATCCCTGCCAGTACAATAATGATCTATGTCTAGTAGGAAGCCAACCCATATCCATTGCTGTAGAATTACCAACAAATTTTAATCATTGTCCTGTAATAAGCCCACCACCTGATTCTGAGGCAGTTTTTTTTGACCCATTGGTTTAATACAGGATAATAATATTACATATAAACAGATGAGGTAAGGATGTGATGCCCTGCCTCCTTACTGGACCTGTGTTATCTGTCACATTGTGTATTCTATATATGGCTTCTGTGTTCTAGTGATGGTGGATCTGACAGTTCAGTATCTGATGGACCTCCAGTACATTTACAGTTCGCTCCTCAAAGGGTAAGTAACTCTAGTGACTTGTTAACCTTATGGATCACACCAAGTTTCAGTTTTAATGATACTGTGTATCATTTACATTTTGCAAATGGTTTCTACATTCATGAATTATATGTGGATTTCTTTTAAAAATTTATCCTTATTAAGGAGTCAAAGAAACTCATCTTTTTTTTTACCCTCAGTTTTTGACAAATTATTATCAGCAAATTTTTCAAGACTTTTCTTAGCTTCAAAAACTACATTCATTTACCAGAATAATTAGGTGAAAATATGTAAGTGAAATATGTTGTGGAAAAGAAATCTTTATATACCGTCTTCAGAGGCTTGAAGTTTCGAATGTGTGTGATTTCCACAATAAAAAAGAAAAAAAATAGGTAAACAAATACCAAGTCTGTTGCCTAGATGTAAAAATAAAAATTATCAAGACTGATTACGACTTAATGAAAAAGAAACTTGATACAAAATGTAAATGACCATCAGTAGAAGGGAAAATATCATTTTTTCATGGTGATTCATCAAAACTTTCTCTGTTAACTCTGGTGGTAGATTAAATTAAAATTGCATGGCATTGTGGGTAGTAACTAAATATGGGGTGTGATTTGGGTCGTCACGACAATTAAACTTTACTGGAAATGATTGCATGACTGTGAATCTTTGACCATGATTTACGGAAAGGAACTGGAAGCTAACAGTCCGGTAATGTGTGTACAGGTGTACCTGTGCTTATTGTATAACCAATGTGTGATATAACTTTCTGATCTTTTCCTAATTCTCTAGCTGTTTTCTATTACTTTGGTGATGTTGTTAATGAGGTTTGTGGATATAACCAGGGTGTCATTTATTTTTTCTACTGAAATCATTATTGGGGAGAAGTTTCTATGAAATGATGCAAGTAACACCAACATGCTTATGTATCTTTGTGACCTGAAGTTGTTGTAACAGAATTTCCTGTACTCAGTACAGTATAACCTGCTACCATGTGACTCAAATCTGTTGTAACTGATATCCCTGTACTCAGTACAGTATCGTCTGCTTCAATGATTATATAGGTGATCTGAAGTTGCAGTTGTTTAACAAAAATTCCTGAGCGAAGTACAGAACAATCCTGAATGTTCTATGATTTTTATGTTTAATTCTCAACTGAAATTTTAATAATTTTTCCAGTTGTAATTATTTGCGCTGTTTTTCTAAAATTTTGTAAAAACATTTTCATGTCTTTATATGTATTAGGAGTATTCTAGATTTCTTCAGTGGTTACGACTTATATTTCATTTTCATGGAATACTTTATATTTTTCTGTGAATCTTCCTTCAAGTCATGACACTAGCTATTGTCTTACTGACTTTAGAGGAAATTCTTTTACCACAGTACATAGAAATGCTTCAAGTGTCCATTTCCAACTTGAGTTAGATTTCAGATCTGAGGTTCAATATGGGCACCAGTGACCTTAGAATTCAGTGTTGATGTGGTTTCTGAATGCAGTATTCTTGGAAATATTGCTTTGTTTCACCTGATACTTTCTACAAATAAGTTGTACGGTATAAATTCAATATGTATTCTGCTTAATGCCCTTCCTTAGGTTTTATGTTGAGATGCTGTGATCTTATAGGATTTGTAGACTCATCAGATTTCTATGAACTTGACCTGATACAGTTCTGTATAAAGGTGTCTAATTGTTTAATGCCCTAAAAGATCTTGTATCATGTCTTTGGAATAACTGTTATGTTTTTGACCTGTGTCATTGATACTGTACTGTGTCAGGGCTGCTTGGTTGTCTCCCTTATTGATGTTGTGTATAAAACTATGTAATTGATACTGCACTGTGTCAGGGCTGCTTCGTTGTCTCCCTTAGTGATGTTGTGTATAAAACTATGTGATTGATACTGTACTGTGTCAGGGCTGCTTGGTTGTCTCCCTTAGTGATATTTTGTATAAAACTATGTAATTGATACTGTACTGTGTCAGGGCTGCTTGGTTGTCTCCCTTAATGATATTTTGTATAAAACTATGTAATTGATACTGTTCTGTGTCTGGGCTGCTTAGTTGTCTCCCTTAGTGATGTTGTGTATAAAACTATGTAATTGATACTGTTCTGTGTCAGGGCTGCTTGGTTGTCTCCCTTATTGATGTTGTGTATAAAACTATGTAATTGATACTGTACTGTGTCAGGGCTGCTTAGTTGTCTCCCTTAGTGATGTTGTGTATAAAACTATGTAATTGATACTGTACTGTGTCAGGGCTGCTTGGTTGTCTCCCTTAGTGATGTTGTGTATAAAACTATATAAAATGTATCCAGTAATTAATCAGCTGTTTGGATATTCCACACCTAACTGGTATATGGATGCTAACATATATTATACCATTTTTGTTGAGAAATGTATATGTAATAGTTTCCTTCTCATTTGCTGGTTACATAGAATGTTCCAAAGTGTTTTAAATAAAAATCTAATATCTCTCAGCTTTGATTATATTACTTAACGATCAATATTTATCATTTTTAAATACTCTTAACTTTAATTTTCTTTGTTTTTATATGATCAAACTTAATTTTCTTTGTTTTTATATGATAAAGTTAATCTGAAGTATTTATTACAAAGATGTTTCTGTGATATGTTTAGCGTAGAGACAGATCTAGAGGTTCGTTCTGAGATCCGGGGAAATCCTTACATCATTCTATAAACATATACAAATGAATAAGTATTAGTAACTTTTGTCAGGTTAGACTTAATCAAAACCTCAGAACCTCACCTTTAGATTTGCCACATTGAAGTTTTAGGTTTTGTTCATCATTAGAAGTTAGAATTAAATGGTTAGATGTCAAAGTGACTAATTCTTGTCTCTCTGTGTCTTTTGCCAGGAGGATATACAAGTACGTACTCCGTACAGATTCCGCATGTTGTCCCAACAAGTTTGTTATCTCCCTCTTAATCCTTCCCTCTGAGGTGTCTTTTGCTTGTATCACAAGACTGACCAGGAGTAACCTCCCTTTGCTTATTTCTTTATTTTATTAGTAATGTATCTGACAGAATGACATTAATCACCTGTATTAATGATTTTATGATTCCACTTGCAAACGTTGAGAAGATTTTGATAAAACACAAGTACCATTAAATAAATATCTAACAGCTGTCATCTTCTGCTGTCTGGAATTATGTGTGAGCTTTCACAGTTAACTAAACCCTGTTGTGGATTTGCTTGTGTATGCATGCTTGTAACTATTCAACAGTATGAACAATGGATAAATCTGAAGACACTAAGATTATGATGACATTTTAGACTGCCCAGGTTAGGAGAGAAACAAGACTATTTTAGATTAGTGAATCCCTGTATTGTTGGCTGTCTCTGACTATAAGACTCCAGCCAGACAACCTTACATACAGATGTAGAAGGTGCTCTGGTTGCTCAATCTGCTGTGATTTATTCCTGATAAAACAGTGTAATTTGGTACTGTCATATCACTTACCCATGTCAGAGACCTCTATCACTCATATCATACACTACTTGCATGTGACACTTTTGTGAACCATTATCATGAATTGACTCTTTCTCAGGTGACTTTCCAGCACCTTTAGGCCAGATGACTTTCCCTTATCACTTGACCTCACCTTAGATGACTTTCCCTCATCACATGAATACCCCTCATAAAACTACTTTTCCTTGTCATATGTCCATTTCTAAAGAGTCTTTCCCTTATCACGTGACCACCCCTTAGGTGCCTTCATTGTATCATGTGACCACCCTTTAGGTGCCTTCATTGTATCATGTGACCACCATTTTAGCACCTTCATTTTATCATGTGACCACCTTTTTTTAAGTAAAGTTCTCTTATGATATAATTCCTTGTCCAATAGCTTTATATCATTTGACCTGTCCTTATCAGACGAGTTAATAATATGACATCTTTAGGTCAGGTGACTTGTCATGTGACCATCCAGCCTTAGCTGTCACATATTACTGACTACTCGTGAGGACAGCTGACCATGAACTGGCACTCCAAAACAGTCCTTTGATTGTGTTATATCCTTCTATATGTGGCCTAGTGTGGTATGGTCCTGGACACTGCTTTTATCTGTACATACTGTGAACCATGCTGGTCATGGTGGACAGTAAAACTGCATTACTAAGATTGGTGTGTGGTCAGGGTTGTTAGTGTCTATGGATAGGGATGGTTTTAATCTTAGGGTAGCTGTGTGGTACATAATAAACCTTGGTTTGAGAGTGATCAGGTGTCGGCCTGGACGTGTTTTATGTCTCTGAAGTTCAAATGTTTGATGGTGTTGGTATTGACATGTGTTATTTATGTTAAATTGAATATGTAGCATGATGGACATAAAAGAGATAATTACATTAAAAGTTTTATATAAATAAGTTATCTAATGATTCACAAACTCTGAAGTGTTCTGCAGACTTACTGTGTATATTATATTTACTAATATCACACTATATATTCCATGTCGCCATCACGTTTTCCTGTTAATACTGCACCTACCTTTACTTATGTCTTTATTAGGGTACATGATGAGAGATTCAGTCTGTAGTTGACAATGGTTCCTGCAGTAATATTTTTTTCTTCTTTAGCCTTGTGTTAGGTGTTTTTTTCCTCTCAAACATTGGGGTGGGAAAGGAAAAGGATATTTACCCAATAAAAGCAGGAATTTCTCAACCACCTAAACCTTCTGTTCCATCAGCCTCAAATGATTGAAAAAAAACTATTTGAGTCCAATAATAGACAAAATTTAACTGATAGGTAGGCAACATCTTATAACCTGATTGGAAAGTAGGGTTTTGATATTTATTTTACATCAATACACCTATAGCTGTTGTGATCTATATAGAATCCTGTACATCAATACACCTACAGCTGTTGTGATCTATATAGAATCCTGTACATCAATACACCTACAGCTGTTGTGATCTATATAGAATCCTGTACATCAATACACCTACAGCTGTTGTTGTCTATATAGAATCCTGTACATCAACACATCTACAGCTGTTGTTGTCTATGTAGAGTCTATACATCAATACACCTACAGCTTTTGTGGTCTATATAGAATCCTGTACATCAATACACCTGCAGCTTTTGTGGTCTATATAGAATCCTGTACATCAATACACCTACAGCTGTTGTGGTCTATATAAAATCCTATACATCAATACACCTCCAGCTGTTGTGGTCTATATAAAATCCCATACATTAATACACCTATAGCTGTTGTGGTCTATATAAAATCCTATACATCAATACACCTCCAGCTGTTGTGATCTATATAGAATCCTGTACATCAATACACCTACAGCTGTTGTGATCTATATAGAATCCTATACATCAATACACCTCCAGCTGTTGTGGTCTATATAGAATCCTATACATCAATACACCTACAGCTGTTGTGGTCTATATAGAATCCTATACATCAATACACCTACAGCTGTTGTGGTCTATATAGAATCCTATACATCAATACACCTCCAGCTGTTGTGGTCTATATAGAATCCTGTACATCAATACACCTACAGCTGTTGTGGTCTATATAGAATCCTATACATCAATACACCTCCAGCTGTTGTGGTCTATATAGAATCCCGTACATCAATACACCTACAGCTGTTGTGGTCTATATAGAATCCTATACATTAATACACCTCCAGCTGTTGTGGTCTATATAGAATCCTATACATCAATACACCTACAGCTGTTGTGGTCTATATAGAATCCTATACATCAATACACCTACAGCTGTTGTGGTCTATATAGAATCCTATACATCAATACACCTACAGCTGTTGTGGTCTATATAGAATCCTATATATCAATACACCTCCAGCTGTTGTGGTCTATATTATATAAGATTTTGCTGTGTGTTTATCTTTGTTTCTCTTTGTTTTGCTGCCTTGTTTTATGACTTGGTGAGTTTTATTATTCTTACTGACTTTTATAATTGTTTTTATCTCATTTTGCATTTATTTTTCCAACAGTCTTGACTAAACACCATTCACCAGAAAATGGATTTGTCAATTGAAAACTCTTCTTAGGATTTTTATGATTATGATATGTAGCTACATTTATAATTTAAATGATTCAAGGTTAATTCATTGAAGCGTATCGTGCACTAGACAATATTTTTTAATACATGAGATCTTATGTATTAAAACAATTATTATATGGAGAAGACTTCAGTGGTAATAAAATTAGTTAAAATAATGGTTTCCTTGTTTTTTCTTTTGATAATGATGATTTAATTTTGTTTTGCAGCCGTTGAAAAAGAAGAAGAAATTGAAGACGAAGAAAGAAAGAGACAGAGTAAGAAGCTTTAAGGAAGACACAAAGAAAGCTTCCTCTGGGGATAGGCCATCTTCCGTTAGTATCAGAGTCCTGCTAAAGGTTTACAGTTGTGTGTGCCTCACCTTCACCTCTCAGATTCACTTAGGATCTACTACTGGAAATTTTCACTGTTAGCATTAACAGTGTTTTCCAATATCATCATGTCTTTCGTCTTGACCTTACCTAACTATCAATCTATTGTAGATGTAGGTGGAAACAGATCTCAAAATCTGAACCACACAGTTCTGTAATATCTAGATCATAGATACAGGAAATGACAGTTAAAAGTTCTATAATATCTAGATCAAAGGTACAGGAATTGTCAGTTAAAAGGTCTATAATATCTAGATCACAGATACAGGAATTGCCAGCTAAAAGTTCTATAATATCTAGATCATAGATACAGGAATTGTCAGTTAAAAGTTCTATAATATCTCGATCATAGATACAGGAATTGTCAGTTAAAAGTTCTATAATATCTAGATCATAGATACAGGAATTGTCAGTTAAAAGTTCTATAATATCTAGATCATAGATACAGGAATTGCCAGTTAAAAGTTTTATAATATCTCGATCATAGATACAGGAATTGTCAGTTTAATTGATGATATGATTTAAGTTATATACCTCCTCTGTTATTTTACAAGGTCTTGCAGTCTGATGTGAAGGTGAAGGTCACACCAACTATAAACAGCCATCCTCTCTAGTGTAGCTATCATGTTATCTAACCAAGGAGATGTTTATGTCTCCTGAAAGTAATGTAACAATTGTGTTTCATGAATTAAACTCTATAGGTCAGGGGATTTTGGATTGGGTGTATGTAGTCACTGGTCATAGGATGCCATTGTTGGGAGGTGGGGTGGGTTGTTGGTGATAGGATGACACAGATCTCTGTATACCCACAAGAAGTTCCTGGCCAACCCCTAGGTGTCTTCTCTGTTTTTGTGCAGTTTTTACTGTTTCTGTGTTCAAGTTGAAAAATAGTGTGATTTCTTGAAAAGGTTTAATGCCAATTTTAACTTTGATGCCAAACTTTTATTCTAAAGAAATAATGAAAAAAAAAAGAAAATGAAAAGTGAAAAGATGGCCACGGTTTTCTGCCAGTGTTTGAAATGTTCTACACTAGAATTGATGGTCATTGTCTGTTACAAGCTTGCTAACCTTCAGATGGGTCCACAATAGACATTTTTGGAATTATCTCTTGCGATAAAAACTAAGACATTCTGTACATGTCTATCCAGATAAGGAGCTGTATAGTCATTTGGTACAGTTCAGGTCAAGGCAGTAACAAATAAGTGTCATTAACAACATATCTATAATAATATAAAGTTTGAAGCTGTAATTGTATGTAGAATGAACAGAGAATTCTTATAGAAAAAGAAAAAAAAAACAAAACAAAAAAAAACAAAAAATGATTTGACAGGGGTTTAAATCAGTGATGGTTATATGGTTAGCAAGCCTGCTTAACAGATACATAGCATCGATCTAAATTTTGACTTTTCTAATTGATTTATTGTGGCCTACATTATTTCATTTATAAAATTTACTACAAAAAATATTCTTTAAAATGATTTATTACAAGTATTCTTGGATTAAAAAAAAAAATTCAAAAGATTTGCATGTTTCATAAATTACATGAGAGTTACTTTTGTTGTGTTGGTAAAACTTATCATTATAAAATTTATTACATAATCGTTTTTCTCCCTTTACAAGAATCTGATGGTAAGTAATACTCACTAGGTGTCACTGTGGTCTTTGATGTGGTATGTGTCTTCTGACAGGCATGAGGTTTTAGGTTCTCTGGTCTTACCTAACATGAGTAGAGGTTCTATGTACAGGTATGCATGAGTATGGTAGACAGAAAAATGTTTAGAAGAAACATTTCATTTTTCATAAAAGAAAGCCAGAAATATTTTAGGTAATAAGTGTTTAGAATTAGAGAGACAAAAAAAAATAAAATTCATTAAATACCATCTGAGAAAGAAAGAAAATTCCACATTATCCTGATCAGAATAATTTGCAATAATCTTGTTTCTTAAAACCACTTCAAAACATTCTGCCTATGGTTATATTGTAAAACTTTGATTTGGTTAAATCTAGGGCAACAATACTTGTTTTGAGAAATTCTTGACTGACACACCGGAGGACATATAGGAAAAAATGTGTGATCTTTGTCATTTTTTAATTTTCCCAAACTACAAACCTGCAATCTATTTCTACTGATCAACCATGAAATCTAGAATTCTGAAATTTTGTCAGGATTGCATAAATAAAAGCTGTCATTATATTAAAATGAATAACCTTGACCCACATTTAAGGTCACTTTGGTTAGAATTTCACTCAACAGGCATCTAAAATATCTATTATATTTAAAAAGCACCCTAAAATATCTCATCACCCTCAGAGGTTATGGGAGAAGAATATACCTAAGTTTTGTAATGTTTTTATGTATAAATTCATTATATGTCTTATTTCGGGAGAAAGGTATACCTATCTGTGTTTGTAATGATTTTATGTATAAATTGTTATATATTTTGTTAAGGGAGAAGGGAACTACACAGTTATACTGATGTCTACTACTAAACATCCTGGTGACAGTTAAACTCTTGTATATCACTAAAACCCTGACAAATTGTATCAGATGAAACAGAGAATTATTGTTTACATGAAAGTGAATTGTTCTCTGCATAATTGTTTGTCCAACCTTTAGAAAAAGATCATGAAATCTGATTTTAAAACAATACCATACACAAGGTAGAAGATTTTTTAACAAACCTATTATTTTCTTATTGATAAAAAACATATGGTGTATAAAATAGTTACATTTGATCAAGAGAAATTGATGTCTACCTTTGTAGTGTTTATCTTTATTTAGTCTGCATGTCAGTGTGATAAAGTTGAGATAGTGTGGTTGATACAGCATGTCTTGTCTAGTGTGATCATAGCATGGAATCCTATATATCATTAACTTCTTATTGGTAACAACTGTCCTCAGTATTGATAATTATATGGCAGCCCATTGGTAAAAACTGTCCTCAGTATTGATAATTATATGGCAGCTCATTGGTAACAACTGTCCTCAGTATTGATAATTATATGGCAGCCCATTGGTAAAAACTGTCCTCAGTATTGATAATTATATGGCAGCTTATTGGTAACAACTGTCCTCAGTATTGATAATTATATGGCAGCCCATAGGTAAAAACTGTCCTCAGTATTGATAATTATATGGCAGCTCATTGGTAACAACTGTCCTCAGTATTGATAATTTTATGGCAGCCCATTGGTAAAAACTGTCATCAATATTGATAATTATATGGCAGCTAAATGGTAAAAACTGTCCTCGGTATTGATAATTATATGGCAGCTCATTGGTAACAACTGCCATCGGTATTGATAATTATATGGCAGCCCATTGGTAACAACTGTCCTCAGTATTGATAATTATATGGCAGCTCATTGGTAACAACTGTCATCAATAATGATAATTATATGGCAGCTCATTGGTAACAACTGTCCTCAGTATTGATAATTTTATGGCAGCTCATTGGTAACAACTGTCCTCAGTATTGATACTTATATGGCAGCCCATTGGTAACAACTGTCATCAATATTGATAATTATATGGCAGCTCATTGGTAACAACTGTCCTCAGTATTGATAATTATATGGCAGCTCATTGGTAACAACTGTCCTCAGTATGGATGATCAGCTTCACTGATAGAATACTTTATCATTGGTCTCCTGATGTGTTAACTGGGATTATACCTAGGATAATTGTGTATTTCTGTTTCTATTAAACAAATAAAAGCCATCATTTATCTTGTAACAATAGACAAGTGCTCTGACAAGTGTTCTTTTAATGTGACATTAAAATCCATACTGAATTATCCTATCACAATTAACATGAGGTGATTTTTCAGCAGTTTTGTTTTGAATCTTTTTATCATCAAACATTTTTTAAGTATAGCGTCAAGATTACAGAGACAGAAAACTGTTCTTAGTCTCTTTACGGAAGTTTTGATGTTGGTAGATAGACACGTCATTATACACCTTCATAATAATTCTCTTTTGTCTGAAGTTACAATGTTGGTAGATAGACACATCATTATACACTTACTATATAACTCTCTTTTGTCTGAAGTTTCAATGTTGGTAGATAGACACGTCATTATACATCTTCATAATAATTCTCTTTTGTCTGAAGTTACAATGTTGGTAGATAGACACGTCATTATACATCTTCATAATAAATCTCTTTTGTCTGAAGTTAAAACGTTGGTAGATAGACACATCATTATACACTTACTATATAAATCTCTTTTGTCTGAAGTTAAAATGTTGGTAGATAGACACATCATTATACACTTACTATATAAATCTCTTTTGTCTGAAGTTACAATGTTGGTAGATAGACACGTCATTATACATCTTCATAATAATTCTCTTTTGTCTGAAGTTACAATGTTGGTAGATAGACACGTCATTATACATCTTCATAATAATTCTCTTTTGTCTGTAGTTTCAATGTTGGTAGATAGACACGTCATTATACATCTTCATAATAATTCTCTTTTGTCTGAAGTTACAATGTTGGTAGATAGACACATCATTATACACTTACTATATAACTCCCTTTTGTCTGAAATGTACATGTTATATCATTGATTTAGGATTGAAGGGACAAGAAGAAAAAGCAAGATACAATCAGTTTCAGAAATGTACACCAATTGGAGTTGTAAACAAAGTTTTTCCCTGATACTATTCATTCATTGTTTTCAGATCTATAGATTAAATGTAGAGATGTTTGGAGATTTTGTATATTGACATTTATAAGTGATGTTATCTTGTTTTCCTAATTCATTTAAATGTTAAAATGAAACAGCAGATTTCTTCATTTTTATCATTATCTGGTATATGTACGTAATTCATCAGTGTGGGTTTGCTACAGAAATGTTTTATACAAAAACTCCTTTATTGATTGCTGGTGTGGTTTTGTTACAGGACCATGTGTGTGATAAAAAGGCCATGAGTGGTCATCAAACAGCGCATGCTAAACAGGACAAGGTAAAGTATAGAGTGGAGTTGGATCAAAATATGCAAATGATGGGAATCCTTGTAGACTTAGAAGGGAATTCCTGAAATATCTACAAATACATAAATGATGGGAATCCCTTAAACTTGGAAGAGAATCCCTGAAATATCTACAAATATACAAATGAAGGGAATCTCTGTAGTCTTAGAAGGGAATCCCTGAAATATCTCCAAATATATAAATGATGGGAATCCCTGTAGACTTGGAAGGGAATCCCTGAAATACCAGAAATATCTCCAAATATATAAATGATGGGAATCCCTGTAGACTTGGAAGGGAATCCCTGAAATACCTGAAATATCTCCAAATATATAAATGATGGGAATCCCTTAGACTTGGAAGGGAATCCCTGAAATATCTCCAAATATACAAATGAAGGGAATCTCTGTAGACTTGAAAGGGAACTCCCCAACAATCTCCAAATATAGGCAATACATGTGGAGCTAGAAATCAAATCCTTGGATAGTTTTGAAATTATAAGAAAGAAACAGGAATACTTACTATATCAGCTGTAATGTTAAAATTTTAGACAAAACTTTCCAGGAACAAACTCTTAAATGTTTATACATAGGGAGAGTAATTTTTAGTTTACATGTCCAAAAGTCATGTCCATCCAACCAGCATCAAATTTTCCCTTTAAACATTTTCTTCTTAATAACCAAGAGGCAAAGGGTCCCAATAATTGGTTTGTAACATGCTGGAAAGAAGGGCTATTAGGTTTGTTTAAATGAAAGACATTGACCACTTTCGAGGAGATAGGAGTCAGTTTATTTGTCGAAATCTTTAAACAACCTCTTTTTGATAATCAAAATACTCTGAGTTTTGTTATTTCCAGTGTAACATATATACAGTAAAGAAGAGTTACAATGTTTGTGATGAACATTGAAATAACAAGAGTAAATTTTCCTAATAACATTTTTCTATTAGTGATACAGGCCCATTAGGCCTCTTTGTGATACCAGAAATTTTACTTGTGGTACATGTAGTACATTGCTCATTATAAAGATCAACAGTTAAGTGTAAAAGGAAGTGATATATTCTGTTTCTAGGGAGGCAAACCTCTTGGATTTGACTCCTCTCAGGTAGGGTGACACTGGTGTCTGGTAAACCCCAGTAGACTTGTAGCTTTTTCTCTGCTTTTGTTTTACATGCCAAGCTTCCTTGTAGCATTGCAGTTACGTGTACTAGGGAGTTGTTGGAGGTTGCCAATTATTCATCATCATTCAGTTCTGTATACATGTATAGTAAATGTTTCAGAGTAAACCAGTTTTGTAGCGATTTCTTTAAGCAAGTTTTGAGATGCAGTTGCACTGTGGGTTTTTCTAAGTTCGAATTAACAGCACACTTTACTTTAGCAAACATTTTTTTATCTTATAATTTCAGCTAACAGGGTCAGAGACATTAATGTACATGGTTTAAAAGATTTCTGTTTCTATTAGACAATGTAGATATATGTATGAAATCTGACTCAGCAAGATGCTTGTTTTTCAGCCTAGTTATGGACTAGAAGGGTTCCAAGTCATTGAACGACGGGGCCCTCCCTGGAAATAACCCCCACCCCAACAGTAGGATAGGTAACAGGGCTGTCCTGCTTTATCGATTATCTGTAGGTGTGGCATTGACAACATCATCACTGTTGGGCTTTGGAACAATCCACATTGCCAGGGTCCTTATATTGTCGTGATTCATAGGCTACCAATGCTCGCTATAAACATCATGAAGAATGTCTAGAGAAGTGCAGAGATCTATATATATATATTTACTAACAGCTTGATTAACGATAACTGTCCACACGTCTCCAACCTTTGCGATCTGGATATATAGGCAAAATAATTACTTCCACTTCATTATCATTAATGTTATACAAAAGTTTTGAAAGGTAAATTTCAATTTTTCTTCCAAATTGAAATCACATCTATTGAAATTGAAGTTGAGATTTCAATTTCTGGTCTTTGCTGTTTAATTTAATCATGTTTCCCAAATGTTAAATGCCAATTTTTTCTGATAACTTTTAAGGTTGTGAGAAGTATGGACAGTACATGTATGACAAATTGTTTGTTTAGCCCTGTACTGGTGGCTGTGTGATGTATATATAATCAAGCGTATTATTGCCAGCAGACTTCTCAGAGTATGAAGTATACATCTGCTCAAAGACGCCCCAAGTCATACGAGGAACGTCCTTCTACAACTACCTCAGCCACGCATCAAGAAAAACTTGAAGACAAGAATCCGCGCAGGGTAAAGTAACATGTGACATGACCTTGCATGAACCCAGATAACCTTTGACCTATATTGTCACCCTTTGACCTCAAATGTTGTATGTTAGCCTTCTGCTTGTCAAGTTATAACTAATGTTGACTCCTAGTGCCTTGCTGCATTATCTGTCAGTAGTTGGCTTAATTATTCTAATAACAGGATATTGTCCACGAGTCCACAGACCTGCAAGCTGATAAAATCCACAGGGTTGGAAGGCCCAAGTGTGGATAGCATCTTAAGGGTTTAAAGACCTGCAAGCTGATAAAATCCACAGGGTTGGAAGGCCCAAGTGTGGATAACACCTTAAGGTCTGATCTAAACAACATCAGCAGGAATGAAATGTGTTAGTGCTGATAGCAATCTCAGGGTTGAAAGACATGAGGGTTGCTAACATCTTCAGGGTTGAAAGACATGAGAGTTGCTAACATCTTCAGGGTTGAAGACATGAGGGTTGCTAACATCTTCAGGGTTGAAAGACATGAGGGTTGCTAACATCTTCAGGGTTGAAGACATGAGAGCTGAAATCATTTTAAGGATTGAAAGATCTGAGGGCTGGTAGCATATTCAGACCTTAGGATCAAAAGTCCTGAGGGCTGATAGTATCTTAAGGATCAAAAGTCCTTGAGAGTTGATATCTTAAGTGCTGAAAAGCCTGAGAGCTGATGGTATCTTAAGGATCATAAGTCCATGAGATTTAAATATCTTAGGGGCTAAATGAAAGGCCTGAGGGCAGATTACATTGTTAGGATTGAAATGTCATAGAGCTTTTAATGTGTGAAGATTTGAAAAGAGTTTATAGGGCTAACGTAAACTGTTCAGTGGCTAAATAAGAATATCATATGTTAAAAAAACATCATTATCTTACACACCATAAACCAAAGGCATTTATTTCACATTTCAACTAATTCTGCTGAGATAAAAGATTGTATAACAGCCTGCATGGACACTGAGCATTACTGTGATCACTTGTATAATAAGTAGACATTTCTGTTTCTAACCATCCCTTCTCTCCCTCTTCTTCCCCTCTCTCTATCTCTACCCTCTGTATCGTTTTTTTATCCTAATGTTTTCACATCTCCAAAATCCTCCCCTCAATATTAATGTAGAAGTCAAAATATCTCCAGTTTTTTCTTTAAAAATGGCCTATGTAACTGTATACACTCATACATTTGATAAGTTGAAATCATTTCAGTTATTCTATGAAATTAATATTATATATAATAATAATTATTAACTTTGTGATTTAATTTTTCTTGCAATTTATATCAGTATTGGTAGATGGAAATATGTTTTGTGTTTCTGACAACTGGAAATTAGCTGTTTTTTATTTGTCAGTCTTATAATCTGGGATGTATGTTGTTTGTCTCGTTAATACACCTCTCCTTTTTAAAAAAAAAAATATATAAAGGCAATTGATTTAATTGATCCCCATTACTACACAGGAAATGTCAGCTAGCTGTCACTTTCAGGAGAGGTCCGATGAAGGAAATCCTATCAGGGTAACTGGTTTACTGGTCCTAACCGCGTGGTGTGGACACGGTTATAACACTGTCTAATATGCCCTAACTATGACTTGTTTAATAGTGATGTAAACAGAAATATTATTCTGAAGAAAGATGTTTTCTAACTCCGGGGGAAAAAGGGGCTTCTTCATGTGGCTTGCTAACCTCAGTGATGTCATCGTGTGTTAATTTACACTCATCAAGATGCTCATCAGGTCAGAGGAATGAGCTGTGGTTGGTCAGGGTAGATTGCCCTGTTTTATGTTAGGGTTAGGGGTAGATTGACTATCGGTCTATTGTACTGGGGATATTTTGCTAGTAGAATTACTTTGTAGACTTTTCACTTACATAGTTTTAGACCAAACACATTGTAGATGTATTTTACTAAATTAACACTGTGTGAACATTACTAACCAACTGGGTCAGGACATTCTGTCTTCTAACACTTACTACTGGTTGTCACCTGTCACAATCTGGAATATCTTAAATATATTTCTAACATCTAGGCTCCCCTTACATAGAGGTTAAGAGTTCAGATTATCTTTCTAGTCTACTTATGGAACTTTAGCCCAATAACTGAGGACAGGGGTAATAAAAAAATGTCCTACCTCTGCTGGAACATGTACTAGCTAGTAACCTCTATATTCAAGTCCACACATCTGAGAATATGCCCACAGATATAGCACAGTTGATAAATAAACCAGATGAGATATAGAAAAATCTGTCTCTATCCAGCAAACATGGCCACATTGCTGTTTCCCAGCGGATTATGAAGACGTTTATCACTTCTGGTTTTTGGGACAGAAAATAAGTATAATCAAGAGATCAGTTTGACCTTGATTATTGTCAGCGTACTGGTAACATAGATACATGTACTTGTAGAGGTACCCAAGTATACAGTCATTACCTGTGTAAACTTTATATTAATTTAATGCACAAAACTCCTTGGCAAAAGAAAAATTGCGATCAGTCAAATCTAGTAAGGTGACCTGAACTCCGAGACTAGCATCAAGTCTGCGTGTGTATTATTATGAAAATGATGAAAAATCACAGTGATATATATACCAAAGTCCATAGTTTTACGGCTCCAAATTGGTAGAGGTAATCTCAGACATATGTTCTTTATGAGACTGTACTGTAATTTAGGTAAGCTTTCTTCTTCAAACTTGTAAACGTTTGCATTCATGTTGATATTGAGAATATTGAAATTATATTTAGACAAAAAAATGGGATCATTCTGAATATCATATACTAGCAATCAAGCAATGAACCCGATCTTTTTCTGAAGTCTTTCGATCAGGTTTTTTGTTTTCTGTTTGATATGATCATCATGCATTCATTTAGTAGAACGCTCTCATACTTCTATTGTTACTGTGTGTTGTTACGTCGCTGTAGAGCTAACTGTGTGTAACAAGAGAACTAAAGAGACTATAAAATGTCATCAGAAGGTTTTAATACGTAGAATTTTAATGACTGTTAAGATTATCCTCAACCAATTACAACAAATCATTTCTGTAAGTTATAATACAGCTTTGGATTCAACTCAAACAAAATATTTTTATGTAGCAAAAAATGGATTATTCAATTATTCTACCTTATATGACTGGTGTTTTGTCTGATGGGTTTGCAACAATAAATATTGGATTTATCTTAAGATATATTAATATGGTTAATCCATCAGATTTTAAAGAATGATTTTTTCTTGAAAAATCTCAGGAACTGCACAGAGGTAAAACTAGAGAGTTAACACTTAAAACTACACAAGTGACCAATGTAATTGACCTCAGAACATGAGATTGTCAGATTAAAATGTCATCATTGATGTTTGATACTTCAGAATGAATACCTTGAAGCCCTGACCAACGCCTACCTCAGGAATGGCCTCCTGAATTCTGAAGCAGGTAAGTAACTGATCAGTGTGTGTACCCTCTATCTCCAGACATCAATGTTAGCATGTGGCTGCCTAGGATTTAGACAAAGCATGGTGCCAAAGTTGTAAAGATTTATCAAAGAATTCTGTTTTTGTAAATATGTTAGTGTGCATGTCAAGAATGCTTTTATGTTACATGACCACTCATATCATTTCATGATGCATTGGAAAGATGGCTGTAGGAACCATTGGCCACCATGATTTAACAATGAAATATATAATGATATATAATTTCTTTTCTTAAGTAGATCCACTGTATTTATGTTACATAAATCTTGACAGACCTTGTAGTAGACAGATCTTGAGAGATTGTTTTGACAGACTGACTTTGACTGACGTATGACAGGTTGGCCTGGAGAAGGTTTCAGGCGTATTATCTTTTAGTCTTTTGTGACAGAATAACCTGAAGATTCTTTCACTTGAGAGACTTTGTTACAGACTGATGTTGAGAGGCATTGTGACAGAGTGACATTGAGAGACATTGTGACAGAGTGACATTGAGAGACATTGTGACTGAGTGACATTGAGAGACATTGTGACAGACTGACATTGAGAGACATTGTGACAGAGTGAAATTGAGAGATATTATGACAGTGACATTGAGAGACATTATTACAGAGTGACATAGACATTGTGACAGACTGACACTGAGAGACGTTGTGACAGACTGACATTGAGAGACATTGTGACAGAGTGACATTGAGAGACTTTATGACAGACTGACATTGAAAGACATTGTGACAGAGTGACGTTGAGAGACTTTATGACAGACTGACTTTGAGAAACTGTGATGGACTATAGGTTTGCTAAGAACTAATGTCCATGTCTGATTTGTAGGTGTCACCCTCCGTACCAAGAAACCAGGTAGTTTCACTAGTAGTCTCCCAATTATCTCACCTCTAACGTAACCTGTTAATCAGTATTAACGTTCAGTACAAGTTAAATATATACACTGGAGAAGGATTTAATATCTGGTCATACTATGTTAGTATTATTACTGCACTGTTTTGGTGAAAGATTATTCTTTACTACATGGTAGATTAATTATTCTGGTAAAAACTGGGTTTTAATAGCGACGGTTGGGGTATAACAGTATTGTCATAGTATATACAGCCAAGGCAATATAAATGTTTTGGGAAAATATCAGATCAATCAATACATTCTAAAATCATCCTGATTTTCTTCATTTACAATTTGTAACTCTGTCCATGTTTAGATGAATTTATATGAGATACAAGATTTAGTGTTGGTAACCCTTATGGCTTGTGTATATATGACAAAATGCCTTATAAGGATATGTATAATATAGTGGTACGGTATTTTATTCTATTTTTAGATTTATCACTTTATATTTATGCCAGTATTTTACACAATTCTGCTGCTTGGAAATATCAAGGGAGATAACTCTATTCATTAACTCAACTTCCTTAAGATTGACCAAAACATTAATGTTTCTATACAAAAGTCACCTTAAGTACAACTTGTACAAAATCTATTGGTGTGTATTGAGTCGTTGTAGATTGAGTTTTTATAATTCTGTAATAATTTCATTTATTAGTTATCTCCATTGATTAATTCCTGTGCATGATGATAAAATCTACCCAAGCATGTCTGTGCAGCCTCGAAAATCTTGTCTATGCATTCTGCAGTGGCCCCACATTTCCGTTACTCTGGATCCAACAAAGGTTCGCCCAATATGGCCTTCAGTTTGGACGGCTTGTGTCCGCATCATGAGCAGACGTTTGCTGCTCAGTATATGGCACAACAAATACAAAACCTGCAGTGTGGAGGTAAATGTTCTCAGTCAGTTGACAGTTTGACAAGCATGTTTGCTGTTTATGAGTATGTTCTTGGTACTAATCAAGGGTAGGGGGAGTAAAGATCAGAAAACCGAGCAATTCTCTTAAAAAATGAGTGATGAAAGACGCAAATAAAATGAGAGAAGAAAAAACTTATTTGGTAAAGAAAGGTTTCAGTTAAATTTTTCTATGATGAGTATCTAGCTAGTGCTTTAGATAAAAACAGCATCCAGATGTTTCTGTGTAGAATTTGTATTCACCCTATAACATAGAGAGCTTGTAGATGTAAAAAGTTAAAAAATGATATATGTTGTGCATACCTGAGATGTTTACAGAGATGGCTCAGCTTAACATTAGCCTCTGATATAGAATAGTTCTCTCCCTTCTCATTACCCAGCCTCTATCAAAGCAGTTTAATTTTCTCTTTGGATTTCTTTCTGTTTTTTAATCTCCCTGACATAAATGATTGTGGGAGGATACAGCCATGAAATTGTGTTAGTAAATCTATAATGTGATTCACTCATAATATATTCCAAACTATTGTTTAAATGGGAAGAATGAAGACATCTTGAACATACTCTGCTGTAGTAAGCTTTAGAGACTGTTGTACATTTATTTCAACATTTTGGTTTAAACAGGTAACTTATATATTTTAGTAAATTCTGTAAAATGATGAGTTTTATGAAAAATAAAGTTGATACATTATATTATAATCAACATTATTTATGGTTTTGTTTTAATTTTTTCTTCTTGAGATTTAATTTCATTAATAGTTATAAATTTCCAGAGATATATGATGTGAGGTTCTGTATACCTTTAGCATTGGAATCCTTTCAGTATTTTTGATGATAAACAGATAAACTGTAAGGCCTGTATCAGAATAATTACAATCACTATTGAGAGGGAATTCTATATAATATGAGTTATCAAGTCTTGACAATGTGTTGATTTTCTATATTAAACCCTATAAAGTGTGCCTGCTGTAACAATCTGAGTCTTGTTTTATCCTAATTTCTGTCTCAATCTGTTGTCACTGCTTTTGACTTAATCTACTTTTATCTTTGCAAAGCTTGAACTTTATCACAGATTTGGAAATGGCTTATTTTGATATCCTTGTTGTTATAGTAACTTTATTTGATTATTTCATTGTTTTATTGTTGTTTTTTTAACTTTAATCTGATTTGTAGATTATGTTTTATGGAATGTGTTTATATTGATACAGAATTTTGTTGATGAAAATAGTGATGCTTTGAATGTGTGTCATCAGATAAGACATTAATCAGGATGATTAGAGAGAACTTCCTATTTTCAGCTGTGTTGTTTCCCATGATTCGGGACTACTCTTGACATACCTGTAGTGTGTACAAATATTTATATATACTGTAATGCCTTACAGGTAAACCGGAAACACCTATACCTCAGAGAAAAGGTATTCAGACACTAACCAACCTTAACACTTCAAACCATAACACTCAAACCATAACACTTCAAACCATAACACTCAAATTATAACACTTCAAACCATAACACTTCAAACCATTACACTTCAAACCATTTCACTTCAAACCATAACACTACAAACCATAACACTCAAACCATAACACTCAAACACATCAGTATCTAGTCATAACACTGAAGGACAAACACATCAGTAACTGGTCATAACACTGAAGGACAAACACATCAGTAACACATCATAACAATGAAGGACAAACACATCAGTAACACATCATAACACTGAAGGACAAACACATCAGTAACTGGTCATAACACTGAAGGACAAACACATCAGTAACTGGTCATAACACTGAAGCACAAACACATCAGTAACTGGTCATAACACTGAAGGACAAACACATCAGTAACACATCATAACACTGAAGGACAAACACATCAGTAACACATCATAACACTGAAGGATAAACACATCAGTAACTGGTCATAACAGTGAAGGACAAACACATCAGTAACTGGTCATAACACTGAAGGACAAACACATCAGTAACACATCATAACACTGAAGGACAAACACATCAGTAACTGGTCATAACACTGAAGGACAAACACATCAGTAACACATCATAACACTGAAGGACAAACACATCAGTAACACATCATAACACTGAAGGACAAACACATCAGTAACTGGTCATAACACTGAAGGACAAACACATCAGTAACACATCATAACAATGAAGGACAAACACATCAGTATCTGGTCATAACACTGAAGGACAAACACATCAGTAACACATCATAACAATGAAGGACAAACACATCAGTACCATATCATAACACTGAAATACAAACACATCTATAACACATCATAACACTGAAGGACAAACACATCAGTTACACATCATAACACTGAAGGACAAACACATCAGTCACACATCATAATACTGAAGGACAAACACATCAGTAACACATCATAACACTGAAGGACAAACACATCAGTTACACATCATAACACTGAAGGACAAACACATCAGTAACTGGTCATAACACTGAAGGACAAACACATCAGTAACATATCATAACACTGAAGGACAAACACATCAGTAACACATCATAACACTGAAGGACAAACACATCAGTAACACATCATAACACTGAAGGACAAACACATCAGTAACACATCATAACACTGAAGGACAAACACATCAGTAACACATCATAACACTGAAGGACAAACACATCAGTAACACATCATAACACTGAAGGACAAACACATCAGTAACACATCATAACACTGAAGGACAAACACATCAGTAACACATCATAACACTGAAGGACAAACACATCAGTAACTGGTCACAACACTGAAGGACAAACACATCAGTAACACATCATAACACTGAAGGACAAACACATCAGTAACACATCATAACACTGAAGGACAAACACATCAGTAACTGGTCACACAACACTGAAGGACAAACACATCAGTAACACATCATAACACTGAAGGATAAACACATCAGTAACTGGTCACAACACTGAAGGACAAACACATCAGTAACTGGTCACAACACTGAAGGACAAACACATCAGTAACACATCATAACACTGAAGGACAAACACATCAGTAACACATCATAACACTGAAGGACAAACACATCAGTAACACATCATAACACTGAAGGACAAACACATCAGTAACTGGTCATAACACTGAAGGACAAACACATCTATAACACATCATAACACTGAAGGACAAACACATCTATAACACATCATAACACTGAAGGACAAACACATCAGTAACACATCATAACACTGAAGGACAAACACATCAGTAACACCAGTAACACATCATAACACTGAAGGACAAACACATCAGTTACACATCATAACACTGAAGGACAAACACATCAGTAACTGGTCATAACACTGAAGGACAAACACATCAGTAACATATCATAACACTGAAGGACAAACACATCAGTAACTGGTCATAACACTGAAGGACAAACACATCAGTAACACATCATAACACTGAAGGACAAACACATCAGTAACACATCATAACACTGAAGGACAAACACATCAGTAACACATCATAACACTGAAGGACAAACACATCAGTAACACATCATAATACTGAAGGACAAACACATCAGTAACACATCATAACACTGAAGGACAAACACATCAGTAACTGGTCACAACACTGAAGGACAAACACATCAGTAACACATCATAACACTGAAGGACAAACACATCAGTAACACATCATAACACTGAAGGACAAACACATCAGTAACACATCATAACACTGAAGGACAAACACATCAGTAACACATCATAACACTGAAGGACAAACACATCAGTAACACATCATAACACTGAAGGACAAACACATCAGTAACTGGTCACAACACTGAAGGACAAACACATCAGTAACACATCATAACACTGAAGGACAAACACATCAGTAACATCATAACACTGAAGGACTTCCTAGCTAATTCATACATAAAGTCTACTTACACACTTAATCAATTAGGTTTTTTCCACTGAAAAATTTGTATACAGGTGGTTTTATCACATTTAACTGCATGCAAAGTTTGAAAATAAATTACGATAAAACTATTATTCAAACAAATCTATTTCGTGATAACAAATATAATGCATGAATTTTTCTTCCTACGGAGAAAAACCTAGCGAAAATGTGTGTTTGTGTGATCCCTTACTGTTTAGTCCAGTTTCTTAGTGTGTTACCAGAGAATAGTCACCAGTGTGGTGATTTCCATGTCTACATATCTACCTGCCTTGATATTTCTCACTGATTGTCACAACTAAACATCATGTAAAATATATACGAGTCTTTAGAATTGTAATGAAGTGCAATAACATTCATGATGATATATAGTCTTTTACATCTGTGTGTAAAACATTTCTACAAACTTTTCCTAAAAGTAACAAATTTATAGAACACTAAATGATTGTTACATCCTACTCTTTATGTATCATACCAAAAATTCAGCATCTCGTAAAAACATTGTATTCTGTCCATTCCTACTCGTACACAGAATTAACTGGGATGTAGATTTATGACAAAATTTCCGTCTGATCCTCCATCTATTTCTTGTTGTGATATTAGTTTGAGAAAATTTCAAAATTAAATATCCTCTTAGTTAGTTTTACTAATTACTCATAAAATCCATGTTCCCCACATTTAATTACGTAATGAGTGTCACCAACGTTAAATGATGTATGGTCATAGCCCTGCAACATCAAGGGTGACACAGTGTTTGAAATGGTCATCTAGGAAAAACGCCATTCTATTGTATAGCTATCACATCTGTATGTATTTAAATGTTTTTTACGCTATGTTTAAACATTATTTTGACTAATACTAGATTCTCAAATGAAGCTGAAATTTTCAAATACAAATAAAAAGCAAAGATCAGATAATTATAGTGTTTTACACAATTTGAGTCATGATATTGTCAATTTTAGTTAAACCTGACAAAATCAGGTGAACTGGTGACACTATGAGGATGCCAAACATTCTTCTGTAACAGTTCCATTTTTTAATCAAATTGTTTTTAGTAAAAATGTTTATGTTTGACATTTGCTGACAATTTGATTGATGACAACAGTTGTGGTGATACTTATTAATGCTGTTTTATCATGTGATATGTCAGATACAGAACCACTACAACAAGGGGTCAGAGGTCACCATAAATCCATCAAACCCTTCCATGAAAAATGTAGTGACGATATCCTAGCTAAGTTGTTGGGAATGCCAGAAGGTATATGTAGCGGTGTGCAGTTCTCTTACCAAACCACATTAGTTTTTTTTCCTTTCTACCAAAAAGGAAGGCCCTTGAGAATCCCTCCCCCTGGGGACCTTCAGGGTATCACCCTTACTAACCTCCACGAATCACCTCAGGATACTTTCATGGATATATGAAGGCTAACTTTAAGGTGGTGATGCCCTTACTTTTTCACATTGTTTGTGACTTTGTAGGGATCTCTCACTTTTTCACTGTGTTTGTGACCTTGTAGGGATCTCTCACTCTTTCACTGTGTTTGTGACCTTGTAGGGATCTCTCACTCTTTCACTGTGTTTGTGACCTTGTAGGGATCTCTCACTCTTTCACTGTGTTTGTGACCTTGTAGGAACCTCTCATGTTTTCAGTGTTTTTGTGCTACATGGCATTCCTCACATGTATTGGTAACTACCTCACTACTTCACACTTGTAGAGATTGTTCCCCATCCACGTGTGTCTATGTGTCAGAAATACTTCTATATTTGGTCGGGTTTACTGTAATCACGTTTCATCTTCAACAATACCTGGATACATATAATACACACCCAAACATGTCGGATGTTTTCTACATTCATGTTATTCAACTGTTTCTTCTGTATATTATATATCTAATGTCAGAGAATAACAGGAAATGAAAATGGTGAAAAAAACTGAAGCATTAGTTATTATGATATAGATGTGTAGCAGGTTTAATTGTACATATAGCATTATGATTCTAGCTTCGTACTAGAGCGAATTTTTCTTTAGCTCCATCTATAGAATGGTGGACCAGTAAGCCAGGTGTGATCCCTAGTTACACTAGTGTTTTTGTGTTATAGATGTTATCATATACCCATGTTAAATATAAGAATAACTTCAGTTCATTACTTTCTATATTTCATGAAATTGAAGCAGTATTACATTCCAGTTACTATATCATTTGTAAATGTTTGATAAGTGTTGTGTTTAAATGTTGTTCTATGTATGTGTCTCTGTGTTGTGTCATACTGTTACAATAATAAATTTGACAGTATTTTGTGTGGCCTATATAATGCGCTGTGTCCTGATGATACAGATCTCTATATCGTGTTTTACAGTTATTGTAATGAAACGTGACTGTCTGTGACAATAAATGTTTCTCTATATGTTGTTTTGAACATTTAGTTGTAGGAAGTACTTTGGTTAAGGTGTGGAAGGAACACATGAAACGAACACGAGGACGTCGTAAGATTCTCTCTCTGTGCATAATTAGTAATAAGTGTATAGAGGGCGTGTACTTTTTAGTTGGAATCCGGGCACTAAATGTCTGTAGTACTTAACAGATTTCAGCATTCTTTTCTACACACCAAACAATACCTCCAAAACACTGGGATCATGGTGAAAAAAGGGAGAAAACTATCAATTTCATGTATGTAAAATCAGGGGAAATTACTCAAGGGAGATAACTGTTGGCTACATGTGAGTAAAATAAAGGGACATAACTTGATCAATCACTAGATGGATTTAACAGGAAATTTTTTATGAGATGTAACTAATGACCAGATGTATGTGAAATAATTAGGACGTAACTCAAGGAACTGCTTACATAGACAATGTATGTAAAATTGGACATGAAACACAAGGGCAGCAACTAGTTAACTACATATATGTAAAATGGACATGTGACTCAGGGGCATTAACTGTTAAAATTAGACAATGTAAGTCAGGGGCGCTAACATATATGTGAAATTGAACAAACATATGGACTAGATAAATGTAAAATTGGGCATAACTCTGGGGAGAAAACCAGTGACAAAATTGAACTAGTTAAATATACAACAAATAAATATATTCCTATTTTTGGAGTTAATGTGGTTAAAGATTGATGTTATATCAGCGATGAAGAGGTGACTGGAGCTGTGTAGAAGGGAATCTGTTTCACATTCAGACTACTTCACCAGAAACATTCTTTTTTCCTTTGTAGCAACTCAACTGGTGCTTTTTCTAGGGATTCATTTTCCATTCACCAAGTTTTGACTCATGATCCATTGCAAACGTGTTCTTTTTAATAAAGCGTACCTTTTTTCCTCGGAGACGTTTGATAACGCATATCTATAAGAGAATGGAGCAGGTTTTTTCTACTTATTTCTAGTTTAGTATACAAATCAGCGTAGAGGGTCCTTAACTGGCTTTTTAGCATACTTTACTTAGGGCACCTGAACCAAGAGTTCTCGTGGCCTATTCCTATCCACCTTTCTCTGTCTTCCTGTGCCCATCATACTAAATGTTTTCATAAAAACACTTTTTGAACACAAACTTGGTATAAGGGTCAAGATTTTCGAGAGTTAAAGGCTATTGATTTAGAATATTGAGCAACAGATATCAGATGTTATGTTTTAATGATAAACGAAATTACATCAGATTACTATACAGAAGATTTTCTTAAAGCTTATTCAAATAACCTCTTTATCCAATATCCTAGATCAAATTTGTGAAAACATTCAAAATGCACTGTTTGCCTTAAACTGCTGATTTTTTTTATCTTTATTCAGAAAATATGTATCTAGTTAACATCGTGTTAATCATACAAGAAAACATTATTGTGAATATATAAATAGTCTGTAAACAAGTGTTTCTATATAAATGCAACAGACACAGTGAGAAATGCTTTTTGGAATACAGCATTTCATAAAACAAAGTGATTCTTTATACAGTTTCTAAGGTCTCAATGAGTGATGCTTGTGAAAAATACTGGTTAGAAATAAAAGTTTTTGTACAGTTTCAGTCTGAAGTTTAGTATTTTTGGAGCTTTTGACTTGCGATTTCTTGTCAAAAACTGATGCTTCATGCGCTTACAAGCAACATGCATTTTTCAAATTATTGAGGATATTCAATTAAAAAATCTCTGCCTTTGGAGACAGTTTTTAAAACATGTTTTCCTTAAAATGGCATCAGTGTAGATTTAAATTTATGTAACTTTATATCTATATTTAGTAATGGTGTGATTATCAAGAGAGAGAATGTAAAAGGTTACACACAGTGTGTCACTGTTTACCTATTTATATATGTTGTTTTTGTATACAGAGGCCAATATAGACGACCTGGTGCGGTCACAAATAACACACCAAGCCAGTATTTCACCCATCAATCGTCAGCCTCTCCAGCGCCACATCCTCGAGGTGTCTGCAGCCCAGCAGCGACAACAGGATATGTTACAACAGAATCGTAAACAGGTATGAACCCTTGACTCAGGATCTCTACCGATCCCCTTTACTGATATTCCACACCAGCTTCCCCATGTTTTATCCACTTTACAAGGGTAATCCTCTATAGATTTTCTTTGTTTTTATTTTATTGATTATGTGATTTGTCCCTGTCTTACGTACTTCTTTTTATAGTTTTTATTTTCTGCACAGTACAGTGACTCTTGTGAAAATTAAACTAGTGATTTGTTTTGATGTTGTGGAGTCATATCTGTAAACAAACGTGAAATTTATTTCTGTCTTGTTATCTTTCATAATATTTTATGTAAATGGTAAGCACCACTGAGATATCTTTAACAGAAATGTAGGATAAAACAAAATTTACACTTGTAATTGTATGTAATTGACTTCTGGAGTTTTATGTCTAAATATTTCAAATCTATGATTAAGTTTGATGATGTTTTCAAATCCATTTCAGAATTATGTTTATAAGTGAAGTTGGTGTTATGTTTTTGTGCAGTTAATTTCACTAAGAATTTCATGAACATGCAACATTCCTAATTGTCTTTACAAGATCTGTTTCTGTTTCAACTTTTCAAATTCTTCTTTGAGGAATCTTCTCAACAAAATCTGAAAATTCTTGTATATACAATGTATCTCCAAATTGCTTCTGCTTGACAAAACTAAAAAGGTGTTGTGGATTAAATTATCCTTAGCAATGAGTTAATTAAATTTTATCAGAATTAGAAATCTTTACGAGTCAGCAGTTTTCTGTATTTTTGAAGTTTTCATAAAATTTAATTAGTGTTTTATGTTAATTGTTCAAATTAATTATCATTTAGTATGTTAGCATTGTTGTTTGTAAAATAAAGATAAATAATATTTGGAGTTACAAATCAAGAACTTAATTTAAAAGTGGGTACACTTTATCATGATCACATAATTAATTCATATATTGTAACTTCTGAGAATGATCAGGTCATTACCAATCTATCTTGTACATACTATCATAATTTATATACCTGTCAACTACTGAAAAACCAGCTCCACTCTAAACTTTGTACATAATGAGGAACCACACACATCCCCTTAATTTCTTTCATTCTGTTGGAGACATGATATAGATCACTTTTTATGGTTAATGATGTTTGGTGGCACACATTGTATACAATTTATGCCAGTCAATATGTTTAAGAAAGCAAAGATAGATTTTTCTGATAAAAAATATGATATTTTCATAAATTTTTTATTTCTTTTTGAAATTATATAATATTCAGAGTAAAACCAGTTAGAATAAAGATAAAAAAATATGTGGTGTCACTGAAAATAGAAACTGTAATCAATGGAGACATGTGAAGTGACCCAACAAAGCGGGGTCCTCTTACTACCTTATTTCATCAAAAACTGACAACTTCTCACCACCTCACTCAGATTTTATAAAAACTGACAAAGTAGATAACACATGGGCAATAACTCTAACTTATTGTTTGATTCTTAGTAGCTCTGGCTAATTGAACAAAAAACAATTAAAAAACAACAAAAAAGAAAAAGGGGAAAAAAGAACTCAAACCAATGTTAAAGTTACAGAAAACACAGTCCTTCTATGAATTGTTGTAAGGGAAATTTTCAAAAGGTGCCTTATATTTCTATCAAGATTTAATGACAAGAGTATAAATTTTATTAATGTTTCAAAGTATGATTACAAGACAAATCTATAATAATTCTCTAAAATTAATCTGAAAGTTTAACACTGATAGATAGAAGTTAAAATTGTATACACTAAACCAAAGTCATTTCTCAAGTAATTTGTGAATTTGTGTTTGTTGCTAATCATATTGTGTTGTTTCCTCTTCCACATTTGTTATCAGTACTTTCCTTTGTGTTATAAAGACTTCACCTAATCTAGAACTGTGTAATGGTTTTTTGTGATATTGTTAGAAAATGTCCTATGAGATTGGGACTGAGAACTATTTTATGATAAACAGAGTTGCTTCCCCTGGATAATGTAGTGTAGTACACTTTGTGGTGGTTGGTGAGGCTATGGTTTATGTCAGCTTATGATTCCAGCTGGCTAGTCTTGCACACCCCCGCCAACTCTCCTTTTGTAGTTCTAGACTGTGTTTATTTGTTTGATTTGTGTTGGAGTTTAATTGTTTTTTTTTTTTTTTTTATTATTACATATTGTTTATTTAGTTATTACAGGTTTGTTTATCGATGTTTTATTTCTAGAGAGCTATAATTTCTGAATTTTCCTTTATATCTTGTTCAGTTATATTAGAATATTAGAAGGTGCATGATATAATATCTAGGATATCATACTTGCATGACTCCTGATATAGTTGAGACAGAATAGAGCTAGAAATGGTATAAGATTACTATCAACACATATAAAAATGTTTCTATACTATTACAAAATATGTCATAGAGCAGAGATACATGTTGTATAAACATACACAATCAATATTACTTGGAAGAGAAAATACAATTGGATTTTGATCTACAAATGACAGTGATAACAGCAATGAGGAGAGCTATCAAAACAATTACAGACATACTATAGATACTGTTTATCAGTCCTCACTATATTTTGATGGAAAAAATCCCATTATTTCAATTCTGTATGCTAATTAGGTATAAGATTCTGAGAATTACTTTGATTAGGTTGTCTAGATAGAGTTGTGATTCACTATATACAGATTGGTGTCAGATTGAACAGGATTTTGTGATAGACTAGAATATAAAAATACTTTTTGGTAATTTAAAAAATCTTTATTTGATAAATCATTTCAATTTGTTCTCCAATATGAATTACACCTCTTATTTATGACGGTTTCTGTTTTGTTTACTTTCAGGAGAACAGATCAGGTAATAACGTCATTCGGATGCACCCCAATCCTTTTGACGAGCGCACATCTAAACCTCCCATAACCATATGTGATGGTAAGATTTACTGTCACATACCCAAAAACCAGACCCCACACCTTATTGGTCAATGTTTAAATTTTGAGTCCTCATTGGTCAGATTTTCCATAGATTGTCACCTGATTGGTCAATTCTATTCCTATCCCAGCATATCTCATTCATTCTGATTTCATAAAGTGTCTAATTTGATGATTATTGGTTTTGATGCAGCACAATAAATTTTTGTCAAATGACATTATGAATTTATGAATTACAAGCAGAAATAGCCTATCACAAAAATACTTACAGAAATAATTGTGTTCAGATCAGGTTTAATGTCTGAAAAATTGTACTTTCAGGGTTATTGTGAAGAAGATTTGATGATTTATTTGTCAAGTGCAAAACTATTAATTATAATTGGTAGATAGATTTGAATATATTTCACAAATTTAACACAGGAATTGACTGACATTCACTTCATCATAAATACCATCACTTTACATGCTTACAAAATCACAATCAAAGTAGAAATTAAAATTGAAATAAAGTTGCTTAAATGTCACATAATTGTTATTGTCTCAGACTCTATATAGAAACCACTTACACATTCAACAAGAGAGATCCTTGGAGCCTTTAAACATATCATATAGCTTGTAGTTTTCGCTGGTCAAAATTTCCACAATTTTCTTTTAAAATTATGAAATGATTTAACTAATTAAAATTTTCGTGGTCTGGATGTAAAAGTACATCCCATACGTGTGTGTCTAATTGTTTCACAGACTTATTTTTTCACAATCATTTTAATGTACCATGAAACAGTGAAATTATCATCCTCTATGATTGGCGATACAATAATTTTGTACTTTAGCCTGTTAGTACGATCCAGTAGACACTGTGGGGGAACCTAAAACAAAGATAGAAAGACTATTTCAAAGTTTCCTTTTTACTGCTTAAAGATGTAAGAATTCTTTAATATGATGTCGTAGTTTCATGAATATATCAATAAGTGTAATGTCTAGGGATATATACTTGTATATAGCAAAGAATGTAAAAAGTGTTACTGATGCTATGCTGTGGGAAAAAGTGATAATTTGGTGGTAGGTTATGTTTCTTTAATAACGTTTCATCTTTCTGTATTGTGTAACTTCTATTGGCACAATGATAACAACTCCTGTAATATAACCATGTATTGTAACACCTATAAGATATAACAATATCTATTGTATTGTAACACCTATCAGATATAACAATATCTATTGTATTGTAACACCTGTCATATATAACAATATCTATATGATACTGATATAATTGATCTATTCTGGTTGTTCTTATAACATTGCACAAATACAAATTTTTAATCTTTCTACTTTATGAATCGCTTTGTCAATCATAAAATATTCTGTCATCTTAAAGTGACCCTTTCAGACTTTTTATGAATATAATGCTTTGATTTTTGTTATGATATAGGAATTCTGTATTTCTGTAACTAGTAAAATGAAAATGATTTTTAAACATCCTAAGTATCCTTCAGAAGGATCAATCTTATTAAGTTAAATAAATTCAATGAATTCTATCTGTGAGTTACATCATTTCTTCTGAAGATCAGCTTTTTACCAGTGAGTAGTCTGGCCGAGTTTCCTCAAAAGTTAGAGGTAACCAGTGATAAATTTTAGTCGCTGTCACTGCAAAAAACATTAAAAGCAGAATTAACCTTAAAAATATCTCAGTTTGACTTGTCTGTACAAATCTATAGAAATGCTAAAGAATGTTCCCAATTTAGAGTTGTGTTTCAAAATTTTCACTAAGCACTGGTTATCTTTGGGCAGCCTTTGAAAAACCAGGATAATTTTTTGTTTTCAATTACTCTGTTTGAAAGTTGTTTAGCACTATAGTATGCTAGTATGATTAATAATTATCTACCTCACATGATCAGAAAATGTTCAGGCATCAAATCCCAACATCACCATCACATCAATCAGTTACCCTTCACGTTTTGGGAAATATAAATGGAGGTGAATTTTTACTCAAAATATTAAAAAAAATTGTCATATGTTACTGAGATTTTTATTTCTGTCCTGGGAAATTTTGTTGATGATGAGAACACTGAAATCTATAACTCTGGGCTCTAAGGGCTGTATTTTTGGTCTTACCTTAGTTGGTCAAGAAGTTAAAAATATCTAGTCTCTTTCTTAAAAAATCTTAACTTTTTTTTTTACTGTTTTGTGGGTAATAAAATACAGCTAACAGAAATGACATTTGATATAACACTGACCATTGTCCGAGTCCCTAGATACAGCCCTGTTGCCATCTATTTCTCTGTATATCTAATCCTACCTTTAACTCCCTGGTCCTATTTCAGCCAGTAAATCTGGTCGACCTCGAACTCAGGTGCCTTCTGCTACTTTCGTAAATTATGATCAGTACCATTCAGTGAAGGCCCCACCGGAGGAACCACAGGTAGAGTCAAAGGAAGTGCTTCTGATGGAGGTAGAGAAACTGGAACCAATCTCAGTGGACAACCAGGAGGGTATGTCACTTAGGGTCTACCTCGGTAAACCAACTTGGTCACTAAGTAACCATGGACCAGTACAGAACCCTAAATGGTCGTTTTTTCGTTTTTCAAGGAAGAAAGTTAAAGAAAGTACTGAACGTTGTTAATATATAGCCCTATTACTGATAACCTGTTTCTCTCTATTAATTATATATTCTATACCTCTATTAATTATATATTCTATACAAAAAATACCTGATCATGCATTGTCAATCATGTTCTACTTTTAAAGTTACTGTTTAACATCATCCAGAGAACTTTATAGTCCAGACTGATAATATACTTTTGAAAACCTATAATTGACAAGAGAAAGTTGAGTGTTGAGTTTCAGAAGAATAGTTTTTGCTGTCTTTTCAAGGAAAGAGACAGGATTCTATCAGTGAAATGATTTTCTTATAGAATGAAACTCAGTAAGAATACTAGACGTGATTGATGAAGTGTGATCCACTTGTATCTTCAGCAACACTTTTCTGTTGCCTTGGGTGTTGTTGGTACCAATGACAATTGGTGAGGGGTTTATCAGGCTTTCTCTGTAACCATTATAATCTTTCTTTCTCCTGACTGTGTACAGTAATCAAAGGAATCATTATCAATATTTATTTTGTACATTGTTTGTGCTTTCATGCCTCTATTAGACATTGGGTTATTTCAGAGCAGGATTTTTACCAGTACAGTGTAAGATATGGTAACTAAAGGGATGTTTCTGTCATTACTTTATACACAAGAGCTAGATTTTCATTCTCTGTCACTTTTCAGATGAATCCAAAGAAGGCAAAAAACATAAAGGAAAACATAAAGAAAAGGGAGGTCGGAAGAGTCGGATGGGTGAGTCACTGTCTACCTAACACTTTAATATTATTTTTAATTCAATAATCATTGTAATTTTCATTTGATACATGTGTTTATGGGAAGACATTCTGTCTGTAATGTTTGCAAGGCAATTTTGTTTGTACATTTTCATGTATTTATAATCTGTTTACACTTCAATCATATCTACTTGGGCGTTAATGATGTGGGTTATTAACACTTTAACAAAAATTGAATTCTGATTTACAAGAAAAAACCAAAAAGACCTACAGACTGTTGGGTTAATAATTTGAAACCAACCCTTAAGTCATAATTTCAGGTAAATCCTTTTTCCATGCAGTTAGTTTTCACCAGTAAATAAGTGAAGTCATGAGGATACTTCAAATGAACTTTGGAGTAAAAATGATGATACAACGCTGTTGTGGTTTTGTTCAAATTTTAGTCCCAAATGAAACCTTGAGTGCCAAACAGGAGAGAAGGGGGCACCGCTACCGTCAGTTTAAGCGCGACATTTACAGCGACACTTGGAAACAAAGTGAAAGTGTGTTCACAGTTATACAACTAAGACACATGAGCTGTCAATCACTTGTGTTGCTATAACTTTCACCTGATCAAGACTTTTGTCTACCCATTCCACTGTAGAACTAATTATTATCAACTAAACACAAAAGAAATTAGAGTTGAAATCACTTGTGTTATTGACTTTCACTTGTTTTACTCATACATATCCTGTGTACCCCCAACCCGCTACAGACCTAATTTATCAATACAAGATACAGGATTTACTCATACATATCCTGTGTACCCCAACCCACTACAGACCTAATTTATCAATACAAGATACAGGATTTACTCGTACATATCCTGTGTACCCTCAACCCACTACAGACCTAATTTATCAACACAAGATACAGGAGTTACTCATACACACAGAGAAATAATTTATACATTGATCTAACCATCTTCAGTCAGTGTGAGATATCTACAGAAATAATTTATATAGTGACCTAACCATCTTCAGCCAGTGTGAGATATCTACAGAAATAATTTATATAGTGACCTAACCATCTTCAGCCAGTGTGAGATATCTACAGAAATAATTTATATAGTGACCTAACCATCTTCAGTCAGTGTGAGATATCTACAGAAATAATTTATATAGTGACCTAACCATCTTCAGCCAGTGTGAGATATCTACAGAAATAATTTATATAGTGACCTAACCATCTTCAGTCAGTGTGAGATATCTACAGAAATAATTTATATATAGTGACCTAACCATCTTCAGTTAGTGTGAGATATCTACAGAAATAATTTATATAGTGACCTAACCATCTTCAGTCAGTGTGAGATATCTACAGAAATAATTTATATAGTGACCTAACCATCTTCAGTCAGTGTGAGATATCTACAGAAATAATTTATACAGTGACCTAACCATCTTCAGCCAGTGTGAGATATCTACAGAAATAATTTATATAGTGACCTAACCATCTTCAGCCAGTGTGAGATATCTACAGAAGTAATTTATATAGTGACCTAACCATCTTCAGCCAGTGTGAGATATCTACAGAAATAATTTATATAGTGACCTAACCATCTTCAGCCAGTGTGAGATATCTACAGAAGTAATTTATATAGTGACCTAACCATCTTCAGTTAGTGTGAGATATCTACAGAAATAATTTATATATAGTGACCTGACCATCTTCAGCCAGTGTGAGATATCTACAGAAATAATTTATACAGTGACCTAACCATCTTCAGCCAGTGTGAGATATCTACAGAAATAATTTATATAGTGACCTAACCATCTTCAGCCAGTGTGAGATATCTACAGAAATAATTTATATAGTGACCTAACCATCTTCAGCCATTGTGAGATATCTACAGAAATAATTTATATAGTGACCTAACCATCTTCAGCCAGTGTGAGATATCTACAGAAATAATTTATATATAGTGACCTAACCATCTTCAGCCAGTGTGAGATATCTACAGAAATAATTTATACAGTGACCTAACCATCTACAGAAAGTGTGAGATATCTACAGAAATAATTTATATAGTGACCTAACCATCTTTCCCCAAAGTCATTTAAGTCTCCTTTCTTACTGAGTAATTGTTCTCAGTCACGTCCTGCATGTTAATTTTCTCTTAGTACCACATGTTTAATCTCCTTAAAATGTTTGTTCATCCTCTACATTCTGCTTTATAAATATGCTTGTCTTTTTTATTGTAGCAATAATCTTAATACAGAGTTATCCCCCTTCTTTCAGATAGAGATGTTACTAATGATGTAATACCCCAGTATATTGTATTACAAACAAATTTGAAGTAAAAGATATGCTGCTTCATTTGTAAGGTTAAAATTGTATGAACACATATCCCTCTGTTTCCAAATTCATTTTATACATCTAAACTCCTTATCTTCAAACTATTTTTTAATTGTGATAATTTTAACCTTGTAATTGAGGTAGATTTTCAAATACATTGAATGTCCATGTATATGATTGGCTGTCATTAGGTATGCGAGAGTCTGATGAGGATCATGGTCCAGGAAATGAGGGGCCCGATTATGTGACTGATCCCCACTCACGAAAGGAGCCGAGGGTGAAGTCGGCTCAGTCTACAGAGGAGGTGGACAGTGCAATAGAAAGTATCAAGGAACTGAGACAGTCACTTGCCACCACTGCCATTCAGCAGAATCTTAGTCCAACTGCTGGGTAGGTATCACAACAGGCTGTTAACAATATACAGGTATATTAGATAAACAGGATGTCTGGTAGATCACTGGAAATCAAGTCTGTCATGATATCTGTACAGAATATCTAAATTCTATGTGACTTAAGTACTGTCAGATGTGACAGGTAAATGTCCTGTGTCAGAGTAATAACAGTCGTCATTCCATATGTACCATTTGTCCAAGCTGCTTTTTTGAGATCAGACAATTGTTGATGTGACTTTGCTGTTTGACCAGAGTCGAGACTATTGCTGTATGCCTAGCTGCTCATGTGTATATATATATCTCTGCACCTGCATGCATTCTCTGATTTATCATTAATTATGGGATGGGGACTTCTATCTCTTAATTCAGTAAATATATCCTATTGAAGAACCAATTGTTGGTTAAAATCACCAAAATATCAGAGGTCTTAGCCTAGCCAGAACAGCTTTTCTTAGTAGCTTTTCCCAACTCTGTTGGAAAACCGATGTAAAGTCAAGAGTTTAATTTTTTAGTAGGTCATATTTACTGGTGCTTCTGATGTCAGTACAAGTAGTCAAAAATATACAGCAGATTTGACTAATTATTTTGATATGAATTGTGTGTATGTAAAATTGTTATTACTCATTAATAAGAAACTAAGGTGATATTGTTATTTCTGTTGTCAGACTTGCAAGGTAAGTTGTCGAGAAACGTCATACTGATATCCTTATTTGTACATGGGCAGGTGTGCTGGATTGACTTGTTGAGTTTATTGCGGATATTACACTATATTCTCTGTCCTTTTATCACACTTTTATTGTAAATACAGGGTTCCGGACAAGTTTCCCTTCTCGAGGTAGAGTTCGTTGTTGAAGCAGAAAATTCTGATGTAGTAACTTCTCTACAGTAACAGTGCACAGTTAATAGCCAAGTGTATATCTAAATTACTTCTTGTCTCCATATTTATCTGGGCTTGGATATTCTTGCCTTCCACTTGTTCTAAGTTAACGTATTTTATCTCCCAACATGATATAAATGAGTTTCCTTTGCTTTTGGTAATAATGCTTTTTCTCCCATGTCAATGTGTGGGTATGATATGGACTTGTCACTTAATAGAACAATAGTAGTCAGTTCAGTTCCAAAAACATATAAATAGCATGTATTAACCATTAATTGTTGCTTATGGACATGCCCTGTTTTGATTTACTTGAATTGACGACAACTAGGTTTATAGGTGGAAAGTCCTTGTCACAGCTGACCATTAACAAAAGGAATGAAAAAGCTTTGTTACTTCAGAGAACTTCATCTCATCAATTTTGGGGAATATGATAGAGTTTGTCTTGTAAAATAATTTACGAGATGATGTTTTATTGATAATTTTTACACGGAAGTGTCTCTGTTTTTCATAGGTAAAATGATGTAGATCTTTATAAGCAATAACAATTAGATTGTAATGGTTATTAACTTAATTCCTAAATAAACCTACCTTAACAAAAACCAAAAATCTGCTGTTGGATGATACACACTTGGGTATTAATTGTTAAAATTAGACCGATTCTATCCTAGACTAATTCTAGGTTTAATGACACTAAACTGTATTAAAACCAGACTGGTTGTGGTAACCAAGTAGATAGCTGATAAGGTTAAGATTGTCCTGTAGATGTTCTGTTGTAGAGGATTGGTTTCTATAACATGATCAGTAGATATCAGTACGATGTTTGTGAACAAGTTTCCCGGTAGTGGATTGGGATTAATTTGAAGGATAGTAATTGAAAACATTTTTATGTTCACAGATTTATGTAAAATGCTTAATAGCAGTAAGGGTACTTGGTGACCTGTAACGTTTGATAGCAGTGAGTGTACTTAGTGACCTGTAATGTTTGATAGCAGTGAGTGTACTTAGTGACCTATAATGTTTGATAGCAGTGAGTGTACTTAGTGACCTGTAATGTTTGATAGCAGTGAGTGTACTTAGTGACCTGTAATGTTTGTTAGCAGTGAGTGTACTTAGTGACCTGTAATGTTTGATAGCAGTGAGTGTACTTAGTGACCTGTAATGTTTGATAGCAGTGAGTGTATTTAGTGACCTGTAATGTTTGATAGCAGTGAGTGTACTTAGTGACCTGTAATGTTTGATAGCAGTAAGGGTACTTAGTGACCTGTAATGTTTGATAGCAGTAAGGGTACTCAGTGACCTGTAATGTTTGATAGCAATAAAGGTACATAGTGACCTATATATTGACCTAGATAAATGCATGCATGTGCATCATAACTTGCTTGCATTATTAATTTGTGGTGGCCTCCAATGCTGATTAATTTATCTAATATCTGATGGTTTTTTTGGGGATACTTAATTCTGATGGCTTTTACTGAATGTATAACCAATATTGTCATTATCTCATTAAGCATTTCATTCAGCACCCTCTATAAACATAAATTCAATCATTTGACATTTTCATTATTTGGCGTACTGATATTTTTGGCATAAGATATTTTACACAGTTCTAGAGGGTTTTTTTTACTTTCATAACAGTATTTGAACAGTAGCATGGTTCAGAATATACAGGTGTAATTGACAGACTTTTGAAATGATTAAATACAAGAAAATTGGGAAATCTATTGAAATAGGGGGCAAGTTCACCTTCCAATCTAGATTTTGATATTTTTTTCTGATCCCTTTGGATTTTCCTCTCAGTCACCCCATAGGTTTTGAAATCATACCATTAGCTCACTGACGAGCCCTAGAAAGACAAAACAGTTGTATGATACAGTTTAATTCATTATTGACTCTACTCTATCTAATTCTAAATATATATTGAAAGGTGCTAAACACTAGTCTTGTATGTCTATTGTACAATTTTCATAAAATTATGGATTCTGGTGTTTTGAAGTGTGTTACACTGATGTTGGTAGGGGATGGGTTTAATACTTGCTGGTGTTAAGCTTTATACACAGGACATTGAAAATGACCTCTTATAAGGGGAAAAAAGAAGAAAAAAACTCACTCAAAGAGAAACAGATGTGTTCATGCTTTTGTGTTTCAAGAGTACATTTATAAAATTATATACATAATGCATGCTGCTTTTTATTGGTTTTCTAATGTTTATCGATAAACATATTGTTCTGAAAACTTTTAATTTGATTTTAAGTCATTCATATCATTAATTCTTTATTTGACTTTGACATGCATTAAACAAAAGGGAGCATATGTTTAAAGAATTGGATTTATTTAGATTAGTTCTGCTTCAGAATACATAGGTATTAAGGCTTACCTTGTAATCAGTACAGGTGGGGAGGTAACAGATATTAGGATTTACCTGTAATCAGTACAGGTGGGGAGGTAACAGATATTAGGATTTACCTGTAATCAGTACAGGTGGGGAGGTAACAGATATTAGAATTTACCTGTAATCAGTACAGGTGGGGAGGTAACGGATATTAGAACTTACCTGTAATCAGTACAGGTGGGGAGGTAACAGATATTAGAACTTACCTGTAATCAATACAGATGGGAGGTAACAGATATTAGGATTTACCTGTAATCAGTACAGGTGGGGAGGTAACAGATATTAGGATTTACCTGTGATCAATACAGATTGGGGAGGTAACATATTAAGATTTATCTGCAGATTTGATAAGTACCAAATATACATATTCAAATATTAATGTTTTACTGTGGAAAATATTCTGTAAACCTTTCTTAATCATAAGAACACAAGTTGTGTGAAGTACATGAAATATTAAGTAATTATTTAGGAAATGATAATGGAAATCAAAGTCCTTTCCAAATCAGTATAATTTGTAAATCCATTAATTTGATAACCTTGATAATTAGAAAGAAAACCTGATTTTGACTTTTGTTTTATGCAGACGTTACATCAAACGTCTTATGAAGGAGACTGACCATGATATAGAGGAACTGACCAATGAAATCAAGAATGATATAGAGGTTGGTACATTCCATAAACAAAGGATTACTTACCAATATCTCAGTTTAATTCTCCTAGATTATACCTGTAGATGTCTTATTTTTCTGCTGTCTGTGTAATTGTTATATAGATTATACAGTCTGTACACTGAGATTGTTGAATGAATCCTGAGTAATATTTTAACTCTATAAAAAATTTGCCATTGCATTTCAGTATGAGAAGAAGCTTGCCAAGAGACGATCTGGTGCTCAGTCTGCCTCCAGTGGATCCACTCCAGTAAATGGAGAATTATCCCCCATCTGTGATTCCAATGGTGTGCCAGTCCCAGACATTGTTCCAGTACAGCGCAGTCACCATAAAGATTTGATCCTACTCCGTGAAAGTAATGGCCTTGGCCTTGGCCTTGACTTGCCAGATGAACACCAAAAATGGCATCAGGACTCTTCAGTTACTCGTGAGAAAAAGTCTAGTACACGACAACGAATGGTGACCCCTGTGGAAACAAAAACTACTTATCCAGTTAGTGATAGAACTCACGACCGATCTCAGAAATGGTCAAATGATTCAGGTATTAACTACAGCAACAACGCTCAACCTCCCATAGCTCAGAAAAAACTTTCAGATATGACCTTTGACCTTAGTCAGGTGCAAACAGAGGCCTCAGGCCCACAGAACAGTTCTTTGGCTTTGTCACACACTGGTTCTCAGGTAGGCAGCAGTTATGGAGGGAGAAAGCCTGTTGGAGAGCCCCTAAAACTGGCAGAATGTAGCAGTTATCATGGACAAAGCTTTGTCAAGGTTGGAAAAGGTGGGATGAGAGCCGGAAGTGCAACCAGCAGCAGTAGTCGAGAAGAGAAAAGCAAATACCCCAATGCAGATAAATTCTTTGAGGTAGGTTTTTACTCATTTCATTAATCTTGAAGATTTTATATCAAAATGACTTCCTTCAACTGGTCTGTATGTAACTTTGTATTGGTGTTTCACATCTATCGCAAGTATTCCTGCCATGATACAAAATATACTGGTGGCAGGTAGGTAGAGAAAAAAATTGTAGTCTCACATAGGTTATAAGTACTGTGTATTTAAAGTTTGATGGGGTTATAAGTGAAATTCTTTATTTCATTTTGTCACTATGAGTGTGATCTTTTTACTTATTGCACTTTTACCAATTTTTTGTCCGTGTGAATTGGAGTTATCAGTGCTTTGCCTTGTTGAATGCATTTATATGTTATACTGTAACAGTTTTGTACAATTCTACCAGAAGCCTGAAGCTAAATGAATGCAATATTTTTTCATCAAAGTCATGAAATAGATTTTGAATATTCCTACTGATATTATTTTGAATGTGTCTTTGAAGAATGAATTAGTATCATTATTAACTGTAATGGATAGATTTGAATATGTGAAAATATCTTTGGTGAAAAGTAGGGATATTTTGTAATTCAGTAATTTTGAAATAGTATGGAAAATTAGATATTTTATTTTTCTGATTGTAAAGACCATATTATTTCAGTGACCTGAATATTTTGTGAATGATTCGTTTGAATTATTAAGTAGTTTACAGGTTTAAGACACGTGTCAGTTTTGTGGTCATATGTGGAACTTGGTGTGTCACCATAATCTCTTGTCAAATAATTATTAATTTTTTACAAAATATGTCAAATATCAATATTTTAAATCATGCAACTGATTTTCAGGGAAATGGGCCTAGTACTCCAGGTACCAGTGAAATTTGTTAATATCTTCTATCAATTCTTTAATAATTCTTGTCTTTTGCTCAAAATCACTTCCTACCTTTTTTAATCCACCAGATTCCACAATATAATATGAAATATTCACAGCCCTTGATAAAACTTCTCAACTTACATTGCATGTATGGTGCTGGTCTAGTTAACACTGCAGATGGGTGACAGTTTTTTCCTGTCTTCTCTTTACCATCCTTGCTAGATATCTATATAGTAATCTCCTGTAGTCTCATTTAGATATTTTAATATTTCAACAATGTTTCTTGCAGATTCTTAGTTGTTTATCATTATATGTGACTGTCATACAGAACAATAAGTATTTCAGAAGGTAAAACAGTGTCTAGGTGGCATTTCTTTTTTTAGTTCAGAAAACATTTTATCGACAAAGACAAAACACAAAAATTTTGTGTAAAAAGAATTCTTAATGATATCATAACATTACATGAAAATAAAGCAAAATTTGTGTTTGAAAATGGCAAAAATAACTGAAGATGCTTCCTCCTCCAGAACACCAGGTCATATTCTACTTGTTAGTTTTCACAAGTCTCTACATAAATCTTTTCCTTTATTCCTATTTTGCCTTAGCTTTATTGAATTTGAATTCGGACAAAGAAGATACTGACATGTCAATGTAATCAACAATCCAAATCAAATTCTGTTTTACTGTGGCAAAATATGGACAAAAAAAAATATATACACACAGAATCATGGAAAAGTGCTAGAAGAATAAGAACAGGGTATTTTACTTCATTTTAGACAACCACCTTGTAAATGTCATATAACAGATTGATAACCGGTAAACAAAATGGACGATAGGTAAACAACAATGGAATCACCAGGCATACAACTAACATACATCAAATTTATATTTCAAAACATTGAAAAAGTAATGATTAAGTGCTTTCTAACTAAAAAGTGAAAGTATTAGATGTTTTATGAGAGACGACCGAAAACTTGTAAACCCATAATGCACTTAATATAAAACTGAAAATTCTTAAGTTGCATTTTGAAGAGTAAAATTTCAGTTATCTTACATAAATAATTCCCTGGAAGCGACATAAAATACAAGGACTGATTGATAAGTTGTGAGGTTCATTTTTAAGTGTATGACTTTGGTCAGACATATTGCATTATTTTTCAACGTAATCCCCCATCAGTATCTATCCACTTTTGCCAGTGATGTTTAAGAGCAAAATGCCACTCTTAAAGAAGTCCTGTTCTTGACCCTTCAGAAGAAAAATGCATGACATCATAATCTGACCAAAAGTGGGTACGGGAAATGGCCTTTTTCAATATTGGAAATAAGTGAGGCAGATGCTCAGTTAATACAAAGCCAAAATCATTAAAGACAGCCATGGCAATGACAGACTTGTGAACAGGGCATTGTCCTGGTGGAACAACACACCTTCTCTGAGTTTTCTTTTGAGCTTAAGTTTAATATTTTCTTTCAACGGCCTAACAAGTGATGCATGATATATGCCATTGATTGTTTGTCCCTTCTGCAGATTATCTACCATCAAAATACCACCAGCATCCAAGAAAACGGAGGCCATATCCTTTCTAGCTTATGGAACAGTCTTTGCCTACTTTTACAGGGATGAACCGGGCAGGGTATTTTCATTGTATAGACTGTTGTTTGGCCTCTGGGATGAAATGATAGACCGGTGTTTCATCCATAGTCACAAATCTCTACAGAAAGTTAGCAGGATCTGCCTTTAAAAGTTCAGATTAGCATGGGACAAAGTCCACCTGGTGTGCCTCTTATCAACTGTCAGAAGTCTTTCTCATATTCTACTTGTTAGTTTCCACATAAATCTTTTCCTTTGTTCCTATTTTGCCTTAGCTTTATTGAATTTGAATTTGGAGATCTTTCTCATTGCAAGATCTTCCATAAGAATGATACGAAGGAAATTTACTCTTTCTTGTGCAATCCCAACTGTACTGGCTGTATATCTCTCTGCTAGACCTTTCTTATGCAAATACTAATTCACTGCTCTTTTTGTGAATTTGTCCATTTTGCAAAAGTCACTTACCTTGTCTACTTTAGAGTGTTACCTCTTGACCATAAACTGACCAGATGACACCAGTCTTCGGGTACACACTCTTAAGTAGTTAGGGAACATTAGAGCTGAAAAAGGACATTCCAGCTTAATTTCTTCAATACAAGGCTCACAACTTATCAACCAGCCATCAATTTTTCGTACTTATCATGATATTAAGAACGTTAAAACAAGTAAGAAACACGATAATGTCGTACAGATGAGGTTACTTTAGTGGCTGATAGTTAAATCTAGATGAACAACCCAAAATCTATTGGAACATCAAAGGCAGAGTAAGAATAATTCATACAAAATAAAAAAAGATTGTGCAAAAGACACAAAAATGAAGAAGAACTTTGATACAATATTAGATACAATAGAGCCGAACAATGAATTAAACTGCATCATAAAGTCTTAAGTTTTGAACCCAAGGAGGCGTTTGAGTAAAATCCAGTGTCACAACTTTGATGGGAAGGTGAACTGGATTCATGCTGCAGGCAAATCATTTTGTTCAAAAGACGTCAAAAGTATTGTGCTTAAAGCAGTTAAAATCTAAACTTTGATTTTGTGAGAAAAAAATTAATCTTCGGTATAAGTTTCCTTGCTGTCAATTTTGTATATTTATATACATTTAACTTTAAATGCCCCAAATATGAACATAAAACAGCTATAATATTGCTACTTATATATCAACACAAAACTTTTTATTTCTACTCATATGACCAGTGTGGTGTATACTGGCACTGATGTAGGTAGTGTACGAGATGGTAAGGAATCAACCGACTTTTACAGTCATCAAAATGTCACACTAAAATCTTCTACTGGTTGTGTAATAAGAACTTTATTCTATTGACAATCTGAAGAAAATGTTCTGAAATTACATTCCAATACATGTACACATCACAAGCACATATTTCTGCTCATGTTACTGTTTCTACACAAACCTATCTATATTTTACACATGCATATATCCCATCTGGTCATAACAAACTTTATGAACTTAGGACATAAACGAAAAACATCAGTATAATTTGCACAAATCTTGTATCTGTCATAGTTCAGATAGAGAAGATAGTGACTTTACATGTTTAAAGTTGAGAAGTTTTAAGTTTTTGTATCATGATGGATGATATTTCACCCCCTCTTATTGTGCTTGATGACACGTTTGTAGCTGACAAACCGAGCAAAATCTGCCAAAAGTAGCCGGGGAATCGTAGGTAAGATGTTTCTCCGGCCGATCATTTCAGGTATATATAGTTGCTTGTTATTCTGCTGGCTTGGCTGTCCATAACAACAAGGCTATATATTGTACAGCAGTCTTTAAAACACTCTCTGACTAAGTGTTGTACAGTAATCATATTCTGTGTTGTACTTCATGTACTATTCATCTCGTGGACATTTATGTTTTACCAAAACTAATAGCTTATATGTATTCATCACTAACCGTATTCAACAAATTCACTAATGATGGTGATATTTATCTACGGGATATATGTTAATTATGTCGGGTAATGGTTCAACATAACATGTTCAAGCTTTGATACTCAGATTAATATAGAGACTGGCACAGCCAGGCAAGTTAATTAGAGTATCAACCAAGGCAGTCAATTTCAAACGGATTATTTGACTAGAATGAAAACTTCTTTGGAATACTTATAAAAAAAATTGAAATTAAAATATTTCATAATTGTTTTTATATAAGTTTACAGATTGGCAAACTTCCAGAAACCTTTAGAAAATTGATAAGACAATTATGCATTTAGTGTTCAGAAACTCTGTGCTATTGTAAGGTATGACGTTTGAGAGAAGGGGTAATTTGTGTGCTATAGAAAGAGGGAAAGGTTATGTACATACATGTGTCAGAGGAGACATTTGGTCATCCGATCGCTATGTCCAGTCAAAGAATGATGAACTCTTGTGGTCAGTTTTGTTGATCGTTACTAATGTTAATGTTCTGTGCTGTAGCCCTAAAGAGCTGGGTGACTAAATCTTTTTTATTATTTTTTTTTCTCAATAAAATTTCATTATGATTTCTATGCTTGATTGACACTTCAGTTTAAATCTTGAGCTAAGAAATAAATCTTTGAAAAGACAGCTTAATCAAGCATTACTTTGAGCTTATGCAGTGGTGTGAATTTTAACGATATTAATGGAATTCTGAGACATCTTTGTAGAATGAAATCATATGATGACTAGAAAAGATATTTATGAAATGTAAAATAACTGAGATTTTATTTCTATGGTAGTTTGTTTATTGTCACTAATGAATACTAGTAGAGGATTCAAAGTGAAGTTTATGTCAGAATGTTTTCGTGTGCTTTAACACAATGTTTTGGAGATATATTTAAAAATTATAAAAGTACTTGGTTTTATTTTCTGTTTTGAAAGAAACATTTCAGTTCTCAGCATACTGACGGATACTTAAATTCGACATATCCAAGCATGTTTTGAAGTTGTTTGAAATTTTTGTGTTGACAGGAAAGAAGATAAATAAACTTCCGGTACATTGTTTCTACATGTATTTGTTAAATAACCCTGTAACAGTTTTATTTGTTATCTTTTTGAGACTCATATTTTACAGGTACATAAATAAGAAAAAGATTCAAAGAAAGCATAGCATAGATTGAAAGCATACTAATCACTTACGATCATACTGATCGTAAATTTTAAAATCATTTCCAAAATAAGAACTGATCAGTTTTCATCAAAACAAATTGCAAACAAACTTGAATGATAAAGAAGTACTTTACAGAATGAAAAAAAAATTAGTTTTAAGAAACCTGATGACATTTCATGCATACATCCTTGAGGAAACCTGTCAACAAAATCTTAATAACGCAGGCATTTTGGTATTGCACAGTAGTAGTAGTAATCACGGCTGGCACACAGAAACTGAAGATCTTATATGAAAATTTAAGTAAGGACAAAGTTTTGAATAGATATGCAGCAAAGGACAACATAAATACAACATATCCATAAGGAATCATATAAATTTGAGTGTCATACTCACCAAAGATTTCTCAGAATTTTCTTTTTTATTTACCTGTAAAACAAAATGGGATAACTGGGATTTAATAATACATGTAATCAATCGCTGCATGTATATAGCAAACATCCCCTTTTTTCGAGTTGTTACGCTTTTCAAATTGTGAGAGTAAATCGCTTTTGTTGAAATTTCACGTTAACTGCCCTTGTCCTGGTTTTAGTCTCTTCAATAGAGACTTCTTTGTTAGAAGTTTTGTGTTTCGTTCTCAAGTTGCCCACACGACCATGCCAAGGGTAAGACATTATTAATAATCCTGCATCGAAGTTGAGTGGCTTCTAAGAATGTTGAATTGAGTGTAATCTTTGTGCCACTTAGCAGAACTGTCAAGTTAAATAAGTGTCCAAAACGTTGATCATAAAGACCTGTGTTAGTATACAAGGGTATGGTGACCTACGAGTGAAGAATATCTCTTAGCATTGATGAGTGATATGGGATGCTTTGCTGTATATCAGGTGATCTATATGTAAAATATTATTTTCACTTCAAAAATCTTATGTTGGTTTGTCTGTGTCCAATGTATAATGTGTGATGGGAAAGGGTATGATAAAACATGTGGTTTGGTGTATGATGGTGGATGGTTTACATGTGATTTAAAGTTGTTTGGAATGGAAAATCTTACAACATATTCTACTTCCTATGATCCGGGTACTGCTGGTTATGTCGCTTTAATGGTGATGCCGTTTCAATGTTATATATAATGTTCAAAAACAGAGATCACAAAAATAGTTTTCACATTTTTTCCTGAAAACTTCTTTCTTTCAGAATTCTATACACTTTACACTTGTAGCTTATTTCATATCAATGTTACATGTAGTTTGATTATCTAGTCTTTCTGACAAATGATAAAATTAGATTAGCTGTTTTAGCATGTTTCTGCTAATTAGTGCTAGTTTAATTTAAAACTACATAGGCTGTCCCATTTGTAATTATGTTCCTTACATGATAACTGTTAAAGTAATTTTTCAACCTTCATCTTCACTTGTCGGAAAATCGTTTGTAGCTTATCTTATGCTTAGCTTGTCGGTGTCAACAGCTCTTATATTCTTGAACAGTTAAGAACTAGTTATGTATTCTAGTGTTGTAATGATAAGTTTTTATTCTATTGTAATGAGCCAACACTTATATTTCAAAATTGTTCCTCATGTTCTTAGTTTATTTAATTCTCGTAGATTGGTTTAATATTCTTTGTAAACATCATGTTATTTTGAGTTTTAATACAGCTGTAAACCTTCGGAGAGTTATTATTATTGTCTATGGACGATAAATTACTATGCATTCCTTATACTAATATTTCAGTAGTAATACACAAAATACAATTAATTGCTCTCTATCACAATTAATTTTGTATGTTTTTTTTATCTACAGAGACTGTGCCGACAAAGATACAATTGATGATCAACCAAAGCCACCAAGAGGAGAAATCTTTTGGGGGTCAGTTTCTGCCCCTATCAAGGACAATTAGGGCCCCATTTTATAGAAACAATAAGAGAAATTCTACAAAATGACAATAGAGTAATGTTCAGGAATATACAGTTTAATACAACTCAACGATGTTGTTAAAAAGCAACTAAATACACAGTATGGCGTGACTGTGATATTACACGATAGAATCTCTGAGGAAGGAAGAACAGAGTGATATTTTGTTCAGGGATTTGTGCACTTATTTCTGATCTTCCTATTTAATACTGACATGTGACTTACCTGTGATACTAGGGTCCAATTCTTCATACCAACCATCTTAACTACAGGCTATTTCTTGACCTTCATTAATGCAGCATTTTAATTATATTTTCTGATACCATCGTTATAACCTTCCACCAGTATTAATGACCTGTTGTTCTACAACAGGAATCATTTACCACATACTAATACTGATCATATAATTATAACTTAATATATGTTTTGTTGTTGTCAGTGAGTTTGAATGGTGTCGAAAAAAAATTGAAAGTGATAATGCTTTCAATAGTAGAAGACTTCAAAACAAAGGATCTGTGAAAGCTGTGTGTGCATCATTGATTCAGGGGACCAGGGAGAGGATATTGTAAAGATATGTAACAATTCATTAAAAATATTTAATCACGGGATTTGTTAATCTACCTACTCTTTTTGTTCCTATAGAAAATCCGCGAACTATCTAAGAGACTGGTTATACAAATGCAACACTACTGGTGTTATTTGTCAGTTGTAGGTCAATTTCTTGTTGAAGATAGCCACAGATGTAATGATATCATAAAAACACAGAAAGTATTAATGTTTTCATATTAAGCAAAGTCATATTTCTTGTAAATCAAATAACCAATCTGAATGGAGCCTATAGGGTTGTATGTTACCTATACATGATGTTATACATATATGTGCCAATAACAATGTTTTATCTGTTTATTGTTTGTTTATCACATGTGTCATTTGCCCGCCTGTTTGTACATTCCCCATTCTTTACATTGTCCGTCTATCTATACTTACTATTAAGGTTGTCTGCCAGCCATATGTACTGTCGAATTTACATTGTCCGTCTATCTATACTTACTATTAAGGTTGTCTGCCAGCCATATGTACTGTCGAATTTACATTGTCCGTCTATCTATACTTAATATTAAGGTTGTCTGCCAGCCATATGTACTGTGGAATTTACATTGTCCGTCTATCTATACTTACTATTAAGGTTGTCTGCCAGCCATATGTACTGTGGAATTTACATTGTCCGTCTATCTATACTTACTATTAAGGTTGTCTGCCAGCCATATGTAATGTCGAATTTACATTTTCCGTCCATTATTCCCTTATTGTTTACATAATACTTCCATATATCCATACTTCTTAAGATGGTCCAGTCCCCATATCATATTGTTGAATTTACCTTTTCCATCCATTCATAAAGTTGAAATTGTAAACAAGATAGCATACAGATTTTAAATTTTTTTTTTAATTTCTCTGTATTAGATTCCAAACTAAAGATTTCCACAGCGCCATTTTCCCATTGATCCCCAAATCTCTAATTTAATGACTTTTTTTTTAGTTACATCCCAGACAGCCATTTATATAATTCATACATCCAATGTTATTTGTTGTTTTTATGATGTAGATTTGCCATGCTTCACTGTCTGTTATTAGACCACTTGTGAGATAATACTCGTTAGACTACAGGGTTTTACAAGAAAACTCTTGTACTTGTATTGTTTGAGAGATGAAAGGGATCTTTGTAAAACCACTAATATTTGGTGAGTTACTGAGATATTCTAAGATAATGATTGCATTGAACATCAGGTGCTGTCTAAATTGTACGTGCTATGTATAGTTTACTAATGGAAACATGTGTTGTTGACTGTTGTATAACTTATAACTGTTGGTGGAGACAGTAAACTCGCTCCAGGTGCCTGTTATAAAGGACATCGTTCGCATACGTCATTTGATCAACAGTGGAATATTTTAAATACCATGATGTACATTATCATCTTCATGTTGATTGATGACATAGGAAAATAATAAATTTTATTTTAACATTAACAAGTTGATGTAGTTGTGCATTTATTTATGTAATGGGAGTTATAGAAACGACGATAAAAGTGTGTTATTTTTGTTGGGGCTTCCGATTGACATGTTGATAATACACATCTGAAGATGGGAGACAAAAATATGAATTGTCAAGAAAATATACTATATTGGGGATGAAACCATTACAAAATTTTAATAATTTACATAAACACATGATTGTAATACACCCACACATGGAATTCATTAATGAAAACAAGTTTGGTAGTGGTATAAACAAACAAGATTGGTGATTGGATTTCAGTACCGAAAATAAGAAATAGCAAGAAATTCCCAACACGTCAACATCAGAATCAAAACTCGAAATCAATAAAATTAGGAAAGAATATAAACAAAAGAAAGATTTATACTGTGACTTCTAAAAACGTACAAAGAGAATAAGGCCAGGTGATCCAGTAGACACCTGTCATGTAAATCTTGGCCAATCCAAGTAAATCATGCATGTTTTCAAACGAGAAAAGGTGAACAACAACGGAACCAATAGGCAAACTAGTATCAAACACGTCCAGCTTCATATCACACAACGTAACCAATAGGCAAACTAGCTAGTATCAAACACGTCCAGCTTCATATCACACAACGTAACCAATAGGCAAACTAGCTAGTATCAAACACGTCCAGCTTCATATCACACAACGTAACCAATAGGCAAACTAGCTGTTACCAAACACGTCCAGCTTCATATCACACAACGTAACCAATAGGCAAACTAGCTAGTATCAAACACGTCCAGCTTCATATCACACAACGTAACCAATAGGCAAACTAGCTGGTATCAAACACGTCCAGCTTCATATCACACAACGTAACCAATAGGCAAACTAGCTGGTATCAAACACGTCCAGCGTCATATCACACAACGTAACCAATAGGCAAACTAGCTGTTACCAAACACGTCCAGCTTCATATTACATAAAGAAATGGAATAATCTTCAATGAAATCACTCCTCATTAATGTTCACCAACCTGCATCTTTTAAAAAGTCATGCACGTATAAATATCAAAGCAACTGCGACATGTAAACACCATATATCGGAGATACAGTGCTTTGCCCTCAAGAAAAAAATCACAATCGGGAAATTGGAATCATCACACTTATTATATATCTTCGTTGAAAGTGTCCATGTTGGTATTGTTACAGGAAAAGATCGAGATAAGCGGCTGATGTAGAAAAGTCTGTCGTGTCTTTGATTTCCAATTGCAATGGGTATATATACGATGAACGTGGTCAATACAAATCTTGTTATCTAAAGACGAGACGTCATCAATATATCCGAATGTAAACTAAACGCCTTTGGAAGATTTCTTTGACCTATTTTGATAAGCTCTTTGATAAATTCAGCCTCGTATGATAACACTGACAAGTCGGTCGACAGGGAGGCACAGTTAGTTCCCAATGGTATGCCAATGGTCTGTTGGAAGAACTTTCCATCTAACTTGATGAAGATGTAAAATGCGATCATTTTGATGATTTCGTTCTCCATATGTTTCCTCTTTGTTTTGGACGTATTGTTCACGAAATACGCTTCAGTATAGTTAACAACCACATATACCATTCACTCTCTTGGAAAAAACAAGAAGTTCTTTCAGTTTGAATAAGTCGGTAAACCATATTTATAGTGTTAAGAATGGTGGTAAGAAGCTTTGACAAAGTGTTGGTCGAGCAGCTAGACGAGCCAACAAAACGTTTTTTTGTTTTTTTTGTTTTTTTTTTTTTGTTAAGTTAAGGAATCAAATGTAAACGCTGAGATTCGTATCCTTATCATTTACAATCAATCTAAATGATATTTAGATAATGAAACAAACTTGGTAATTGGAATTTACGTACGAAAACAAGCTTGATAGTACGAAAACCTCGCAGGATACTCACACCCGCCTAGTAATTCAGCTTAGTGTTAGTTGTGCACGTTCCGCGACAATTCAACGGTTTTTCAATACTTTTCGGTAAGTAAATCAGAATGATTATTTGCACGTTGTTAGACATAGGTATCAAGTTTATAACACAAAAAGAATATTTAAAAATCTTGATTGAGGAAATGTTGGGTGTAAAATATGTCCCAGGACACTCATTCCTCCCCGGGCACTCATTAGGTACACCCGCTACGAATGTCGTGAATCCATCGGCGGCAGCTACAATATACGCTTAAATTAATTGGTTATCTATATCGCACGCTTTAAGATATAATACAATAGATATATACCAAAATTTAATATAACTAGAGGCCTAGCAGTCTTGACGGTCACCTGAGACAGAGACGTATATACGTCTCTGCCTGAGATAAGCAATATTGAATAGAAATTGTGACACTGAATATAGTAAGCCAGTGTCAATACATGCATACCATCAAAACTGCCATCATATACTGATAATTTTTATAAAGTTATTTCCAGTGGGAAATAACCAATATTATGCTAAAAAACGCAATTTTCTATGAAAATTACAGTAAAGTCTGAAAATCATATTCCTTCCCAGGAAGAAATATGAGACTCATTTTGGTAATTAAAGCATCTTAGATGCTTCCATTCATGAAGAGCATTTGATGATACTATATATGTGTCTTGATAATAAGATTTTAGAAAATTTAAGTAACTTTGACCCCGATTGGTACCACCCATCAGTCAGGATCAAAATGGGCATACCATCAGGCCGTCACCCTTCACTCATACTTCTTACCACGTTTGAAATATTTCTAATGGAAATTAAACAAATTATGCTCAAAAATGTAGTTTTCCTACATATACAATAGCAAACTTTACCCCCTCCCCAGAGGGAAATTTGAGCCCCAAGGGCCATGAAATTCACAATTTTGGTAAAGCACCTTTAGATGCTTCCATTCAAGAAGTGTATGTGATTCTACCATATCTTGTGAAGATTTTTGAAATTTAAGTCAATTTTACCCCTTTGGCCCCGCCCATCAGCCCCTGGGGGTCAGTCAGGATCAAAATGGGCAAACCAACAAGCCATCATCATTCACTCATAATTCTAACCAAGTTTGAAATATTTCCAAAGGAAATTAAACAAATTATGCTCAAAAATGTAGTTTTCCTATATAAACTATAGTAAATTTTATCCCCTCCCCACGGGGAATGTGTAACCTTCGGGTCATGAAATTCACAATTTTGGTAAAACTTTTTAAGATGCCTCCATTCATGAAGAAGTATTTGATTCTACCATATCTGGGTCTTGAGAAGAAGATTTTTAAAATCTGAGTCAATTTGACCCCGCCCTTCAGGCCCCTAGGGTGGGGACTGTACAATTCACATATTTGGTTCATTTAAGGCCATGGAAGGATTCCGCAAAATTTCATTGAAATCGGATCAGGTGTTTTTGAGAAGTGTTAAATTGTTTACGGAAGCACGACGTCGAATGAATGGTATTAGAATAGGTCAACATGAGACTTTTATTGTAAGGTGACCCAAAAACCAAACTATCACACAACACATCTAAGCTCCTATGCCTAGCACCTAACGCAGCAAATCTAACAATGCTTTTGTTTACATTTTATTTGGCACCGTAAACACGCATATATACATCGCCCGTGCACGCACAATACTAAGTACGCATACACACACCAGGTAGAATACAACACATTCACTACATTCATTACTTGTATCATTATGTAACTTATTCTCCTTTAAATTATCCAATAGGATAATAATAACAACAACCATTAACTGTATTTTCACAGCGACAGAGGGTACATGATTTATTGGCACATAATTTATTTAACAGAAACATGTATTGTTCTTCATAAGCACGCAATTTGCTTTTATTTGAAAACAACTTCAATGATTAAATACTGTTTTTCACTTAATAACAAACGAAATTATCAAAATTCATTTCAATTGATTTTTATTAAAATTCTTCCCACAAAACTTAATAAGCTTAGAGGAAAAAATCCTTACACCTACGCAAAACAAAAACAAAAATTTCTTGTGCAGGAAAAGAGCGCGTAATGACAACCGGGTATACACATGTATCACTATACAAAGGCATGTTGGAAAAACATAACACGGAGAAATTCATTTCATCCTTATTCCCCAGTCAAACGGATGAAATTATATTTATACGCCGTAACTTACCGCAATCAGTTGTTTGCGCTTCCGCTCATACCTGCCTGTCTAACCGTTCATACCTGTTCGCGCATGCGTAGCTTACCAACAAAAGTTTTCTTGTAGGAAAAGAGCGCGTAATTCAACCGCTTACTTATCACTATACAAAGGCATGTGGCAAACGGGACACTCGTATTAAAACAAGCTTGGCGATTACGTCGCTGACACTCGAGAAAATAAGCTGAGATGCTAAGTTGTGACATACGTACATATGTTAGCAGAATTTTATTTCAAACACACGAACGGTGAAACAAGGGCAAAATGACAGCATAACAAAGATTTACATGGAGACTCGAAGAGGACACCAACAGTCAAATCTTTGTTAATGCAAGTGAGAAATGTCACGTTCCCAAATAAAAAAACGCGGTAAACAACGGAACCACCAGGTTCAAGCATGTCCAGGTCATATTGCACAACGAAATGAAATATGTCTCAATGAGATCACAATGACAACCGTAAAACTTCCCCATAATCCTCAGCATATTGCATCTGTCGAAAGTCTATGTTGTGTGTCAGTCGTGATGCACGGAGAGATCCATTGAATGCAGGAATGTTGCTGTTTGGAAATGGAGAATTCACAAAAGGAAAACTTAAGTCATTACCGTATTATGCAGCTAAGCAGCATTTCGAAAAATCACAGCAAAGAAATATTGGAATAACTGTCTGCAGGCTCTTCTTATGTCAAGCATGATGTAATGTTTAGAAAAACGTGATTACACACGTGTTTATTTTGGATGTTTCCCTGTTATTATTACTCTATTTATGATTTATCATGCTGTCATTGACGAATCAAAGTAATTATATTAGTTGTACTACGATTGACCAAGATTTACATGGCGAGTGACGTTGATGAAACAGTAGATGTTTACTCTTCCGGAACAAATGGTCTTATTTTTCTTTTCTCACGAGTCTCCGTGTAAATCTTGATTTTTATTAATATTTTGCCATATTTATATCGAATTCGAGTTAGGATTATGATTATATTGACATGTTGGTATTTTCTTCTTGTCTTTTCATGATAGAGGAAATTATCTATTACTTGACGAATATCATTTCGAACGGGGTGGGATATTTGTATTTTCCAAGTATGATCAGTACGAGTGGAAACTATCAAACTCGAAATGATGACCTATATCTGTCATTCCTTAAGACCACAAAAATATTCTATCAAATACATTTCTATTACATATATACAAATCTGTTGACATAACAACTTGAGTTATCAGAGTTGCGCTATATATCACTGACCCCTATGACCTCGTATCACTGCATGTGATGACCTTATGAACCCTAGCTCGAGGCTGTACAGGTGAACCAAACGCAGATATAACACATTGTAAACAGAAACATGACGTTGTGACGGTTATACACTTGGTTTTGTAGGCGGTTGACTAATCAGGACGGGTAGAAGGTGAGTAGGCACGGTAAGAGCTGTATGTTACGTGTGGTCTTTGTCAGACACGAATCTTTTATTGATATTAAGTTCGAGGCAACTGGTATTCGGTTTTTAATCACTATGAAATAACGCGTATTAATTTAACAATAACCGACCTATATCGCATTAATGCAAGGATTGTACAAAATGACGCTGCTGAAAAATATTTCAAACGTGTCTCCCATATTCACAAATGTTACCCAAAATCCGACTGTACTGCTGAAAACTTGACAGAATGACAACATTACTTAGCAACATACAAAATGTACATGCGCCCCTAACATGTCGCTGTTGATTCGATATTCAAGGACATGCTCACAAAATCACGACTATCCTGCATGATATCGGCAACTGGCAAGTGAACTCACAACACCGGGTTTCGAGAGATGCAGGTTAATGAAGATTATGGGGAGGTTTTAGGCAGTTCCGTCGTTGTTACGTCACAGTGGTGGATGCCCTGTAGCGATCGCTCTGTCCGCGCGTGCGCGCATGCGTACGTCCATCCGAATAAAATAAGTGACCTCTTCATACATTAATGAGACATTGTATCATGTAATACCTAACAGATTGTGGGTATCAATCTCCTGGTACTTCATGTATCCGTATCATTATTTTTTGTTCATTCATTTTATGCCTTCGTTGTACCTATATTGAGTAAACGATTTTGTAACCTGTCGTTATGTTAATGTTGTCTAGCTTCTTAGACACTAGACATAAAACAATAAACTAGAGGTGTACGATTTATCAGCCATTGCTATTATATACTAATTATATATTTTTTTCCTTTTCTATAACTACAGTTGCTGTCTTTGTGAGGTGCAATGTTAAGATACTCTCTATGTAAATGTTTCCTCAGTACGGCTGCAATCCATTTATCGATGCTGTTTTTTTTTATTGGAGTCTTGGATTTAGGCTGGTTAACATTTTACCACAAACCCATATTAAACAATTTGAATCACAGTGTTTATATACATGTACTGAATTATACGGGAGTTTTCTTGTACTTATTCTTAAAAGTGCTTCTATAAGTAATATACTATGACGAATATATAACCAAATCCTTTCAGACTGTTGCTGCTGTCGCTAAGATGGACAAAGAAGGAGATAGTTTGATTGTTTACGTTAACGGCGAAAAGGTAACGATATTTTGTAACATCAAAAGGTCAGTCAGTTGGATTCAATGCTGGGATTTAATTTTGACATGTGTTGTGAAGTGATATTTAATACTATCTCCACTAATACCGATTATCAACAAGGATAAACAAGACACCATGTTATCAGTACTTTGACATCCTTTATGTAAACACATGTTTACCGTCATATTGTAGAGTTGTCACTAGATGTAGTTATTATTGTTCCAACTGTAACACCACAGCATAATGGTGTCGGAAAATTCAAATTATTTTTCCATTTTAGACAAGACAAATAAAAATAGACTCAAATTTTGAATTCAGCAAAAGCATAAACTCATGAGCTTTATCTTTTTTCCTTAAACCAACCAGCTGTAACATTACCCCGAACCCTAACTACCCCGAACGCTACCCCGAACGCTAACCCTACTAAACCAGCTCTAGCACTACCCCTACCCCTAACCCTACCAAACCGCTGTAACCCTAACCGTAACCCTAAGCCAGATTATCTATGTAATGTGAATTACCTCTGTAATTGAACGGTTGTTAGCCTGAGTAGAAACATATCACATATGGGTATTTCAACATATTTTGTACAGAAACTTTCAGTAAATTGTTACTTAATATCATCGTTTGTAATCAACAGAAGGAGATTGCGGCACCAGATCCATCGACGACTCTGCTTAAGTACCTACGAAATGAACGTATCTTTATACATTACCTCCACAAAATATCAATTACTGCTTTTTTTCTTTGTACTATCACAACTGAATTTAACCATGATTTGTCTGCCCGTCAAACATTGTACAAAAGAAGATAGATAAGTGAATACCACGTTTCTACACAAAAAATATATAAATGACGCTCAAGTGAACGGCACATCTCAATGCAAAGAAATTAGAGCCAATTATGAAATGGCATCATACTGCCATTTTATCTTCTAGATTTCGCGATTGCGCTAAATACCCAAATTTTGAATTAAAATGTAACCGACGAAAATGAAAATTGATCAAAATTGTCAAAATCTGGATAGGGATATAAGATATTCGTACATCTGATGATACTAAAGAATCGTAAGTATGTGATTTAAAACTTTCCACTAGCGGCAACTAGGTACTACATCACGTACATTATGTAATATATACGTGACATTAAAATATACAGATTTAAAACCAGTTCTTTAAAACTTTATATTCATCAACAATGATACAAACGGCGTCTTGGAATCTTTGTAATTCTTTCAAATAAGTTCTTTTTAAAATGGTCGAGGTCTGTGAGGTTGGGGATGGGGAGGGTTTTATTCATTCCACAAGTACCATACACCTTAACCATTTGTGGTTCGTCTGACTGGAACGAAGAACGGATGTGACCAAGGAGGATGTGGAGCATGTACAGTGATGACGTCATGGTGGGACCCTCGTCAGAAAACTATCATGTATCCTTTGAAATCATTCAGCCAGTGAACATGTACGATTCGGAGAGTCACGTGCTGTTGGTAATCGATACTTCTTCTATATTTCAAACACAAGATTTTTTGTTGATATCAAATGTAAAGAATATTTCAACAAATGTACGCGAATCACGTGCAAATACGTAATCTTCTATCAAAATGTACTGAACATTTTGATGCAATGTGCCACACATTGTATATGATGAAGACATTATTAAACATAACTCTTCCTTTCTTATCGTTATTTTCGCTGTAGATGCTTTCCTTAATTCTATTGTGTTAGTAATGTAAGTGCCTTGTAGTTTCCTTGAGTTTTAGTGTCTTATTTCTGTCCTGTCGTTCTGCGTTTCCCTCTAGTTTGTAATGCTCCCTTTTGTTTGTGTTAGTTGTCAACTCCAGCTTTCCTCTTCCGTATCGACTTTTAGTTATTCTACTTAAATATTCGTAAATAGACAAATCTTGTTATGTTTCCTTGACATGAAGACATAAAAATATCAACGCATGCATAGTTCCACTTTGCTTTCTCCATGGATACGCTGTTACCACGATAGAGGGCGTTGGCAGTCAACAAAAAGGCTTACATCCATTACAGGTAAAATCATAAAATATCTCATTACAGTAATTATTTCTATATGTATTCGCAATATTATAAAGTATATCTATTTTCTTACATTTTTAACTCTTTATTTCACTTTCAGTGTCGGTAAGATATGAAAACATTTCCCTTATAGTCAAATAACATTTTAATAACTGTGTTTTAATTTCCATGAAGGAGAATATGGTGGCGTGTCATGGCGTACAATGTGGTTTTTGTGCCCCGGGTATGATAATGTCTGCGTTCACGCTCTCTCAGACGGAAACGGAGCCATCCCAGGAACGACTGGAGCAGTCACTGGAAGGTCAGACTGCAGAGTGTATTAAGTATAGTACGATGTGGTTATGTGGTTTACAGTATGTTAAGTTGTTGGCTTATTACAACTTAATAATAAAGAATTATTTATTGTCGTTTGTAAATATCGTGCGCCATAAATTATTTATGATTTTTGTACATGGATGTGACATACGGCTGGAAATACGCTCAAAATTTCATTCCATTCTAGTTTGAATTTAACTTTAAAACTGTTTTTCTATTAAAACTGCTTATCTCATGTTACTGAAATTATATGAATATGCTTGTTGTTCCACGCTCACTCTTCCGGAACGTCTGGTCTTGTTCTCCTTGTATGTTTTCCGTGTTAATATTTCATTTGTTCATATTTTGCCCTTGTTTTATTGAATTTGAGTTTTAATTATGAGTATGTTGACATGTTGGTATGTTCTTGTCATGCGTATGTTGTTTTTTTTCTGTTGGAAATTCTAGAAGCAACTAAGAAATACCATAGATGTGAAGTCAAGTACTTTACAAATATAAGCCTGGACACATATATGGATTTAAAGGCATGCTTTGCCTGCATCCTTTAATTAATCAGTTATTATTTTCTCTTTATAGGAAATCTTTGCAGATGTACAGGATACAGGCCAATTATAGAATCATTCAAATCTCTTTGCAAGGTATGAAATACGAAAGAAAATCATCTGTGAACGTTTTGGTGATTTGCTACGTTTAAGCATTAACTTCACGGCCTATAAATCTTTCCAGTTTAATGTACAGTTAGCGATGTCACTGAATACTACAATGAAATAAAACCAACTAAAAGTGTTGATGTGAAGGAAAGACCGGCTATACATTATAAGTTAAGAAGCAATATATTTATTTTGTTTCCTAAATAAATACAGAAGTAGGTTCACGTTTAAATCCATTTTGTCTTCAAAAGCTTTCTTTGGGTTAAATGAGCCTAACGTAAGGTATCATGTTCTGATTTCTGCGGTAACAATCTTTTGTATTTGTTGAAGGACTGTGAAGAAACATGCGCTGATATTGAAGATATCTGCAAAATTCGGGTAAATATGACATCACCTTCTTTGATTGACCAAGATTTAAATTTCGGGTGTCGTCAATGAAGCAGAAGACGCTTAATCTTCCGGACACGGTCTTGTTATCCTTGTCATCTTTCAGGGGTCTCCCTGTAATTTTTTTTGTTATTATTTTGCCCAAGTTTTATTGAATTTGAGTATGAATTATGGTTATGTTGACATTTGGTTATTTTCGTTTTGTTTTTTATAACATCATCATAAAATCATTGCAAAGATTTAAAATCCAAATAACATAATCTTTAGTGAGTAGATGTTAAGGATGAGGAGGAATATGTCTTTGTTTACGTCTAAGGCATTTTTCTTCCTTTCTTAAACAGTTTTTTTATTTCAAGTAATGTTTTTCTGCATTTCGGTGATTATGGTACAAATATTGAATGAAGACGGCTGATCGAATTCTAAATAAAGTATGATATTTGTTATCATGTTTAAATACCATCCCTCAAACACCAATGTTTCTCCTTCACTTCACACCCGTTTTTGCAAGGGAAATATTGATCTGTCTTTTTACCACAGCGAAAGTAAAAATAAAACCGCAAAACTTAGCTGTGTGTACACTGGATATATATATACACTGGATAACCGTAAAATCGCAGTACCATCAACACAGTAGTGAACTTTATTTGCAGACACGCGAGGTGAAAAGTCTTCAGAAGACACCAAACGGTGACTACACCTTCTCCTCGGACTTACAGGTAACAGACAAACTCCAAATATTCATGTTATTATAAGACAAACCATATATACTTGTTGCAGCTTTGGTATTTGGAATCTTCTTCCCTGATGGAACATTCCTACCACAGGGACATGTAACGTTGAGTTTAAAAGCTAACTAGGTTGAAGTAGTTGTGAGTCAAACTGATAAAACGAGATAAAACGTTTATGCTAATATATTTTTTCTACGAAATATTCTTTAAAAAGGTCAATGCGATGTGTTGTTTTAAGTTTTGTCCAAGTCTATGGCCTTACCATAGCCAACGTCAATGCGATATGTTGTTTTAAGTTTTGTCCAAGTCTATGGCCTTACCATAACAAACGTCAATGCTTATAAACAGGATATTAGTTCTAACACTGCACGGTTTGTGTCCGGGGATATGGTGTGGATCAGACCAACCACCCTCCAGGAAGTCCTACAACTTTTGGCTGACATTCCGGGAGCTAGGATTGTCATGGGCGCTACCGCGATGAGTATGTGTCGTAACGTTAATTGTCACTTGAAGGCTTTACACAATGTGTCAACAGTATTTGCCGTCTTTATTTTTATAAGTTGATTCATAAATTCGTTCTAAAGTAAATAATTTCTATGAGACAATCATTTTCATCGGCCATTTTTTTTATGTTATCACTCTGTAAAATAAAAAAAATCAACGTCATTTTGGAACGTCACGTTTGATTGGTCAATTCGGCATTAAAAGAAAGTATTAACGAAAAGAGTCCATTAGAAATGTAAAAAACGTAATTCCTAAGATTATAAATTATAAGGATTAACTTTGATTATTTTCATGTAATTGATCCATAACAGAAAGAATATCTTGGCAAAAGCCAACTCCATGTGTTTTGAAAGTACACTCCATTTTTTATCATTCAGTCCTTATATGTTATGTTTTATAAATTACTATCCTACAATGTCTTGAACATCACGCAGAAGGGTGGTCTGAACGGTGCTTATATATTATAGGCTATGGATTGAAGAAGGGACATGTGACCGGAAGTACATTAATTTGCTGTTCACATGTACAGGAAATGAATGTATTGACGTTACACAACAATGTACTGGAGGTCGGTGCTGGTGTTGATCTCGCATCCTTGGAAAGTCATTTAGACGATATCATCTCTGTCGATAAGAAAGGTTAATATCATTGTTAGTGACAATGTTATTGATATGTATTTAGAATATGTAAACTTAGAAAAAACAAAATAATGTTATGTTTTTCGCAAATGTTTCTTGTAAACTTTAAATACGCTGTGTTATTGTATCTTTGGAGATGAGCACGTGTCATATTTAATTGCTTTATACAACAAAGGATTTGAGTGGACGTACAAAAACGGTAAATATTGTTCTGGTAATTTGGAACTTTATCAAAAGAGGAAGTAAACTAACTTTAACAAATAATTTTGCAGTCAAATTGAACATATGCATATACTTTTTATCTGAACACTACAAAAATAACTATTATCACTGTAAAAACTGTGTGTCCGAAAATTACAAATAGCAAGTATGATCTCTGTAAATATTGTGCACCAGAAAACTACAAATAGTTAGCAGTATTCTCCAACTACAAATAGTAAGCAGTATTCTCCAAGTAGATATTGTTTTCAATATGTTCTGACCCGTAAAATATCAAGGGGCCTCAGTGTTTGAGTAGTTTGACCGTTTTTATCACTAGCCCTCCACCTCTGTGTAACGACTTCGAGGCTTACAATGGACAGTCGGTAGGGACTGACCACAGATTGGTGTTTTTTCTCAAACTTTGCACGTCATCAGATACTCCCACAATCAATAGGACGTAAAGTAACAATAGACAAAACCGTGACATATCAATTGGACTAATTACTGCTCTGATAATATATTACTGGAAGTATACATGGTAAAACTCTAAATGTTTCAGATCAAAGTGACACGTGCTTACATGCACTGAAGGAGAGTTTACGATGGCTGGGATCAAATCAGATCAAAAACATGTCGGTAAGGGATATTCTTACTATCAAAAACTCTTTGTATCACCTGTCTATCTTTTCACTAACAAACATGGGTGTTTTGATGCTAAATTTGCCTGACAATCGAAAAAAGAGATCTGACTTCAGTTTTCCTAGTATTATTATTATTATTATTACATTCTTAACGGCCCGTCAACACCTAAAAGGTAAGGGCCATCAAACGGTAAGTTTTCCTAGTAAGAACATTTCTTGGTAAACAACATTTTTTAAGTACAAAGAATTATATTTTGGAATTAATTTATTTTAAATGCTACAAACACGATTTTCATATTCCCACTGTGTATTTGGTTTTTAAATGGTGCATGTTGATACTTACAAGCTTTGAACTACTTACAGACTATTGGTGGCCATCTTGGTCTTTGTGATCCACGTTCAGACCTGTTTCCTGTGTTAATGGCTCTAGGGGCAACGGCAGTGGTAGCTTCCAAAGGTATATTGATCCTTAAATAAAACCCTAGCTCTTATTTAGTCGACAATGGCAATTCTTTATATTTCGTGTCGCAAAGTATATCTAATTTTAAAATGCATGCATTTTATTTAAAAGGAAGACAGTCAGAAGTTTTGATCAACGACAATTTTATTTCTGGACCGTGGAAGACTAGTCTGAAGGATTCGGAGGTGATAGTGTCCGTACGAGTACCTGTAGATATGGTAAGACGAGAATGTGGTGACACAAGGCAGGGATTTATTAAGATACATCTCCATCTCTAACACTCGAGGCGATAACCTTGACTTTGAAAATCTAAAATGTCTCACATACATCAGAATCACTGCTAAACGATTTCTTGTGTAATCAGGTCTTGATGATAACTGATTTTATAACAAATTACACACGAAATAAAGTATTGGTAACTGTTTCGGTAGAATGACAAACGATAGTCCTTTTCACCACAGAACACGAAAGCCTTCTACTACAAACAGGCAAAGAGGAAGAGCTTTGACTACGCCATTGCTAACGCTTGTTTCACAATTACTCTGGCCGGGCAGACGGTCACATCAGCAAGACTCTATTTTGGCGGGATCGGGCAGACATTTATATCCGCATCAAATACTGCTAGCACTCTTATTGGAAAGTAAGTGTGACGGTTATAGTCAAATAATTACAGAATGAAAATATATTTATTCAGAGTCATACAAATAAATTTAATGCCGATGGCTACTAGCTTTGGCAGTAAAAAAAACAAGTGAATATATAATGACTGCATGTTGTAAACAACATGCATCTGAATAGCCTCTCTGTAACAGACGATATACATGTGTCTTGTCTTGTTTCTCTCTGTAACAGACGAGATGCATGTGTCTTGTTTGTTTCTCTCTGTAACAGACGGGATACACGCGTCTTGTCTTGTTTCTCTCTGTGACAGACGAGATACACCTGTCTTGTCTTGTTTCTCTCTGTGACAGACGAGATACATGTGTCTTGTCTTGTTTCTCTCTGTGACAGACGAGATACATATCTCTTGTCTTGTATCTCTCTGTAACAGACGAAATACATGTGTCTTGTCTTGTATCTCTCTGTAACAGACGAGATACATGTGTCTTGTCTTGTTTCTCTCTGTAACAGACGGGATGCATGTGTCTTGTTTGTTTCTCTCTGTAACAGACGGGATACACGCGTCTTGTCTTGTTTCTCTCTGTGACAGACGAGATACACGTGTCTTGTCTTGTTTCTCTCTGTGACAGACGAGATACATGTGTCTTGTCTTGTTTCTCTCTGTGACAGACGAGATACATATCTCTTGTCTTGTATCTCTCTGTAACAGACGAGATACATGTGTCTTGTCTTGTTTCTCTCTGTAACAGACGGGATACACGTGTCTTGTCTTGTTTCTCTCTGTAACAGACGAGATACATGTGTCTTGTCTTGTTTCTCTCTGTAACAGACGGGATACATGTGTCTTGTCCTGTTTCTTTCTGTGACAGCCGAGATACATATCTCTTGTCTTGTTTCTCTCTGTAACAGACGAGATACACGTGTCTTGTCTTGTTCACGCTGTAACAGACGAGATACACGTGTCTTGTTTTGTTTCTCTCTGTAACAGACGAAATGCACGTGTCTTGTTTCACACAATTGAATACAAGAATAAATACCCACTAAACATAATAAAAACAGGTGAAATAAACCCCAGTATTTTGATAGTCTGATGATGATATTAAAAACATATCCAATTGGTGTCATTATACCTGCGTTACATAATCTACTTTACTGATTTACGAATGAAAAATTATTCTAAAGAAAAAAGTCAAAAATGAAACTATTGAATTACAGAACTTTGAACTCGTCAACGTTTGAGAACGTACGTGACACACTCACGGAAGATCTCAAACAAACTCAAACAGAAACAGAACCAGTAAACAAGTTCAAACTGCAGTTAGGCCAGGCGTTTTTACGGAAGTTCTGGAATCAAATAGCGACTGATGTTCAGGAGGTAAATACTATATATTTAATTAATATTCATATTAACGTGATCAATCTATTTATAACAGGCCCTAACAGTAATTTTGATAAAAATTGTACACATGCTGCTTAATGAATAACTTCAATGGTAACCAATAACGACATCACCATCTATTTTCTTATCCCGCGAAACGCATTTGCGAGGGATATTAATTTGGACTCCGTTCGTCCGTCTGTGGATCCGTGCACTGTAACTTCAAAAGCGTTCATTTCCACTTTACAATACTGTGTACTATTTTTCTTACAAAATCAATTTTACCTGCTTTTAATGTGACACCATAACAACAATGTTTTTTTTTTATATCTTCCTTGAATTTGTTATATCCACATCATACTTTGTAGTGTATTATACCTACAATCATTTAATATTTCTCCAGACAGATCGTGAATCACAGGACTGGGGTACCAGTACAGGAACACAGGTGTGGGAGGCTCCATCCCCAAACCAGCCAGAACATGATGCAGTAGGAAAACCAATTCCTGTTGTAGGAGGTCCTGCCCTGGTGACAGGCGAAGCGACGTTTATTGATGATATTCCACGACCTCAGGGTACGTAGTGATATTCCACAGTCTCAGAGTACGTGGTAATATCCCACAGCCTCAGGGTACGTAGTAATATCCCTCAGGGTACGTGGTAATATTCCACAGCCTCAGGGTGAGTGGTACTATTCAACAGCCTTAGGGTACATGTTAATAGTCCACAACCTCGGGATACGTAGTAATATTCCACAGCCCCGGGGTACGTAGTAATATTCAACGGCCATAGGGTAGGTAATGGTAATCCATTGCGTCAGGTTGCGTATTGGCATTCCACGGCCTAAGGGTACGTATTGGTGTTCCACAGCCTCAGGGTGCTTATTGGTGTTCCACGGCCTAAGGGTACGTATTGGTGTACCACAGCCTCAGGGTACGTATTGGTGTTCCACGGCCTCAGGGTGCGTATTGGTGTTCCACGGCCTCAGGGTGCGTATTGGTGTTCCACGGCCTCAAGGTACGTATTGGTGTTCCACAGACTCCGGGTACGTATTGGTGTACCACGTCCTCAGGGTACGTATTGGTGTTCTACGGCCTCAGGGTACGTATTGGCGTTCCATGGCCTCAGGGTACGTATTGGTGTTCCACAGCCTCAGGGTACGTATTGGTGTTCCACGGCCTCAGAGTACGTATTGGTGCTCCACGGCATCGGGTATTAATATTCGACACGAAGTGGTGCTCATGCATGACTTTCTATATAGTATGTTTATACAAATGATTCAAGTTTGGTAATTCATTATTTTCCTTCTACTGAAAAGCGAACCAAGGTGATGAAATATGTAGCAATAGGAATCGTTAGAAATATATTTTGTCACAGCCTAGTAAATCTTCAAAAATGTTAATACATGATGCTAACATATTAATGTGACACAAAATTCTTTAAATACACGTAGAGATATATCAGTTCGGACAGAACTTGATATTTACATTATGTTTTTTGTCGAGATTGTCTGTAATAAAGAGGCCCATGCCAAGATATTGTCGTTAAACAGACCTTCACGCTGGCTTTCTTGTTCATACAGGAGAGTTATGAGTTGAGTGTGTCTGTAGCAAAAACGCACATACCAAGATATTGTCATTAGACAGATAAGCGTACCCGTTTTTCAAAAGAGTGACATTGGTCGACCTTGTCTGGAGTTAAAAGGCACAAACCAAAATATTGTGGTTAGGACATATTGACTTCCTTGTTTATACGGGAGAGATGTGGGTCGAGCTTGTCTGTATTAAAAGGCGCATGCCAAGATGTTGTCTTTAGGACAGAAATTCGCATTCATACTTCCTTGTTTATATAGGAGAGATATGGGTCGAGCTTGTCTGTAGTAAAAAGGCACATGCCAAGATATTGTCATTAGACGTGACCAACGCTAGGAAGGTTCCAGGTTTCATTGACTTTATGGACTCGAGCTGGATACCAGGGCGGAATGAATGGGGAATCATTGTCCAAGATGATGTACTCTTCGCTACATCAGAGGTAACCATCGATACAAGTCACGTGACTTCTTAATATATATCAAAGAGATATATGTAGCTATCCAAATATTGTATTTGATTAATCTCTCATTACAACTTTGAGATGGCAGTCTGTAAACCATTTTGTTTTGAGGTAACAAAACTTGTTCCTTTCATTTGATATGACAAACAGATTTCTCGAGTCCTATACATTTACGATTTCTCTGCGCGGATGATTATGTCAAAAGCATGATTTCAATAAGCTAGAATCATGGCGTAAACCAGCGCTGTTTATATAAATCCGCACAAAATTTGAGTAAGCTGCGATATGTAGACTATCGTTGATTGTAAAACTATAACCCGTGTATCTCTCAAAGGTTCATTTCTATGGACAACCAGTTGGTGCGATTTTAGCAGAAACAGAACAGGCGGCAAAAAAGGCAGCAAGGATGGTGGAAATACAATATGAAGACCTACCCGCTCTTTTGACAATTAAGGTAATAAAAACGATAGGGTTTTCCTAGGTACTCCAGTTTCCTCCCACAGTAAAACCTCTCGCGCGCTTCCATCTGGGCCAACAAGAGCGAGTAATATAAGTTGCGAACTTGTTTTTCAATTGTTGTAAAATGAAAATAAAAGCTGATATATAAATATAATATATATACAAATATATAATGATGCTCTTTTAGATTTGAAATGACCTGCTAAAGGCTTTAGCTGATAGGTTAGGCGTTTTATCCTTAACCTATGATGTTTCATTTAGATTACCAGGAAATAAAAGCTCTGAGACAGATCATTTAATGACAGCCAGTCTCCTTTCATTCTCCCACAGAACACACATTGTTAACTTCCATTTCTCTATAAAGACAGTTACATGTTAGATATCGGGTCACACATTGAAGAACTTCCTGCCGACAGTTATTATCAGAAAAAAAAACAATATATCTGTAGGATACAATACAAATGGTAAAACTACGTTCAAGTTCAGTCTATATTATATCATATAATTATATCTAAAGGATGCCATTGCTTGGGAAGCATTTATACCATTCAAATCCAAACCACTGCAAGTCGGTGACCCTGAGGCGGAGTTTGAGAACTGTGACATCGTACGGGAAGGTGTAATCCAGTCAGGTTATCAAGAACACATGTACATGGAGCCTAATGCAGCAGTCGTTATCCCACACGAGGATGATGAACTAGAAGTGTTTATAACTACCCAATCACAGCAGTTTTGTCAAGTAAGGACTCGGTTATTTCAAGAAGTTTATATTTACTGAACCCCGTGAAAACGCAGGTATATTTTCACATGAAAAATATTAGTTGTGACCTTTTGTAAACTACTTTTAATATCAAAAATATAAAGTTGTGAATACAAATGATGAAATGGCGTACTTTTTGTTCACTCCTCAACACTGTTCACACAGACACATGCGCAATGCGGAAAATCGTTCTTGGATGTACATATACTTGATATCATTATAATACTTTTAAACAGAAAGCGGTGGCAGAGTTGATAAACATTCCATCAAATCGCGTTACAGTGAGGACAAAAAGAGTCGGTGAGTACAGAGAAAATTCTGACATTAAAACAATAATGCTATATGACTGCTGTGTACTTGCATACAAATGGTTTTTTTCTATGTTTTCGTTTAAGAAGTCGTCAACTTACGGACAAACTCGTAACACAGGGTTTCAAAAGATGCAGATTGATGAAAATGATGGGGATTTTTTTTGGTCGTTAGATGGATCTCATTGAGAATTTTATTCTAATTCTTGTGATATGAAGTTGCACATGTTTAATACTCGTTAGTTTACCTATTGGTTCTATTGTTATATACATTGTTTCATTTGAGAACGCGACATTACTTGGATTGACCAAGGTTTACATAATTAATGAAGCAGAAGATGCTTACCCTCCCGGGACATCTGGTCTTATTCTCCTTTTACTATTTCAGGAGTCTTCGTGTAAATATTTCTGATGTTCATATTTTGTTGTACCATATTTGTGGTACGATTTACCTTTATCACTATATTGTACAGGAGGGGCTTTCGGTGGAAAGGAATTTAGAGTCATGTATGTTCTTGGTCCAGCGGCCGTCGCAGCGTATAGGTATGTTATAAAAATGTATCTACAGTAAGCAAGATTCAGTTAATTTGTTTTAAGACTGGTGGATATGACCGGCAAAAATCTCCCGTGAATTTCAAGATTCCAAACAAATTTATTCCTATGTGATACTTCATATTTATTATTATTCTGTGGAGTCCTCCACATCATCTATTATGATTGGTCTGAAGGATGTAGCGACATTTTTTGTTACCTGCACTGGTATGACATTGCCGGAAGCCTCAGATAACAACATTCTGAATGATGAATTACTCTGTAAACAGGGTAACTGTTATAAACCGATTGCTCCTTTATTTTGTTTATTGCTTCAAGTAGGCGATACTTATTGATAAATACTTATTTAGAAGAGTTTATAAAAGTCATCAATGACACCATCTTCCTATGAAATTTAACATGTAGATTTTTGATAGGTTGACCAATATTTATTATATATAAATATAAAATTTTTTTGTTTGTTGTGTAACCCTGGTAAAATACTAGCCGCAACATACCACTCGGCTAGAGAGAACTTCTCTTTGAGATGACAAATGACCTCTGTTACATTGGTGGATTAGTACTTAGCCATGCCCCACCAGCATCGCTGTAACCCCTGGAAACTCGAGGACGAGTTCTTTCCTGGAGGGAGAGTATGTAACCCTGGTAAAATACTAGCCGCAACATACCACTCGGCTAGAGAGAACTTCTCTTTAGCTCGGGTTGAGGCATTGAGATGACAATTGACCTCTGTTACAGTTGTTTAGCATATCTGCGGTATAATTTGTTAGCTAGCGAAATAAATTTTTTAACAGACGATGATTGTTTGAAAGCTCTCAACTGGTTGATACTAAGTTAACACATTATACGTGTGTAAATTGTTAATACAACTACTTCAATTCCTCCAGTTCTGTTATATAATTACTTTAAAGGACAGGACGAACAGCTCGGTGTATATTAGATAGATCTACAGACGTCATGCTAACAGGAAAACGTCATCCGTTCCTGACAGAGTACAAAGTAAGTGATAACAAGAGAATGTTGTCCGTTCCTGACAGAGTACATAGTAAGTGACAACAACAGAATGTTTTCCGTTCTTGACAGAGCACAAAGTAAGTTATACCTAGAGAATGTCATCCGTTCCTGACAGAGTACAAAGTAAGCGATTTTGAGTCAGGGTAATAGAAAAGGCTTTACAAACATACGTTTTCCGTTTTATTCTGAAGGCCCAACTTGTTTCTGTGCCATGATGACAATAACAATTATCGGATGGTGGCAGTTAATTGGGGCGTTTTTGTGCCTATTATTTATGGACACTGACTGGGTACAGCATTAAAGGATTAATGTTATGATTAACACTGACATTACAACCAAGGATTTTATCTTACAGGCCGGATTCAACACTGATGGCAAACTTAAAGCCGTCAAACTGAAGATTTTTGTCGATGCTGGTTACTCCGTAGATGTTACGACTTGGGTAAATCATATACATTGATTTAAAGCATCATATTTCTCATTTCACATGTGTAATTTTTATGGCTTTTTATGTTCTGAAGGACCGCCTGTAGTCATCATTTTTTGTGGATTACAAGCGGAAATCGGTTAATCTGGTTATGTAATAATTAATTTGTTAATTTTATGAGTCTTCAGAAGTCAGATTGGCCACAATGGCTTTTCAGTCACTCCCTCCTGTAAAACAACGAACGCAACGTCATGAAATACATTATTATATCTAACGACTATCATATTCAATATTAAAATTTCAATGAACGTTACTTTCCTTTAATTTGAAGATACTGAACAAAGTAATGTTCCATGTGGATGGTAGTTACAAAATCCCTAACTTCAGAGTGGACGGGTGGATCTGTCGGACTCACACTCCGTCCAACACCACCTTCAGGGGTTTCGGGGCACCAGAGGGAGCTTACATTATTGAAACACTCCTTGCAGATTCACAGTCGGCACTTACAGTCACACCAGAGCAGGTATAGAGCATGGGAATACGTTGCGGAGTAATCATATTTTTTATAAGAAAATATCATGATTATGATATAAATCAGTTGAAAATCAAATTCATTGAAGAAAAACACTATTTTCCAAAACTTTGATAAGCATCGTTTAAACAAGCATTGGATGGCAACGTGTGAGGATGATATAGGAAAAATTTTGCATTTTGTGGTCCTTGGCTGCTTCCGAGTAATAATGATCGATTGTTTTAAAGATCCGGGCGACCAATTTATACAAGGAAGGCGACTCCACACATTACCGTGCAATCCTGACGGATTGTAATATTGAGAAATGTTGGAATGAGTGTAAGAAAAAGAGTAACTTCGACCAGAAAAAAGAAGACGTCAAACATTTTAACAAGTAGGTATTGTACTTGGCAGCGGCTATTTATAGTAATTACGTAGAGGATTTTGTGTTTTATTGAGCAGTTCATACAAAGTCTTCTCATCTCGCATACGTACCCAGTAGAAGCTCGTCTGGTCCGTTTCTGCTTTACACTTCTGTTTAAAAAGAGCTGAAAGAAGTTTCTACTCTACTCTTCATACGTAAAATCTTTAATGCGATGACTTCAATCTTATCTTAGAACTTTTATTGAGAGGGGTGTATGTTAGTGATAATGATAGGATTTTTAAAACATTCATTGCTGGTATAACCTAGTGAAATATGTTATGATTTCTAACTTGCATTAAAGGGCGCATACTTGGAGAAAGAGAGGAATTGCATTGATGCCTTCAAAGTGTTCCGTTTCCTATCCAAATCGAGCAGAAAATCAGGTACACATCATGCGAATTAAAAAAGTAAAAATCTCGATTAATTCGCCGCATGGCCATGAAGGATTAAATGCCAACATTCGTTGGTCATATCTGTTCTTTTTCTTATTATATATTCTTTTTATACACTCATTAATTGCCAATCAGTTTGTTTTTACAATATGACTTATCTTGTCCACGAACCCTCTATGATAACTAGGGTAGCGCCCTTGTTAACGTTTACCTGGATGGATCCGTGCTTCTATCACATGGAGGGATAGAAATGGGACAGGGGCTCCACACCAAGATGATACAGGTAAGTGAACACTCTACTGCATTCGTGATGCAAGTAATCCGTGATTCTATCACATGCAGGGATAGAAATGGGACAGGGGCTCCACACCAAGATGATACAGGTAAGTGAACACTCTACTGTTTAAATGATGTAAGTATTTTTAGCCCACGCTGTTGTTATTCAGATATGTATCCTCTCGACCAGTTTACTATCCAATACGTTCTACTTGTAAATACTGCTGTTGTGATGAAATCGATGCATGTTTAAGGTTAACGACACATTTTTAAGTATATATAACTCACAAATATAATAATACTGCAAGAATTTTGATTTTAAATGATAATATATCAAATTTTCAAGTATATATCTTGCTTCGTAAATATAAGATTGTAACACAAGTTAGGCATATTCAGTAAATTAATAATGAAATATTGTAAATCCCTCAAGGTTGCTTCTAGAGCTCTCGGGATTCCGATGGAAAAGGTTCACACAAGTGATACTGGAACACATATTATTCCGAATTCCATTTCATCAGCAGCGAGCTTTAGCACAGACATTTTCGGAGAGGCCGTTCTAGTAAGTCAGTCTGTGATACATTTCTAAAATATGTTTGAAAGAACTTGATAATGAATAACATATCTAGTTAGCGATAGTCAATGGGTAGGACACATATGTTGGTTAGTAGAGAAATCATGTTTATTTTATATCTATCGCATAGTCTACTAGCATACTAGCATCAAACTTTCCATCCCGCTCAAAACAAATGGAATGTTATTAATTATTAGTTAGAATTATCCTCTATTTACGAACATAAATACATGTGAGTGATGCTGGTTTGATATCATCGTAACAGAATGCATGCACAACACTACGGGAGAGACTGGCGCCACTTGTGGAGAAAAACCCACAGATTTCCTGGACTGACCTGGTATGAACAAGTACACATTTGCGCTTGAATGATTTGTCAAAACCACAAACTTGATCTCGTCCAGTATCATTTACGTGTTTTCATTTATGTAATAGCACAAACATACTTTTATTCATTTTAGCTTGTCAATAGCTCATTTTCATATACATTTCGAATGTATTGCTGTTTAGGTTCAAAAGGCTTTTGCCGAACGAATAAGTCTGTCGGCTACTGGTTATTGCAGGTATGTAAACACTATTGTCTATATGATGTAAATATAACAGACTCAAAATTATGATATTCTATGGGATATAAGATATATTTATTTGTCGTTTAGTAAATATACTGAATTGATTGTTTTGTATATCATTTTTAAAACTCGCGTTACGTTTTGCCTGTTAATGTATACCGGCTTTGTACGTATGTATGTGTGCTGTTCATGAGTTGTGGTCAGCTACGGACATGACATGTGACACTTAACGGACTTTGACGAAGTTGTTACATTTTGAAAGTTTCTGTCATGTGGGTTTCTTTTATTGTCCTTAGTACTTCAGTACATTTGAATTATATCTCTCAAAGTGAACGGTTGAATTTATTTGTCAATAAGACTGTCTCTGAATATTTCTGGCATTTGTACCTGCTATTGTGGTGACAGAATTATGTGGTGTCATCTGTGCTGTCGTGTGTAACATCAATGCACGATACTCGTCAATGAATCAAAAAGACTTTCCAAGAATTAGAATATCGATAAAAAATTAAGGAAGGATTTGATGAAATAAACTTTCATCTCTGCCTCACACCATAATATAATTTTAGCCAACAATCTGAAAAGTTCACAATTATCAGTTTGTTGTCTGTTCAAATGAAATCGGTCCTTCGTCTTCCGTTCGTCAGTTTTGAACCAATTCTTCTTATTCCCCTTGGTTCCCTTGTATCATTTCTCGGACCGCTCAGAAAAGCAAATGACTGACTGGCAACGATCTTGGATTTTAACAATGAAAGATTGCTTTGATGTTTTTCTTGAGGAGTGCTGGAGGGATCATTCTCAAATCTCACACGTAGGTTCCGTTTGGTCCCTTGTTGTACCCGTTTGATTATAGGACTAATCCATTGAACAAATTGGACAACAGACAACTTTCTTGGATGTGGTAATAAAATATTACCATCGTTTTTCAAATTTCTAAACTATAAAATTATAACTATTTTTCCGGTTTAACTACGTTACGAGGTTTTAACATAGCAATAATCGTTGTTAGGTAATATGAATAGTTTTATTACATCGGAAGTTTAAGGAAGAAATTTAAGTTGTCCCACAGTAAACGTAATTATGTCAGCCATATCAAATTATTATCCAATCATTAGCATCAGCAATAAATGTTATCCTGTTGTTTACGTACTTAATTACACTTGATTCAACTTCATTATATTGTTGTATCGGTAGGATTGGAAACCATCACTGGGACTTTGAGAAGGGAGAGGGTAACCCTTATCATTACTATACGTTTGGTGCGGCCTGTTCCGTGGTGGAAATTGACTGTTTGACAGGGGCACACCAGGTATATAATTACAAAAGAAGTGTACTGAAAAATATCAACTTATTGGAAATGTTATTCAAAATTGTAAGGAGAAGCTGGTGACGATTTAATCTTAGAGTCAAATCCAAATATACTCAAGGGACAAAGAAACGAAGGGTGACATTATTTGCAATATCTTGCGAACACGTCGTTCAAAAACAATGAAAATCGCCCAAGCAGCTCTCTAGGTTACGGTGCAAGTGGTCCTGTATCGAATGTTGCATTATTGTATTGCGTGACGATGTCTTCAGGGGAAAGAACGAAAAGAGGAAATAGACAGATAGAAGACCGACAGATTCGACAACGTCAGTCTGTCTCTGTTACTATGACCCAACTGAGAGCAGCCCTCTAAGAAGAATGGGCAAAAATCTTAATGAGGAGGATAAACTTATTCATAAACTCCATGCCTAGGAGAATCAGGGCTGTCGAGAGAGCTAATGGGGGACATATACGAATTAACTAGTCAGCTCCCACTAACAGTCAATTCCCTTTCAGATTACAGAATTCTCTTTCAATTTTCTTCATTTACTCCTAAATCACTTACCACATAAAATTGGTGATTTTCCAGTTCGTTCTGTATGGATTTATCTTCATTCTTACTTTAAAATATTGAACATTATACTCGATGTCTTGCCTAGAATCATCTTCAAAGTTTGCCCAGCGTTTCTTTATCCCTTGAGTATATATATTGCACCAATATGTTTATATCTAATCAATGCATGATAAAGGAAGTATATTAGTGTTAGAATACAATGCCTATACTTTTGTTGGTTATTACTAAAACATATTGTGTCTTTCTGATGTGTTTCAGGTTTTAAGTACTGATATTGTGATGGATGTCGGCAAAAGTCTCAACCCTGGTATCGATGTTGGTCAAATAGAGGGCGCTTTTGTACAGGTAGGTAAAAATGTTTTGCTTCAAACTTTAGGCAAATGTAGGAACTTTTGTATATAGATATAGACCAGATAGAAGGATATTTTGTACAGGTATTTCAAGGTCATAATCCTGGGAAATACAATGACAATATAGAGGCCGTTTTTGTATAGGTAGGATCATGATGCAGTTCAATTCATTGTTTGGTTCTACTGTATCTTACCAAATCTTCCTCGAGGTTTGTATGTAGTAGACACTGCTAGTGGACTTTTCGTCCCCGAGGTTTGTATGTGGTAAACATTGCTGGAAGACATTAAGTCCCCGATGTTTGTATGAGGTAGACACTGCTGGAGGACATTTAGTTCCCGAGCTTTGTATGAGGTAGACACTGGTGATGGACATTTAGTTCCCGATATTTGTATGTGGTAGACACTAGTGATGGACTTTTATTCCCCGAGGTTTGTATGTGGTAAACACTGCTTGGGGACTTTTAGCACCTGAAGATTGTATGTGGTAGACACTGCTGGTGGACATTTAGTCCCAGAAGTTTGTATGTGGCAGACACTGCTGACGTTTAGTTCCTGTGGTATGTCGTTACCTGCATGCCACGTTATGTTTCAATCGAATGGTGGTAAAGTTGAGAATATGTGTATTTGACATTCTTTTAAAATTACCTGTTATATGAAAATTACGACATTAAGTAAATTATGGGAAAAGTGCAGCTCCCCTATGAATTTTGAAGTTTTTTTCCGATCATTTTAGAATTTACTCAGTCGCCTCCAAGGCTTCAATATTGAGGCTGTTAACTTCACTAGTAGAGACGAAGTAGCTGTATGATGCAGTTCATTCATTGTTTGACTGTATTTTATCCAAATTCGTACAAAATGGTGTTATCCACTTGTGTGTCTTTTGTTCAATCTCCAAGGTCGTGGGTCATGTCATCTGCATTGGACAGATAGAGGGCGTTATGTCCGGGTATACGAAAAGATCACTGGAGAGAGATTTTTCAAGATTGAGGTTAAGAGGCTGAAATAAAATGGTTACTATATCATAAATATCTGGATTGTATAATTATTGAATAAGGAGCATTAACTGTTACAATTATCTGCATGTAACAACATTATAAAACCACAGTTATTTACCATTACATTCAAAAGATATCTTAATGGGTTTGATGATTATGAATTTGGGAATTTTATTATGTTGAATGTATCTACTTCCTATAACGAAGGGGTGTCATCAAATCATTCTAGTCATTATTTTCATCATCTTCATGTCAGCTGTTACATAGACTAGTACATTATTTACCTTCCTGTGTGGCAGGGATACGGTTGGCTGACTTCGGAGGAGATACTGGTGGAGGCGAACGGTCGATACAACATTTCTGGACCAGTAGACTACAAGATTCCGAACGTCAAAGATATCCCCAGAGAAATCCGCGTATCTCTCTTAAAGGATTGTCCCAACGAACGGGCTGTGTATTCGTCAAAGGTAAGCACTGACTTGTACACTAATACGTTATTCACTTAAGCGACTACAGACAAGCATTTGTTAAATAACAGTCTATATACACATTCATCCGCAGTATTATTATTTTAAACATGAAATGTAGATATGCTTACAATGAAAAAAATACAAGAATTAACCAACATATAAACACTATCATAACACAAACACAACTTTAATAAACCGAGGGCAATGTATGAACAAACGAGACTCCTTAAACGTGAAAGGTGCATAAGTGCCTTCCACTCCACCAACGACACCCGCCATGTAAATCTTGGTCAATCCAACTAAATTATATCACATTTTCAAATGAGAACAAAGCGCACACAGAAATAAGATATTCCTCAACAAGGTCACTATATTGACAGGCAAAGTTCCTAAATTCTTCAACAACCTGCATCCTTTGAAACCCTGTCTTTTATCCCTCGGTTTACGTCTTCTTGCACAAAAATTGTGATAATAGGAATAAGCCCTTTAATATCGAATTATCTGCAACATTTAACACTATAATTCGGGGGTGTAGGGCAGTTTTTAACCGGAAACGGAACATTCACAACAGAGAAATTGAAATCATCACGCTTATCATAAAGCTTGGAGAAAAGCTGTCCTTGTTAAAGTAATTATTCCTCATATAATCAAGATCCATTTTGATATTATATCAATTGTAATTCATATTCAATATCGCTATAAACATTGCAATTATGTTCAATGGACATGATTAATTGGATTCTTTTTTAAAAATCAATTTCTATGTATCTTCTTTTAACTCCTTTGTAAACTTTAAAATGAAACATCCAGGAAACAGTGCTACGTAGTGTAAACATTTGTGATTCTAGATATATTTTGAATTATCGGAATATAGTTTAGGATATTTATATTTTGATATTGCGATGTTGGTGTATTATATCGATATCATTTTTCCCAGGGTATTGGAGAACCACCTTTACTACTGTCCATCTCCGTGTACCTGGCCCTGAGAGATGCTATCGATTCCGCTAGAGGGAGTGCTGGTTTGTCTCCTTTATCTAGCTTGAACATACCGGTTACTGCTGAAGCCATACGGTCGACGTTGCCTTGATTTTATTTCACAAAGAGGTGTGTAACCTTGCATCAAAACAATCCAGTTCAACAAACATCACAAACAATTGACACTCAGAGAAAAAATCAAACAAACAATGTGGAATTTTCAGAATACTGGAACAGGCGAAAATGTGAAATGATTGTGAAATACTCGGATCTGGAGTGGATATGGACAACTCACGTGGATGTTCAACGGTTTTTCAGGATTGAATCGATGATCACTCGGCATAGACGGGTGATAAATCCTAACAACAAATAAACAGCTAATTTGTACATACATGCACACGACTGAATCGAACGCGCCAAATCATACTAGAAGTGCGCTTGATTTAAGTTAAATAGGTTTACACGAACAGGTGCTATTCTGATTTATCACAATGAAAAACTTAAGAAATATTCAGTGCAGACATACAGTTTAGCAAAGTATGAGTAGACAGCAGAAATATTATGGCAAACATCAATTCACTTTTAAATTATAAATAATCATGACCGATTGCCTGAATATGGAAACTATCAATATTTGAATAAATTATAAGCTACATGGAAATAACTGCTCTCTAAAGAAGTCAGAAAAAAGGAAAATGAAAAAGTACGTCCTCTGTGGTTGAAGGTCAAAGTAGATCTATCAAAACGTTGCAAGAAGAAAACGCAGCAAGCATGTCCTGTAGTTAAAAAAACTTTGACTACTCGTACACCACACGAACTCACTCAGGGGAAACCAAAACCACAACCACGATATGGAATATGAACGCAAGTGATAATAAACATTATTTATAACACGCTCCACGCACTCGCGGAAATGGAAACTGGCAAGTAGATCCCCGTTGTTCTTATTTTAAGACTTTAAGATTTTAAGTTCCTATCGTTTACAGTATAAAGCTGCATAAGTCACGAGGATCAGACTAACGGTTAAATTTTGTATATGACCTAAATTGAGTACTATCATTGGAATTTCAGTAAACATAGCATGTCTAACAAATGATCTAATTAACAACGAAATGTTATATCATTTCTCAAGTATAAAAGGAATGACCCATTAGACTTTGGTAACTGGCGACCGATAACTTTTTTAAACACTGATTATAAATTACCACCTGATTGCCTAGCACAAATAATAAAAATTATTCTCCAAAAACGATACACAGTGACATAAATGGTTTCATAAACCAATGAAATATACACTTTAGCATTATACTTATATGTAATCAATTATGTAGAGAAGAAATAATGAAAATCGATCTTTGCTGGCCCATGCTTGACAGTTAAAGAACAGACTAAGATTTTTGGCAACATGGATACAAAACTTATTATCTAATAAAAGCAAATTGTGTCACTAATGAACTAATTCCATGATTTATATATTGGTGCTTTCATCAGGATCATGATGAAAGGTTTGGACAGTAATAGCATCACTAGGAGCAGAAAGAGAGTTAAAGATAAGCTGTCTTTGATAAGTATAAAGGTAACACTGGAGGAAGAAATGAGCACAATCTTTACTAGGAAAACCACATAAACAGGCAGGGCTATCAGTCAGATGGAATTTAAATAAATCAAAGTAAAGATTATTCCATTGTTTCTTAGCTAACATAACGTAGTATTAGCTCTTCTGGTTCAATGGTATTTAAAGACATCTGAAAATTGTTGTTGGTCACCCGCATCAGGATGATTAGAAAAAAACGGTTTTCAGAACTCCAATGGGTGTCATTTTGAAAAACAAACAAGAAGGATTATTCTATTCAGACATCCGTTTTGGAAAGAAGCTGTTATGGGTCTATCGCTAGATGGGTCACTTCTTCCACATTTGCCTTTTTTTAATATGCGTCCCGTTAGAATTTTAATAAGAGTGAATTCCTGTAGAAATAGATATGTTTAAAAAAATTATAAGAAAATGCGTCACAAGAGGCTGAGAGATTCCTCCTATGAATTTTGGTGGAACAGAATCGAGGTTTACAGGTTGATTGGTGTTCAGGAGTTTAAGCTGGTCAGTAATGTCATAATAAGTTATGTCGAAGGTGGAGACGATGATCACGTCAGGGCAGTCAGTTTGTATATCATCAACAGTTTTTTTTTCTGTTCTAGACACATTATTAATGTTAATAACTTATTAGACACATGATTATTAAATGACACAGCTTTGTCAACTGGAAAAGTTTTAGGTGCACCATTCATTACAAAAAGAGAGTCAGTAGTCATCGGTCCCAAGTTCAAGTCTTTGTTTAATATATAGACGATGTTTAGTATAAATCAATACACCACCACCACCAACATTATTTCTATGATTCCTAAAATGTTTCCAAAGCAAGTATATCATTATCAGAGACACAGTGGTTAAGATGTGTTTCAGAAATACATAAAAAGAAAAAAGTCTGAAAATTCATCTTCTAGAATAAGAATTTTGCTCCTTAACGAGCAGATATTAGTATGGCATACATAAATAGTATCAATGCGATTGAATTGTCACCAATGCGAATACCTGAATTATTATCAGGGCCTGGATTCGGTTGAATGTCATCACATAACATCAATAAGAAGATTATCATTAATACATAGTGATTATTCATGGATGATAAGTTCAGAAATTTACAAGTGATGACTCAAGAGTAAGAAATCAGTCACTACTCCCTATATACAAGGATGTGGGTTTTATCCATTTTCAAAAATGAGATACATAAATAAAACAAGAATCTATGATGACAGAAAGCGGCGACTGAAAAAAGGTACGTACAAACATGTCATTACTTTCATTATACAACAGATGGAGATTTTTTTTATATGTGATATTAATAGAATGAATTATAGACAGGCAGATGGACATAATTGAATGCTTGAGACATGTACACTTATATATTATAATAATTAATAAATTTGTTTCGTATATGATATGAAATGATTATCGGATTGTCATTGAAATTAACAGTGTTTGATGTTGGTATATAACAGTTATATATTCATTACTTGATACTGTATGTAACAGAGTATAAACAATAATGTAATTACTATCACTTGCAAGGAACTTTTAGATACAGGGATGCCACAAAAATACTCCCTGTGTACGTGACAGTTTGGATGCATATATCAATTTAATCACCACAGATTATACTATCTTTATTAGATATTATGTATGAATCAATACAAACCTGTCATTAGTGAAACGATTTATAACAAACAATGTAACATTATTTCACTTTCTTACTGTAATTATTATCAGACATTAATGTCTTAAAGCTTATTAACTCGGAAGTATTGCTACATAGTACATAACTACAAAGCTATTCATACAACCATACAACACTTATAGTGCGCTGAAGTCACACAAAAGGATATCTTTTATATATCAGCAAAATGTTACATCCTACAAGTTAATAGATTTAAATAGACTATTGTATATTAATATTTATAAATTTATAGTTTCACTAAGACGTAAACTGGTTTAATATAAACACTGTACAAAGCCGTATAACATTGAAAGCCAGATTATTTTATGATAAATAATATTCACTTATACATGCTCGGACAATGTTTGCACATATTTCTTTTTTACTACTTAGTCAATAGATAGGGCAGAGAGGGATCATGGCATTCTATTTAAGAACAGGATAATTCAATTACATGAATGCTTACTTGGATACAACACTAGAGATTTTCATGTTGGATATATAAGGATATACATCAGATAGTCATAGTATGGTGGCAGTCCTCATTTTACCGACTGCGAGACAGAGGAGAACTTAAGACAGTGTGGTTTTGACGACATTACTAAATAGTCTATTAGACCTCTGGTTCTGACGGTCACCACGCGATGGAGGTACCAGCGTTGTCACACGACGAGGTTCCCATTGATTCCTACGGGTACCCCTGGGGCTGGATCAGGAACAAGAGATAGAGTCGAGTGACGTGTTGTTTAATCTTATCATTTGTACAAATAAAGATTATCCCGTCTTACGTCCACATTCCTCAGATGATGTGTTGTCCTTTGAGGTACCTAGCTTTGGAGTAAACCTAATAGCCCTAGCTCGTGATTGCCTCATTTACATAGAAGGAAGGTTGGCGAGATACTGCACTGCTACGATTGAGTGACGATTCAGAATTATTCACCGATTTCTGAAATAATGTAAATCGTGCATCGTGCGCTTGCGCATGGACTCTATATGACAATGGACGATTATAACTCGGGGTTGGGAACTAGAGCGGGGCCCTACTCTATGTGACCTCTTAGGCCGTCGCTATCGTAACACCTAGGGTTTCATTACATGTACATACTATAACCACTTCTCAAAATTGTGATCAAAATGTGAATAGAAACATTCTGTTTACTCTCATTGGAATTTTTATTTGCCAAGGTTATGATGTAAGTAACAAAATGTTGAACCAGTTAACTTGGAAAATACATTTAAGGAAGAATTAACTACACTTACAGAAATGAAGAAATATAAAAAAAGATTTTAAAAAATGTCATATTTTAGCAAAGATAATAAATGGTAGGAGAAGACACAATAGAAACAACCGTCCAGTTTCTTACGCTTCTTGTTCTCAATGTCGCCATTAAATATGTAACCTCATACTATCTTGGTTTTTCCAGGAGTACACAAAACTTTGTCAAAATCGGAAGAATATACCGTTTAAACTTTATCATGCTTATGTGTTAAAAAGGAAATTAAATGGAAGAAGTCCTTATAGAAACCTGTAGGCACTCAAATAGAAAAATAAATCGTTCTTAACCAACTGGCAGTCTTGTATCTAAGCCACATTGTCTTGTTACCTGTGATCAATTGTTAACAAGATATGAAATATTTCAAACTTAACTAGTTCATTATACAATATCGGGTTTAGCTACTGTGCTACAAGACAATGTAAAGACCGAAAAAACCCAGTTAACTGTCCTACATTTACAATTTAGTTGAAACATGTTTGAAGTAAACATTTCTTGTGTTACTCTGAAATCACAGTACATAAGAAATCTAATATGCTGTGTACTTTTTTTTCATGATTTCTTTCATTATGAGACCTGCATTACCTGGCAGGTGTGTGCTTAAATATATTTATTTTGTTCTGGATCAGTTATGTCTCACGCTAAGTGGTATTATCGGTCAAAGGTAAATAGATAGAACGAAGGCTCTACGTCACACAAACGCTTGTGCGGCTGGGACTTCTCCATTGCACACAACTGCGATTATGTAATATTTTACGCTTACTTACCACTATGTTCTACTTGTTGAACTGGTTATTTGAGTAAGAGGTGATTGTCGTTGTCTTTGAGGATATTGAACCTCGCTATATCCGGACCTACTGCCAGTGTAACATATTAAGAAATCGCATATACTTTTCTAAATACACTTCACAGAAAATAAGATGGATTTTAACGCACTTGATCCACAAGAAAGAGAAAAACTGCTCAGTGATTTACGGAGCAAGAAGTGCCCTATATATGATGAATGCATGATGCCGAAGTTTCCAACGATGATGCCCGACCCAGTAAAGCAAATGGAGGCGATACGGAACTTTGACTCTAGAGAATCAGATATATTGCTTTGTACATTTCCTAAAGCAGGTAAGCTGTTCTTCACTTGGGTAGATTTAGCAAAGTCATTTATTGAAAGGAGCCTTTATTGTTGATAATGTTCTATGTTTATATGTTATAGGGACACACTAGGTACACGAGATCGTGTTGATGATAAAACAAGGTTATGTTGATGTTTGTATGTTATAGGGACACACTGGGTACACGAGATCGTGTCGATGATCTTACAAGAAGGAGCCCAGTACACAGAAGGTCATAAGGGTAACGTAATGATGGAAGCTGTAGACCTTGACCAGCTGAGCGATCAACCCTCCCCACGTTTTATCAATACCCATGTCGCATTTCGTCACATCCCGAAGAAGCATGTCGATAACGGCTACAAAATTATCCACGTATTAAGAAACCCGAAAGATGTAATGGTGTCACTATACAATCACGCTAAGAATGACCCATGTACCGCATGCACAGAGGAAGACTTCCCCGGGAAATGGGACGACTATATTCAGGATATGTGTGAGAACAAACACAGTACGTAAGAAGTTTTGTCAGGAGTGACAACATTTCAAAGGCAAACGTAGTCATAGAATCAGTATTTAGAACGATTGAAACAGCTAGGAGTTATAGTAAAAGTAAGAATCAAATCTTGAATAATGAGGACTTGTATGTTATATTATCCCAGGGGCCTGTAACAATGTTTCTGGATAATGAGGACTTGTATGTTATATTATCCCAGGGGCCTGTAACAATGTTTCTGGATAATGAGGACTTGTATGTTATATTATCCCAGGGGCCTGTAACAATGTTTCTGGATAATGAGGACTTGTATGTTATATTATCCCAGGGGCCTGTAACAATGTTTCTGGATAATGAGGACTTGTATGTTATATTATCCCAGGGGCTGTAACAATGTTTCTGGATAATGAGGACTTGTATATATTATCCCAGGGGCCTGTAACAATGTTTCTGGATAATGAGGACTTGTATGTTATATTATCCCAGGGGCCTGTAACAATGTTTCTGGATAATGAGGACTTGTATGTTATATTATCCCAGGGGCCTGTAACAATGTTTCTGGATAATGAGGACTTGTATGTTATATTATCCCAGGGGCCTGTAACAATGTTCTGGATAATGAGGACTTGTATGTTATATTATCCCAGGGGCCTGTAACAATGTTTCTGGATAATGAGGACTTGTATGTTATATTATCCCAGGGGCCTGTAACAATGTTTCTGGATAATGAGGACTTGTATGTTATATTATCCCAGGGGCTTGTAACAATGTTTCTGGATAATGAGGACTGATGTTATATTATCCCAGACTCTGTATAATGAGGACTTGTATGGAAATTATCCCAGGGGCCTGTAACAATGTTTCTGGATAATGAGGACTTGTATGTTATATTATCCCAGGGGCTTGTAACAATGTTTCTGGATAATGAGGACTTGTATGGTATACCATACTCGGGGCCTGTAACAATGACCCTGAATAATGAGGACTTGTATGGTATATTATTTTCAGGGGCCGGTAAGAATGTTTCTGGATAATGAGGGTTTGTTTAGTTTACAATAACTAGTAAAGGGGACCAATGAAATACCAGAAATTCACCAGCCTCAGAAAAGTCGCCGATATTTGGCCATAATTAATCATTTTTTTACATCTTTGGTACCAAAATGATCCAAAATAATCATTTACCGCCATGAAAAACAAAATTGGAAAAACAACAAACTTAAGGACCTCTTTCACGAACAATGGAATTTTGCCTACGACCCGATATAATCCAAACCATGTGGTATTTATAGCACCCCAATACACTCCCCTGAAATAGCACTTAAAAATTCAAAAAACCCATAGGGCCTGAATTATTATAGATTTTTTGACATTTACTGAGTGTGTAAGGTAAGGTTCATAACAAGGCAAGGGTTCATTGCAAGGCTTCTTATAACCACTTTTTTGCTCATTGGAGTCTATTTGTCATTTAAAGCAAACATTATTTGTCAAATTTGGCATAAGTTATGATCAATTAAATAAATAAAAATGTGATTTTTTCTTGATTTTTAGAACAAAGTTTGATCTTAGGAGGAGTGTTTCAAACTCTTCCGGTTATCAGTGTACCCAAACGCTTTTAATTTAATTTGGCCCCTTATATTTGCTGTTCTTAGCCAAAAAATTGAAAAAATCGTGACCAATAAGTTTGTCAATAAGCAGCTTAATTGCGTGGAGTCAGAATCTCGAAAGTGACGTCATGTAATTGATATGATGTTGTAATATATTTCTTATCTTTGTTCTTCAAAATATGAAACAGAGATAAAGAAAGTTTAGAGATGACATTGGATAAAGACATCTTTGCAAGTAAAGTAAGAGGCTTGGAGGGCCCGTTTCAGTTATTTCGATCAAGTCTCTTAGAAAACATATTCAGTATGCACAATAAAGTTACACATTTCGTTATGAACGTCTTCTAAGTAGAATAACACACTATTTACTTGTGTGCACCTCATTCCATTTGACTTTATTTCGTTAGATATATCTGGTAAATTTGTAGTTGCAAAAAAGAGTAATACTATTTGTAAAACTGTATCTTTTGACTGTCATCTTTTGATGCATGAATATATGATCAGCTGTTGAAGTGAAAATGGGTCGGAGAACATAACCATTACATGTCTGGCGGTTTAATGTGCTCAGTGCCAGATATAGTTGCAATGTTTTCTACTAAACAAAGACATTAAAACTGAAGGTTTATTAAAGATCTGAATGTATGTATATAATCCCCTATATAAATATTCAGTAAGAAAGTAGTTCCAACGCACGCAAAAACATAGTTTATTTCCGCACGGCCAGAATACAGCAAAAGTATATGTAGCAGCTGTATTCCGTTTACGGAAGCCCATGCAGTTTCAAGATAAAGATGGTTATACTGTTGAAATCCATAAAATTGTGGAAAATGATTAACGATATTAAGCAAATTGTCATACTTTTGTAATTCATATCTTAGTCACCATGCTGAATTAGCAAAATAACATTTTTTCCCCAGAAACTTATTTTTTTATATAAAAATCTTGTAAAAAGTGGCAGTAATAACATTATACAAATAAGCCTCCTTGAAGAAACACCTCTGTAAAAATTAAATTAAGTCCAAAAATGTATCATTGTTGACTGTCATTGTCAGTATATGATTCTGTGTTTACAGGCGCACACCTGGCTATCAATATATTTTGAATACTTGTAACATTTGAACCATTGAATTCTTGAATTTCTTCATTAAGTTTGTGGCAAGTATGGGAGATGTATGCATAAATCCAAGTTGCAAGATTCGATTTAAGAATTGTGGTAAGGCAAGAAAAAATCATCAAGGAGCCTAGAATCCCCACAAAATCGTTGGCTGAAAAATGTTCTCAAGAAAGATGGGGTGATTGTAGAAGTTGGCAGTAATATTTGTAAGAGATGTTACACACAATATCTAAGGAAAAGACCCTATCCTGAGGAGGAGGAGGAGGAGGAGAAGGGGGAGGAGGAGGAGTGTAGTCAGGAATCGCAGTCCAATAGTTGTTCGGTGAATAACGCAATTGATGCGAATTTGCAAAATCACATAAGTATATCTCCAATGCCATTATTCCTTAATATCACTGATATTAAGTATGCTTCATCTACACATCGCAAATGTTCCATATGTTTACAGTATGATGATTTATGTGTTGCTATACCTAAGTCTGTCCGCCATATTTTGATAATTTAAAAATTCATATGGTGCCCTCCGGATGCACGTATCTGCCCGCAACACCTAATTGGCACTAACTTGCATCCGGATATTGAGTGATCTTTGAGTAATCGAGAACCTCTACAAGCCAAGATCATGAACATCATATCAATCACATGATGTCAATTTCGAGATTCTGACTCCACGCAATTAAGCTGCTTATTGACAAACTTATTGGTCACGAATTTTTTCAATTTTTTGGCTAAGAACAGCAAATATAAGGGGCCAAATTATATGAAAAGCACTTGGGTGCACCGAAACCGGAAGAGTTTGAAACACTTCTCCTAAGATCAAACTTTGTTCTAAAAAATCAAGGATACATCACATTTTTCTTTATTTAATTGATCATAACTTTTTTCTGATGCCAAATTTGACAAATAATGTTTGCTTTAAATGACAAATAGATTCCAATGAGCAAAAAAGTGGTTATAAGAAGCCTTGCAAAGAACCCTTGCCTTGTTATGGCATTTCTGAACCTTACCTTACACACTCAGTAAATGTCAAAAAATCTATAATAATTCAGGCCCTATGGGTCTTTTGAATTTTTAAGTGCTATTTCAGGGGAGTGTATTGGGGTGCTATATATGCCACATGGTTTGAATTAAATCGGGTCGTAGGCAAAATTCCATTGTTCGTGAAAGAGGTCCTTTACTCATCTTTCGCTCAGTGTGAAATTCCCCGATTTGATATGTCTTTCAATGTCAAATAAGGCTGGTGTAAGTGAAAAATCCATTGAAATGTATTTAATTCACTTTTAGGTGACATTTTTGGGTCATATATATACGTATTCTAGCTTGTATGTTACATTTCCAGTTAAAATGCCAGACAACCTACTTCTTTTTGTGCAGTACTCTATTCAAATCAGCCATTGGTGTTGGTTTTACCAAAGTAGGAACAGGGCAATTTAATTTTTCAAAGGACATATTTGATTTTCGATTTCATTTATTGACTTATCATATACTGCTGCAACAGTATTATGCCATAAACAACAATGTGATAGCCATAGTTGTACTAAAAGCAAAGATATACAAGTCATGTCAACAATGTTATACTTATAATAACAGCTTTATAATGATGCGAACGATGTAAAATGATTTAGTGAAGTTATAGCAATGATGCAGAATTAATAGTACCGTTGCATTAGTTGAATAAGCATCAGATTTGTCACAATAACATAGAAATACATTAGTAGACTCGTTGATTCTGCACATGTTCCCCAGCCTACGGTGTTTACATGTCGCAGTTCGATTCGATATCCAAGGGCCTGGTCCAATGTCAACGATTTTTGTTCAAGAAGTCGTCAGCTTACGGGCAAACTCGTAACAAAAGGTTTCAAAAAATGCAGGATAATGAAATTTAAATAGATGTTTGACAGTTGTAATAGGGAAATTTAGAAATTTTCTATTTCAATGTGCAATATGAACCTGGACGTATGCTTGTTAGTTTCCCTGTTGTGTTTCTTGTTATGTCTTGTTGTAATCTTAGAAAGTAACATTACTTACACGCATCATTCAAGATTTACTTTACGTTGATGAAGCAAAAGATGCTCACTCTTTCGGAACACATGGTCCTATTCTTCTGGTCCTTTTTCAGGAGTCTCCGTATAACTACCCCTTTTTAAAAAATGTTCATTAATATACTCTAGTTTTTTCTTATTTTCTTGTTCATATATATGTACTTTGTTTTTTTAATTAGCATACGTATTCCTTAGATATCATTATATATTCATTCTTCATCAAATCAATCGTATATGCTAGTTTGTATATTTTCCAGATTTTTATGGAGGTTTCTTCTACTACGAACGAGAATGGGAGAAGGCTAAACAGACAAAGGCGGTAACAAATGTCCATACTGTGTTCTACGAAGATTTGAAAAAGGTATCGCCCTGACTATAGTGCGATGTAATATTATTGTTTTTTTTATTATTATTATTATTCCATCTCCTACACGGTGTGAAAACTTAAGTCTACAGCATCAATGGCAAGTCATAGAATGACGAAACAATTGCATGATGCAGTTCGATTAATTATGTGACTCTACTGCATTTTATGTATATTTGTAATGAAAGGTGACATCTAATTGTGTTTTGTGGATCTTTTTATACTGTCAACTACTTTTCTCTCTCTGTTTAACAAGCAACATTTCTTCCAGAATCCAGTTACAGAAGTGGAACGGCTTGCAGCCTTTTTGAACAAAGAATTAAGCCCCCAAGTTATGGAAGATATTGTCGACAAATGTTCATTTACCAAACTTGCAGACGCTACAACTACCGGCAAAAAAGGGGAAGATCTCACACCTAAGTTTTCACTGAACAAACAAAATTTTATCTTCAGAAAAGGTATTTGCTCATGGCACCATATAAAAATCAACGATTTTCAACGCGGATGATCTAAATCACTGCAGTTCTTTGCAAATTCGTGATTTGTTCATTTGATACATTTCTTTATTTCCTTACATATTCACAGGTACAGTAGGAGACTGGAAAAACTGGTTTACTGTCGCTCAGAATGAAATGTTCGACCAGATGCTTGAAAGGGAGCTGAAAGATTCAAATTTACAGTTTACTTATACATGGTAAAGCGTGTGAAAGTTATATTTGCAGGGCATTATCATAAACATTATAAAGAACATGACAGTTTATCAACTTCACGAATATTATAATATTATTATTATTATGATAAAGAGTATAACAATGGGCATTCTAATAAAGATTTTTCCACGTGAAGAATAATAAGATAAGAAAGGCAATAACAATGTATCAAGTTCATAAGCATTAATGTTATAAAGAGCGTCATAATTTAATCAATTCAGGAGGAAACGCCCATTTCACTAACCACAAGGCCATCCACAAATGAACCATGAAGTCCAACCACGTCAAATAATAAACATAAAACAATTTGAGTTTATTAAAATATATTTAAGCAGGTGCTATTTTGTAGTAGACTAGATGGTATAGAATAGTATGCTTCGCAGTTAGAATATTTTTCAAATTTAGCTTTGCTCTTTAAATCACATCTCTCTAGTGATAGAAATGAATATAGATTATATATATATAGATGATATAATAGTTTAGCTTTAATGTAATATTATCATCATACGTGTATCTATATGGACTACTATAAATTAATCTGAATCTGTTTGAACTAATAACACATTTTCATTACAATATTCACAACAATTTTGGACAACATCTACCAACTGATTTTGTGAATTTAATGAGTGATATTTAGGTATAATGTGACTCAGATATGTTTAACTTATAAGCAATTAAAGAAGAAAAGTGTTTTTGTTTCAAGTCAAAAGCCGCATGAGCATAAAACTGTGTCTGCTAGATGATACTTGTGGAGGCCATAATCTTACTACATTCTGTAAATCTGGAGCAATATTATCAGATTTATTGAATATTGATAGAAAAAACAGTATTAAATCGAAGTCAATTTTTAGGCAAATAGAGGTTCAAACTCTCAAACAGTACGAGTTACGGTTATGTAGATTTGGCGAAATTATTTCTTTCAAATTGATGTATAATTCTATATATTATTTCAAACCTTGTGTTCTTCGGTGCTCACATAGAATCTACTCTAATTCTTTGTACAATATTTCACGCTAATTATTTTACAACACAACACTAGCATAATTAAGAAATATGAAATACGTACATGTTTTTTAATGTTTTTCCGTTAAATGTTTTTCTGCCATTCTTTGTAACTGAAACTTTCATCTTAGATCTATGCTAAATATTACATAAATTACCAGCGCAGTGTTAATTGTTTGTCATCGATTACTGTATACGACGATTCATCATCAGTTTTATAACATTAGATACATGATCAATTATATCATAAATAACATATTAGATCAGTGATCCCCGGGGAATTCCTGTGTTTACAGATCGTCAGTTGATCCACATTCCTCCTTACAGTTGTAATTTATGTAACAGGTCTCCGTACAACGCTCTGTCAAATGCTTTGCTTCTTCAAATTGATCAGGGCTTTAAAGTATAATGTGATAATTTTAGTTTATTGACGGGAGGATCTACAGGAATGAATCATGATTGATGTTTAGTAAATGTATTATCATTTATAAGGTTGTGATAGTATTTGGATATTTTTTTCTGTATTTTGCTAAAACTGAAAGTGATAGATTTAGGCAAATATTTTGATGTTTATTTGATAAGCATTTTCCTTTTTATAAATAGCATCTCTATTTGCAAATTTCAAACAAACGGTGATAACTCTTGTGCTAATTGATTTATCTAAAAAGAAGCGAGAGAGAGCTCAATTCAAACATTATCTCATTAACTATATCATCAGATCCAGTTGGTTTTTTTAGTTTCAGTATCAAAATTTTAACTCTAACATTATGTTGTGGTCTTTTGGAGGATTATTTATAAAACCTGGAACAATGATAGAAAAGGTAGATATAGAAAAAGTCTTTAAGGCATTCAGCTATGACAAAACAAAAGATAACGATGGGTAAAAGAATCTTCATGTTTAAAATAGTCTTATTTGCAATGTTCACAACATCTTCTGCTTTTTTCTATCATTTGCTTGAAAAGAGCATTTTTGTTAAATTTCTGTAACTCTTACTGGCGAGCCCTAAAAGGACGATATACCTGTATTATATAGGTTAACTCTACCGTATCTAACTCAAAATTTGTATGAAAGCTTCCATTCACATGTCTCTTGTACAACTTTTAAGTTTCTTGTCTGTCTTATCTATAATTTCATTTTCATCAAGGTGAAGGTTTTGCTATGAAATACAGAGAAGATCAATTTACCTCGCTGGAAATTATGTAAGCTATATATTTGGAGTATTCACCAAAAAGTTAAAATCCACTGACGCTTGTTCATATTCTTTGGATGTGTTATATAATGTTGATGATGAAAGATGGCCAAATGACCACAATAAAATGCAGATTTTATGAACGGTGTTGTCAACAATCTATATAAATGACTGTAAAAAGTCGATAGTGTGGGGGAAATATGGTGCTGTATTAATTATTCCTGTGAAAGTACAAGGAAAATACACATTTAAGTCGAGTCTCCCGACCAGGAATAGAACCAGTGTCTTTGGTGTGACAATCGAACGGCTCCTCTACCAACTGAGCCAAAGAAGCATGCTCGGCCAGCTGAGTGATAGAGACCATATTTAACACTATATACAAGCCACACCAACCCGTCAGCTGAGTGACAGAGACTGTATTTAACACTATATACAAGCCACACCAACCCGTCAGCTGAGTGACAGAGACTGTATTTAACACTATATACAAGCCACACCAACCCGTCAGCTGAGTGACAGAGACTGTATTTAACACTATATACAAGCCACACCAACCCGTCAGCCGAGTGACAGAGACTGTATTTAACACTATATACAAGCCACACCGACCCGTCAGCTGAGTGACAGAGACTGTATTTAACACTATATACAAGCCACACCAACCCGTCAGCTGAGTGACAGAGACTGTATTTAACACTATATACAAGCCACACCAACCCGTCAGCTGAGTGACAGAGACTGTATTTAACACTATATACAAGCCACACCAACCCGTCAGCTGAGTGACAGAGACTGTATTTAACGCTATATACAAGCCACACCAACCCGTCAGCTAAGTGAAAGATTGTATTTAACACTTTTTACAAGCCACACCAACCCGTCAGCTGAGTGAAGACTGTATTTAACACTTTTTACAAGCCACGCCGACCACTGTGGATAAGATACCTAGACACTTGACCAGGCAATGTTTTATTTTATCATTCTCAAGGATCACAGAAGGTTTTTACTGCCACAGATATGTCCTTTTGGTTTTTTTTTTTTTTTTTTTGTTAGTCATATGTCTGCAATTACATTGTGACAATTAAGAAACTTACAAGACTTGATGTGCCCGTTTTCCCAACAAATCTAAACATAGATTGTGAACACTAAAAACATATCTCTTAAAACAAATCATGATACAATCTTAAAAATCATTTGTTTTGTTACTAAATTTATGTGTAAATTTATTTGTATGCTATGCTCAACTGTAAAAACGGTAGCTGTATACTTGGTTGTGACACAGTAGCGCTTACATTATGACGACTTTTAATAAGATGTCAATACTAACGACAACAAGATACCTTACTATGTACTGATATACAAGTATTCTTTATCAGGATCAGTCATTGTGCGTGAATTTAGTGCAAAATGAAATTTACTGGAAAAAGTGTTTTTTTACATGATGTTAGAATCAATAAATTATTTCAATTTTGTAAAACTTTAGTCAATAAAGAGTATTTGAATTTCATATATAATGACCACGCATCACTTAAATACAAATGACCAAACATGCATTAACATATCGGACCCATCTGAACTCTGAGTGACAGAGAAATTTTTTTATATTTGATGGGAGACGGGTAACAAAAAATGCAAAAAAAATATCAAGCAAGGAGAGTTTTTTTATGAAGGGTCCTTAACATTGTGAAACCCTGTTCGTTAATTAGAATATTAATTTGCATCGTCGATATTCCAGGAGGCATGTTTACTATCACTCCAATGAAACATGGTATTGCAACATTTAAGATTCCATGTACGAGATCTTGTGGACAAGACCAGTGTGATCCTTTGCACATCAAACTAATCTTAATGTCGCATATATGTAAATTGTAATGGCTTTGAAGTTCGATGTCGCTCCTTTGTAATCTTCAGCCTATGATTAGTCATTTTTCTTTCTGTAAGAAATCAACCCGCTTCGCTGGTACCCCTGGAGTATCACCCATTTACTTTCGATTCCTAAATTTCACAAGAATTTTTATAAATAACGTTTATTACCGGCTCTTTCAACCAAGACTTTGTCAAAACTACTTACTTACACTCATAGCACTGTCAAATCTGATCTGAGTCACAGTCAAATTTTGATACTGTTTACTCCATAAGTGGAATAAATAGTAGGTGGATTTTAACACCCTATTCTAAAGACTATTTCTTCTAAAACAATTGATTTTTTCATCACTGCAGCTCACACAATTTTTCACTTATAATGACAGTTTTCTTTAACAAGAAATGTAAACGGCAGTACAAATATAAAGTTGTAAACCATACTGAAGTGTATTTCAAGAAAAGTACGTCCAAATCAAAGAAGAAATATACGATGGGTGAAATCATGAATATGACCGAGTTTCTGATCGACAACATCTTCGTCGAGTTTGGTGGTAAGATCTTCCGAACGACTATTGGCTCACCTATAGGAATTAATTGCACATCATGACATCAAGGTATTGTCTTGGTTAGAAAGTTAAAAGAATGAGATTGTAAGAAGTAGGATGATACGTAAATGAAAGTAATTGGGAGAAATTCTTAAGAAAAGAAAAAGTGGAGCAAATTGGTAGGGATAGGAAATGACGAAGAACGATTTGGTACAGTAAGTATCAGAACACAGAAATAGGACTTGTTTGCACGTGGAAACATTATGTCGAGAGATATTGTTAGTATGGATGCTGGGGAAATTGAAAAGGTCGGAAAATTGTGTGTAACGGTGATAATGACTCACAGTGTGGTACGTACTGCATAACATACTTATAGATACATATTTTAGATTAACATAGTTTACAAATCTGAATGCTGTGAACGTGTTTTTTCCTTGCATCTGCGACCTTCGTTTTCGCATGTGAGTCCTGAATAAATCATTCTCTTGTGGATAAGAGCTCAGTCAGTATATCTTCTGTCAATTGTGTCCTGTATTGACCTAGTAAGTTATCTATAGGTCCAATGGTAAAAAGGCTGGTATCTCACGTGACATGAAATATTTTTCCTATCTTAATCTTGTCCCAAGGTAATCATGTCGTGATATGTATAACAGGATAACCGCCATTTTGACAAGAGGTGAAACTCTCTTCATTCAGTAAGTCTCAGTTTAACTAAGTATTTCCGGTTATCATCTATTTCACTTACATGGTACAATATACAAAAACATTCTTTGTTCTTGACGAATATCAGTCCTATTTGATCGATCGGAGTGACCGTTTTGATATTTGTAACGAGTGCACAGCCGGAGAAATTTATTAAAGCTTACATCCTAAGTGATGAAACAGGACTACATTTTATTCATAAAAACAAACAAACATTCATCGATACCAGAATAAACTTGGGTCCCTTCCTATCAGCATATTCGTTAGTTTTAATCATCTAACATAATATAATTTGACTCCACAGGAAAAAAGATGGATTTATCTTTACTTGATTCAGAGGAAACAGAAAAAATGGTCAACTATCTACGAAGCAAAAAGCACCCTGTATACGATGGTTGCATGTTTCCGAAATTTCCGACGTTATTAGATGGCCCTGAACAACATATGGAGGCGATCCGGAACTTCGACTCTAAAGAAACAGATATACTACTGTGTACATTTCCTAAATCAGGTAAGCTGGTTTAAACACATCAAAACACAAGCAGGAACTTCGACTCTAAAGAAACAGATATACTACTCTGTACAAACACATCCAAACACAAGCAGAGGTATTCGTTAAAACAAAAATGTTGTAATTTTTATTTGCCTAATATTTTATCACTGTGTGCTACAACTTGTAGGAAATCGATTTGAGTGGGACATAGAAAATAGCTAGCAGTAATTTTCAATAATAATATACTGACATATCCAAACTTGTTACACTTTGTTAAGAGGCCTTTAACAAAACAATAAGTAACTTAACGAAGAAATAGTGTCGATGATAGAACAATGTCATGCTAAGGTTTGTATGTCGGTAATAAAGCAAGGTTTCATTTCAACTAATCTTATTGACAAAAGGTGTTAATGCCAATATGGATTGAATGATAGACAAAGCTTATATAAATGTTCTCCACTTAGTCGCCATAATAGAACAGATTTATTAATTTACACTAGTATTTTCACAAGATTGAAACGGAATTAACACAAAACAATTAATACAGAAACACAATTGATAAAGGGAGATAACTCTCAATTGCCACGCACACTATACACATGTATATAGACATTAATACAGTTACACCATTTTTATAAATAACTTTATACATTCCATTATAAAAAGTCTTCTACAGGTATAGCCTAAAAGTCCTTTTGCCGAAAATGTAAACAACTGATAGATATAAAACATCTTATTTAATTCAGTCATCAATAGGATATGTATATTATGTATGAATCAACAGTCATGCTCAACCAGCCTTTACTATATTTGTCTTTATAGATAAGAATATATAATTATGTAAAATGAATTTCGGTGCTACACCTACATCCTGGCTTTCTTAGTAATATACGTATTAAAGCGACGTGATTTTTCAATGAAATTGTGTATATCATTAAGTAAAAGTTTGTAGGTCCATCACAAACAGGACAGCCTTGTAAAACATTTATATCTATATGATTAGGATTTCCGTAACTACTAGGGGAAATAAGATAACAAAACTCTTTGGTTATCATATGAAGGACATTCCAGAACGTAGTGAGCCATTGTTTCAAATTCATTGTTAGTTGTACATAATGGTGAAGTAAAAAGTCTGGTTTGCCTTAAAGGGTAAGGATTCTCTGTTGAATTGTTTATGTAAACATATTATTTATTGTTTTGCCTGATCATGCATAATTTTGTACATTTATACATGTTTGTGCTTGTTTCTTCTTACAGATAGTGTTTCCCAACCCAGTTCTTTGTATATTTTTTGTGTGTAGTCCTAGATCTCATCCTCGTAATGACCCGTGCTGCTTTTAGTTGTACTTATTCGAGAAGATATTTGTCCTGTTGTGTACAATTGTCCCAAATTACATCTGCATGTTCCAAAACCTGTTTAAAATATCATACATAAACTGTGACTAGTGATTTTCTATTGATTGTAGTTTTCAAATGTTAAGAACGTTGAGTCAATTATAGGCTTTTGTATATATGTTTTGTATGTTTTTTTTCAATGTTGCATCTTTTTACAGAGAAAGACCTAAGTGCTGGTATGATTTGCTTGTTGTGGAAAGATGTTGGTGGATGACAGGTGTATTGTTTTCTTGAATAAAAAACCTGATTTTGTTTAGTTAGTGTTAACATTAATATCCCAGACAGTTGCCCATAAAGAGATTGTGCAGCCTGTACTGATCCCTGAGGAACTCCGGCATTTACATTTTGTATCCAAAGTCTTACTGATTTCATAAAAATAAATCTAAGCCCCTTCCCTTTATCCATATAACTAACGAGTTAATTATAAATAAATAAAAACTGATAGACAATAGAATCACAAGGAGTAAAGCCATATTGATGTTGTGAAATGATTTTATTTTCAATCAGACAGTTATAAAGATATTTGAAGATGATTTTTTCGAAAAGTTTACTAAAACATGAAGTTATAGAAATTGGTCTATACTTCGATACGTCATTAACTGAATTATTTCCTTTATAAATAGCATTAATATTTGCTTGTTTCTAACTTATAATGTAGGTATCATTCCTGCTTTTAATGTTTTGTTAATAAGCAGCATGAGATGTAATTTAAGAGAAGCATGAAGATTTTTTTACAATTTTGGGAATAATACCAACAGGGCCAGGAGGTTTAGCAGTGCTGAGAATTATGATTTGGTCAGAAACAACTTGTTCAGTGACTTGTATATTTGTAAATGAATATTGGGTGTTAGGTTGTGCTGTCTGAGGTATTTGTAAAATGGTTATTGAAAAGTTTTGGTCAGTTGGGTGATGGATTAGTTGATTGGTAGATTTAAGAGGAGGAATGGAAGACGATTTGTTAGAAAAAATCTTGTAATGGATTTAGCTTCCAACGTTTATTATTTTCCCACACAATTTGCCTTTGCATCACGAATGAAGTCAATAGTTTCATTTCGTAAGATTCGAAATTTTTCCTAAATACTAAATACTATACGATATTTACTAATTTAGCTTTTCTGTGTGTTCTATATTTCTGTTTGTATGTTATAGGAACACACTCGGTACACGAGATCATGTCAAAAACAGAATTAGATTATTGTATCAATGTTAATGTCTGTATGTTTAGGCACAAACTGGGTATATGAAACCGTGTCGATGATCCTTCAAGGAGACAGCCAATACACTCAAGACACTAAAGTCAACAGAATGATGGAAACTATTAATCTAGACCAGCTGAGCGATCAACCCTCCCCACGTTTTATCAATACCCATGTCGCATTTCGTCACATCCCGAAGAAGCATGTCGATAACGGCTACAAAATTATCCACGTATTAAGAAACCCGAAAGATGTAATGGTGTCGCTATACAACCACTGTAGAAATGACCCATGTGCCGTATGTATAGAGGAAGACTTCCCCGGGAAATGGGACGACTTTATACAGGATATGTGTGAGAACAAACACAGTATGTATGAAGTTTTGTCTGGAAGCAAAACATACAGTCGCATCAACTGGTGTTTTGACAGCACGATTTTAGGAGTAGTAGTTGTGTTGTAGTAGTAATATTGTTGATGTACGTACAATACTGTTATGCTATTAACAATGTTTCAGTGATAATAACAATGTAGTAATGATAGATAAATTGTATTAAAGATAGTTATAATGTAGAAGTGATATTAAAAATATGATAATTATAGTAACACTGTAGTAGTGACAGTAAAAATGTAGTTTTGATAGTAACAATGTAGTAATAATAGTAACAATGTAGCAATGATAGTAACAATGTAGTAATGATCGAAACAATGAGAATATAGAAGCGACAGCAACAAAAAAATGACAAATTGTTGTTTTTGTGATGTATTGATTCAATCATGTCGGTCATGGATGATATGATGTTTTCCAGATTTTTATGGAGGTTTCTTCAACTACGAACGAGAATGGGAGAAGGCTAAACAGACGAAGGCGGTAACAAATGTTCATACTGTGTTCTACGAAGATTTGAAGAAGGTATCACTAGGTCTACTAATATTTTTCATATTCCAACTGCTTTTTAAGTATCTGTGCAATTAATTTCTCTTCGCTGTCTGTTAATTAAGTAACATTTCTTCCAGAATCCAGTTGCAGAAGTGGAACGTCTTGCAGCCTTTTTGAACAAAGAATTAAGCCCCCAACTTATGGAAGACATTGCCGACAAATGTTCATTTACCAAACTTGCAGAGGCCACCAGGTCCGGCCAAAAGGGGGAAGATATGGTGGCCAAATTTTCTGAGAACAAAACAAACTTCATATTCAGAAAAGGTAACTCTTCATGGTACCATGTAATATCAGGCCAATTTGACCTTAACGGTCATCTGAGTTCAAAACCCCACGTATTCAGGTATTTTTGTTTTTGTAGTCGAATTGCATACATATGATGACCATCCTATGTGTGAAAAATGTTTGCCAAAAGACCTCATGGTGTGAAAATATGAGCAGTTTTTACAAAAAAGGTATATAAAATTCTAATTTTTAAGAAGATAAAAAAAAACCGAAATCTCATCGCAGTAAAATGAGTACCTAGGAGGAATAAGTGATTCTTCTATTCACAAATAAAGTGTTTGCTAGATTTACGTGTTTTCATTTCGGATATATAACGTACCAAGAAACATTCAAATATGTTTGAAACCTACAATAAAAAATTAATTTAAGATATCGAGAGCTATTGAAAAAATGGTCTTTTTTGGATTTTCACAAAATTTTTCATTTATCATTTATGAAACACTGCTCTATATGTGGCTATTTTAAGTATATAATATGATAAGTTTTAGAGAATTTTGTATTTATATAATTTTACTACTTTCAATTTACTTCTCACATTTACATTTACTAACAAATAATATTTTAACGTCTGAGTTAAATTTGAAAAGCAATTCATATTTAGTTCACATCATGATTTTTTAAATACATAAAGTATAACTTTATATAACAATCGAATTGACAATAGTCAATTTCCACACAAAAAAGTCTCAATCCCATGTTGAAATAATTACTAGATAAAAGCTGTAATTGAATGCTAACTGACAAAAAATAGCCTTAATCATGTAGAAGTTAGTCACTTTTTTATCTACACAGAAACCGCCAAATTGGAAAACTGACAATGGGTCAGGGCTTGCAAAAATACAAAAAAAAATATAATTTTTTATCCGGAAATGTGATTTGTATTTTAGCTGATTTATTTGTGATTTATAAAGTAAATTGAGTTAACAAAATACACACAAAACACTGTAGATTAATGAAAGCACTTTGACCAAATCAGCTTTTGACGTTGGATGAAGTGATAAAATGTGGCCACGTTACCTACAGTTATCATAACTTTACATAGCTTTGCAATGTGCATTAATTGAAATGAACAGTAACACACAGGGCATGTTATATCTGTATCAATATACAGAAGATAAGTCATGCAAAATACCCCCAAGTGAAACACAATCTGACATTGAAAGAATGATAGAATGGAACTTTGAGCTCTGAGTTCGTGCGATAATTTTGTGTTCCTCTTTAGCTCTTGTCTGTCATTCGACTAGGATTTTTTTATGATGTTCCTTGGTCCCTTAGAAAATTTAGTTGGCAGTCATGTATTGAGCGGGTCAGTATTTGTACATCTCCCCACTGCTTATAATATTAGCTGAAAATATTCGTGATAAGTTATGCAACTTCATCGAGTTTTATGCTAAAATCTTAGTTAATATCCCGACAAAACAGAATAAGACACCTAGACACCGCTTGCCATCGGGCCAACTGATAATGTTCCTGCATTCTGATTTGATACTCATTTATTCACAGTCATCACAGCTATTGTTTATATACAATGAATTTTAAAGCCATGTATTTGTTCTTATCAGTTCGACCTCTAGACATGAGGTTGGCTATTGGAAAACATGATATGACCACTGTAAAAATTCTTTCCAAATGCGTAATTGTTCATTTGATACATTTCTATGTTTCCTTACATATTCACAGGTACAGTAGGAGACTGGAAAAACTGGTTCACCGTCGCTCAGAATGAAATGTTCGACCAACTGCTGGACAGGGAGCTGAAAGATTCGAACTTACAGTTTACATATACATTGTAAAGAGACAAAGTTTGGCTGGACTTTGTGAGCCAAAAATACATCATAAAGACAGTTGTGATTTTATAATAAAACTAACAAAGGCAAAACCGTTATCGTTTTTAAACAACTTTGAACACCCACTAAATCAACATCTAGAGCTAATAAACATATAGACTATTGAGAATACCATTACATAGCCTTGTAGATACTGCCGATGGACTCTAATTCCCCGCGATTTGCCGTTACCTGCCTGCCACGTTTGAATTTACTCAAATAGTGGCACGGTTCAGAAAATACATATATACTTGACGCTGTTCTAAAATTATGCATGAAAATTACGAAATTTATCTGATTATGGGGCTATTGCATATTCCTTTCTTGATTTTGACTTTTATTTTGATCACTTTGGATTTTCCTTAGTTGCCTGCTAGGCTTCAAAATTTAGGTCATTGGCATCGCTGACGTGTCCTAAAAGGACAAAACAGCTGTTAGATGCAGTTTAATTCATTATTTGGTTTTACTGTATCTCACTCTGAATTATAAACAGTTTCTATTCACTTGTGTGTCTTTCGTAAATCTTTTATCATCAACACGATATCGTGTATCTAGTTTGTCCCTATAACATACAAACATGACCTTGTTGTATCATCGACACGATCTCACTCAGACAAATGGAATGTTTTCCAAACATTTCATCGAACTGCATTTCTCAAACCCCATGTGCTGATTTTGTCTGTCTCAAACCCTATGTGTTGTGTTTTGTCTGTCTCAAAACCCTATGTGTTGTGATTTTGTCTGTCTCAAACCCCATGTTTTGTGATTTTGTCTGTCTCAAACCCCATGTATTGTGATTTTGTCTGTCTCAAACCCCATGTGTTGTGGTTTTGTCTGTCTCACATCCCATGTGTTGTGATTTTGTCTGTCTCAATCCCCATATGTTGTGAGTTTGTCTGTCTCAAACCCTTTGTGTTGTGATTTTGTCTGTCTCACATCCCATGTATTGTGATTATGTCTGTCTCACATCCCATGTGTTGTGACCTATTATTATCTATAAAAAGTCAGCTTTAATGAAGTTTAAGAATGATTAAGATTCTTCCATGAAGCAGCCTTTGTGGAAGTCACATTAAAAGACTTAAAGACACCATGGCAGACCTATCTTTTGAAGACCTTCCAGCAGAGGGCCTTAACGGCCCGCACACAGACTATATGTTATTTATATCCTAATTCGAACCACCTCTGATTCAGTGCACTATTATGTCATTGGGGTTAAGCATACTCATATCGACCAAGGTCTACTAAGCATTGAGAGGTATAGTCCATCTCAGCCACTACTGTCCACTTACTCCACAGATTTAATAGATAAGTTTGCTGTTCTCCATTTACTTAATGACCACAAACAGGGCATCATAATTAAGGAAGAAGTGTTAATAGTTTGTTTGATGGTCTAGAACTTACCAATACGATCGCACAAAACATAAAATACCACTTATCAGAATACTGTCCGTCTCTTGCGTCAAGTTCTTACATTTAGCAACATGTAGGAATTAGCTCATATTCTGCTCCACCTTCCTTGTCCTTGGTACCTAACCTAAAGTGGCGTCATATCAAGTATTCCATTTTTTTCAAATTGTTTACTTCTCGGAAAAAAACTACAAATCTACACAGAAGATTTCCCTTCACGAGTCTTGATATAGTGCACATACAAAAATTGAATTATGTAAAGCAATCGGTTATGGTTTTTCAGGCAGCTATAACATGGAATAGAATAAGTGTTTCACGTTTTGTTCCGATCTTTATTAAGTGTTAAACGTTTTGTTCCAGTCTTTATTATGTGTTTCACGTTTTGTTCCAGTCTTTATTATGTGTTTCACGTTTTGTTCCAGTCTTTATTATGTGTTTCACGTTTTGTTCCAGTCTTTATTAAGTGTTTCACGTTTTGTTCCAGTCTTTATTAAGTGTTTCACGTTTTGTTACAGTCTTTATTAAGTGTTTCACGTATTGTTCCAGTCTTTATTAAGTGTTTCACGTTTTGTTCCAGTCTTTATTAAGTGTTTCACGTTTTGTTCCAGTCTTTATTAAGCGTTTCACGTATTGTTCCAGTCTTTATTAAGCGTTTCACGTATTGTTCCAGTCTTTATTAAGCGTTTCACGTTTTGTTCCAGTCTTTATTAAGTGTTTCACGTTTTGTTCCAGTCTTTATTAAGTGTTTCACGTATTGTTCCAGTCTTTATTAAGTGTTTCACGTTTTGTTCCAGTCTTTATTAAGTGTTTCACGTTTTGTTCCAGTCTTTATTAAGTGTTTCACGTATTGTTCCAGTCTTTATTAAGTGTTTCACGTTTTGTTCCAGTCTTTATTAAGTGTTTCACGTTTTGTTCCAGTCTTTATTAAGTGTTTCACGTTTTGTTCCAGTCTTTATTAAGTTTCACGTTTTGTTCCAGTCTTTATTAAGTGTTTCACGTTTTGTTCCAGTCTTTATTAAGTGTTTCACGTTTTGTTCCAGTCTTTATTAAGTGTTTCACGTGTTTGTTCCAGTCTTTATTAAGTTTTGTTCCAGTCTTTATTAAGTTTTCACGTTTTGTTCCAGTCTTTATTAAGTGTTTCACGTTTTGTTCCAGTCTTTATTAAGCGTTTCACGTATTGTTCCAGTCTTTATTAAGTGTTTCACGTTTTGTTCCAGTCTTTATTAAGCGTTTCACGTTTTGTTCCAGTCTTTATTAAGTGTTTCACGTTTTGTTCCAGTCTTTATTAAGTGTTTCACGTTTTGTTCCAGTCTTTATTAAGTGTTTCACGTTTTGTTCCAGTCTTTATTAAGTGTTTCACGTTTTGTTCCAGTCTTTCTCAAGTGTTTCACGTTTTGTTCCAGTCTTTATTAAGTGTTTCACGTTTTGTTCCAGTCTTTATTAAGTGTTTCACGTTTTGTTCCAGTCTTTATTAAGTCACGTTTTGTTCCAGTCTTTATAAGTGTTTCACGTTTTGTTCCAGTCTTTATTAAGTGTTTCACGTTTTGTTCCAGTCTTTATTAAGTGTTTCACGTTTTGTTCCAGTCTTTATTAAGTGTTTCACGTTTTGTTCCAGTCTTTATTAAGTGTTTCACGTTTTGTTCCAGTCTTTATTAAGTGTTTCACGTTTTGTTCCAGTCTTTATTAAGTGTTTCACGTTTTGTTCCAGTCTTTATTAAGTGTTTCACGTTTTGTTCCAGTCTTTATTAAGTCACGTTTTGTTCCAGTCTTTATTAAGTGTTTCACGTTTTGTTCCAGTCTTTATTAAGTGTTTCACGTTTTGTTCCAGTCTTTATTAAGTGTTTCACGTTTTGTTCCAGTCTTTATTAAGTGTTTCACGTTTTGTTCCAGTCTTTATTAAGTGTTTCACGTTTTGTTCCAGTCTTTATTAAGTGTTTCACGTTTTGTTCCAGTCTTTATTAAGTGTTTCACGTTTTGTTCCAGTCTTTATTAAGTGTTTCACGTTTTGTTACAGTCTTTATTAAGTGTTTCACGTTTTGTTCCAGTCTTTATTAAGTGTTTCACGTTTTGTTCCAGTCTTTATTAAGTGTTTCACGTTTTGTTCCAGTCTTTATTAAGTGTTTCACGTTTTGTTACAGTCTTTATTAAGTGTTTCACGTTTTGTTCCAGTCTTTATTATGTGTTTCACGTTTTGTTCCAGTCTTTATTAAGCGTTTCACGTTTTGTTCCAGTCTTTATTAAGTGTTTCACGTTTTGTTCCAGTCTTTATTAAGTGTTTCACGTTTTGTTCCAGTCTTTATTAAGTGTTTCACGTTTTGTTCCAGTCTTTATTAAGTGTTTCACGTTTTGTTCCAGTCTTTATTAAGTGTTTCACGTTTTGTTCCAGTCTTTATTAAGTGTTTCACGTTTTGTTCCAGTCTTTATTAAGTGTTTCACGTTTTGTTCCAGTCTTTATTAAGTGTTTCACGTTTTGTTCCAGTCTTTATTAAGTGTTTCACGTTTTGTTCCAGTCTTTATTATGTGTTTCACGTTTTGTTCCAGTCTTTATTAAGTGTTTCACGTTTTGTTCCAGTCTTTATTATGTGTTTCACGTTTTGTTCCAGTCTTTATTATGTGTTTCACGTTTTGTTTTGTTCCAGTCTTTATTATGTGTTTCACGTTTTGTTCCAGTCTTTATTAAGTGTTTCACGTTTTGTTCCAGTCTTTATTAAGCGTTTCACGTTTTGTTCCAGTCTTTATTAAGTGTTTCACGTTTTGTTCCAGTCTTTATTAAGTGTTTCACGTTTTGTTCCAGTCTTTATTAAGTGTTTCACGTTTTGTTCCAGTCTTTATTAAGTGTTTCACGTTTTGTTCCAGTCTTTATTAAGTGTTTCACGTTTTGTTCCAGTCTTTATTAAGCGTTTCACGTTTTGTTCCAGTCTTTATTTAGCGTTTTTTCATTTCAGAATATTTGATTGATAACAATAATCCGTAGTATTAGCTAGCAGGCTAGTGCCTATATAAGTCTTCTCCCAAGACAACATGGTGCTCAGACACCAACATAATACACAATACACCATAAACATACATACATACATACATACATACATACACACATACAAACCTTACATTACACACAATAACAAATGTTATGTTGACAGACTAATCAATTTTAAATTATGGGAAAACAACTCTGTTGTTTTTGATACTTTAATCTCATGATTATAAGAAGATAATTAACAATCCACCAGCTTTCCAGTTTACTATGTCTTATGAAATAAAAGGTGCATCACCTGTACTTTCTCCCCCATATAAAAAGAGTTTGAGCCAGAATTTCCATGAAATAAAAGTCAGCCCTTTTTCCACTCCAGTGATGGAACAAGTACATATAAAGCACATTTTTCTTACATCAAAGGCTTACTATTCTAAATAAAAAGGATATTTAGACCAAGATAGAGAACTATTCAGAGTTGTTTCCTCATTATAAGTACTAACTGAAATATTGTGAATGAATCAGAAAGAACAAATAATAATAGGAAAAAAGTAAATAACTATTAAACAGTACTCATCTCATGATTAAT